GTAAACATGCAATTATAATAACAGCAGAGAACTCTCCTCCACTATCCTCTTCTTCAGTTCTTAGTATTGTACAACACCATAACTCGCACCCCCTCTAATTACTTTAGCTTTTAATTGCTATAGAGAAAAAAATTATGCATTCTCTCACCTTGGGTTTTTTGCACTCCCATTGTTGTTGCTCCCCCACTAATATATCCATACATCCTCTAATAAGCTTATTTTTGGCGTGAAAGCCGCCCTGTTTATTTGCACATTATTTACCCAGATAATATCCCATGATGTTGGACTAATTTAGATGGGAATACATCAGATGCTTGCCTTACGGTTTCTTGCACATAATGAGTGTTTTGTAGAGTCCAACCTGTATCAAATTTTCACAAGATTAGACGTAATGTGATCCGAGATAAAAGGCAAAAGTGGCGATAGTGTTCTCAGATATCAGAAAAGCTGCACGCTGCATGCACCAGTAGTCAAGATTAGTTCTATTACTAGCCGCTATAGTCCAAATGCCAATCTGAAGTAATCATGTTAAATTGACGTGATTATTTGTCGGCACAGCAGTTTCTTTAGTAGAAGCTGCTTTGTAAATGTATATTATTCTGTTTGATGGCCGAACATTTGTAACCCTGCATCGTACAACCTAGAATTCATCATGTTCCGAGTATTGTTTCTTTTGATATTGAAGACTTTTTGATGTTTAAGTGAAAGCAAAACTTTGTATAACTAACTCTAAAGGGCCAAGATTTGTGACTAGTATCACAGTGTTTCGTTCACTCGCATAAGAACATTCAGTAGAAATGAACGTGCATGGTGTTCGCTTATTTTACATAACTTGGCCGCATTTCATGGCCATTTTTCAGAGATGCTTGTATGATAAACGGTTTGCATTGAGCCTGGACCTTGAGCCTGCGCAGCTACAATATAGAGGCCATCTGGGGGTCATACGGTAAATCAACTTCTTCCTCATTGTTATGATAAAGCCATTCAAACTGGCTTTATGTGTATTCTCTGCCATGGTATTGTGATTTTGGGATATAGTGAAGCATTTTATTCTTTGTGGTTTTCATTGTTTGCTTTGGATAATTACAATTCTAAACAGGAAATTACAGAAGACTGCTGTTTTTAATGAAAGTTCATTATCAAATTTTCAACTTAGTTACTATTCAAACCTATTTTAAAACCTATTTTTGTACAGACTCTGACATCTGCAATATATACTAAGTTTTGTCTTTTCTGGGAACTTGCGGGCCAATCAACGAAGTGAAGGCGCAACCCAAAATTATTATTTTGACATTTTTCAATCTAATTTTAAAAAGGAAGATGAACAAAATGTATTTGATTTATTGCCCAGCCCTGCATGCTATAAGCACTGTAACCAAATGAGCACACAACCAATATATTATACTTGGAATCAAATTAATGTTCTGTAATTTTGTTTTCTAAATTAGCGCACCACTTCTTCATGGATTTAAATAGATTTTCAATATTTTAACTGCATTTCTTTCACCTTGGATTTTACACGGCCTTGTTGCTGCTGCTGCTCTACTATTTCCATACATAATTTCCTAATGAGCTTATTTTTCAGTGTGTTCGCCAATTTCTTCCCATTACCACCACTGAATATTTTAACCAATAATCTCCTATATGCAATTAGCTTGATGCAAAAAAGAAATCCAAATGAATGCTGATCATGGCTCAGGATATTGATCAAAGACACAGCAGCTCGTGCAATTTGCTTAATGGCTTCCTCACCCTTCCATCCTTCACTCCACTTCCATGTTTCCCTTTTTGTTCTCAAAGGAATGAAAACGAGGGAAATGTAGGTCAGCTTTTATTGGAGCAATTTGACACATGACACAAGCTGAGCTCGTCCAGTCCTGTCTTTGTCAGCATGCTTTTATTTATATAATGAAACGCACACAATTATTGGCACAGTTTTTATTGGAGCTCTATAAGCTGATGGAGACTTGCCTAGTCACAAAGGGTGGGGTTATAATACCAAGAGGAGCCCAGTGCGTCTGTCTGCACTGGGCTGATAGTGTGGTGGATGCCTGGCTGAGGTCCACTGGAAGGCCCAGCTGGGTCAGGGAGCCCGCCGTCCCCAAACAGACACTACACTGTTTCCACTGCGGACACAGAGAGCACAGAGGCAGCCACCTTTTCTGTCCAGTGGGAGATGAGTCAAACTATTCAGAATAGATTGCACTGATGTCAGACTGTAACTCAGACTGACATCTAGGATTGAGCCTTTCCTTCTTGGGGGATGTATGGACAAGAGAAGTGGTGTGGGGAGGGCCTTGACTGATGTTACTCAGGATAATTTCCTTCATTTCCTTCTTTTAACATTAGAACTTGGACATCATGCTGCTTGGTATGCTTAATTGTATTTTCTTCATATTTTCCTCTTGTATTTTTAAAGGTGTATAACAATTTAGAAACTGAAATATTTTTTATATTTGTATATTTCAGTTAAATATGTGGTGTTGGCTGTTTTTATATTTAATATGACGTATAGACTTACTTACTCAGATAAGGAAATTGGTTATTTTCATGGGTGCCCCTTAAATCTGGGGCACTCGGTCAACCCTTCTTCTCCATATTTGCCACACTCTTAGGCTGACATGGGAATTCCTTTATTCAATTTCAAAACCTAAACATGACATGTTTGTGTAATTTTGTCAATTTGTGTTTAAAATGATTTAGGACCCGTTTTAAGCTGTTAAACCACATCTAGTTTGACTGAATCATTTCCATAAAAGCAGAAAAAGGCATTTTATTGGCAAGAAAGTGAATGTCACCTGCTTCATAAAAAGTGACATTCTCTTTGGCGTGTGAGACAAATGAATGTATGGTGACAGTAATGAGCTCTGTTTACAGGTGTGGACAGATGTGCTCAGACAGGGATTGGTGTGTGATGTGTTTGAAATGTCCTGGCAGCACTGATGAGTCTGCAAACCTCAGGCCAGTGTGCACCGCTTTCATGGCCTCTGCTTGTGCTGTAAAGCAGAGTGTCAGTCGGGGCATTACCATAGGCTGACCTTTGCCGCTGCACTCCCTACTGAATGCGTTTCTGACATTCAGGGTGCTGTGGGGGGCAGCAAGGGAGGGCATGGCCTGTTGGCGCCTCTTTGCTTGGAGCGTGTTGATGTGAGTCGTCTTAACAAACCAGCTGACAGTTTGTATGCTGATGTTTTCTTTTCACTTTCCCTCGCACCGTTTTACTCTCCTGCCATTGCTTCACTTTTGAAACCCCAGACAAAGATATGTTTGTATTTTTTATTTGCAGCCTCAAACCTGCCTGTTGTCAAAATGATTTCTGTTATCTCCCTGCGGAAACTTGGCATTCCGATAAATGAGAGCAAGTTGGAAATCTTGCCTGCTGACATCAAGGCGCTGTGTACCTAAAATCCTTCAAGGCCAGGCAAAGAAAAACGTATCAGGCCAATTAAAGTTAATGCATGGTGACACATTAAATGGAGGGCAGGGATGGCTGCCATATGGCAGTCCGTGCTGTAAATCAGAGTGCAGCCAAAGTGAGGGGTAGGACTGGGCACAGGAAGCCATGACGCAGCTCCACAATTCAAGCCTAAATCCAGGTGTGTCTCCAGCTCTTCCACCCTTTGCCTGTACCCCACCCCCTGGAGCACCCTAAGGTGCAGCACACTTGGATATCACAGAAGAAGTGGCAGATTCATTAGGCCTTGTTTTTTCCCTTCTCACAGGGAGGGTTTAAATGAGCTGTCATCCTGACCTTTTTGAGCTTCTGCTTTTAAAGAAAGTTCAGTGGCCTCCCACCCCAAACCTGTCTCCCCTCAGTGTTTGCCTTCTGTCTGTGTTTGTACTAGTGTTGTCACGATGCTAACGTTTCAAACTCTGCCATTGATGGTGAATGGTACTGAAGGCTTGATGGTACCTGATAGCAATTCACATTTATAACAAATCCTAAAATTTTGGGACCACGGAATGTAACTAGTTCTAATATGGATCACTACCACTGTCCGGCTGTGTCTTGTTTGTGTGATATCTATACATCAAGCTAGTATATCTTCAAAACTAGTTTTAGAATCTATTTATCTGATTTTCTACCACCTCCTGTCTGCACCTCCTCTCTGCTTTGTCTGCCCATCCTCCTCCTATCTTCTCTTTCCCTGCACCTCCTCCCCTCTCCGTCAGCACCTTTCCTTTTCACTTTGTCACTCTTTCCTGCACTTGTCTCTGTTTCCCCGCGGGGGGTTAGACACTTTTAAGCCTTCACCCTGCGGCAGACATTCACGCCGAGGTTGTTCTGTGGGTAATTGCCTCTCTCATAGACGCCGCTTGTCTGCGCACACTTGTGATGCCATGCTGCAGAGGGGGAGGGCACAGACACTGTAAACTTAATTTGCTCCTGACTGATCCTCGGCGCTGATTAAGAAAGCATCTGTGGTGTTTGGAAGACAACAGAAAGCCAAGTGAAGCATACCTAACATGTCCTCATCTATTACACCAGGTGACTGCACAAATAGCCATTGATGTATTCATTTTTCTGTAGCTCATATGTCGCCACCTTTGTTTAATATGCTCCCATAAAGGGTTCTGTAAGGTGTAGAAGGCGGTATCGATCAGAGCCACACTAACTTGTCAGCGCGGCCTCTGGAGTGTGTTCTTTGCAAGTGTACAGGAGTCATTAATTTCCTCTGCCTCGGTCTGGTGGAAAAGCTCCGAGCACGCTGAGGGTCCGGCTGCAAAAAGAGCAGTAGATTTAAGCCCCTAGGCCCCGTCTGCTCGTTTCACTCCAGCACTTTGATGTTTAATTGAAGTTGTTATTGGCATCAAATGTCACCTAACCCAGTGCTGCAGCTGTGAATCAGTTTCTAATTGAAAGAACTGGTGTCTCCCTGAGCCCTGTGCCTGAAGAGCTGTAGAGTGTGTGTGTGTGTGCGAGTACTGACTTCCTCCTTCTCTTTCTCGACAGTGTGAGGAGCAGTGTGTGGCCCATGTTGCATTAGTGTGGCTGTATAATGCTGGCCTGTCTGCCAGGGCCAGGTGACCTCCCCCTCCAACTTCTCCCCCACACGCAGATGAACACTGGACTTCAGAAATGTAAGTACTGTACCTCCAATCCCACTGCTCCACTCAAAAGAGCAAGCTGTTCTATTTCTGCTTATAATGCCCATGCCAACTATGGCTAGATTCACTATTACAGCACAGTACCACAATCAGAACCTCTGAAAATATTGTTGTGCTCCCAGATATTAGCTGTGTTCAGAGGAAATTAGAGTGAACTGTGACATTAATTTTCTGGCTAACAGCTAGATCTGGCCGCCTTCTTTCAATCACTGCCTCTGAGGTCTGGGCGACAACAGAGTGCTGTGCTCTGGGACTAAAAGCTGTTCTGTCTCCAGCTCTTATGTGATTGGAGCCTTTTTTTACTCAGGAAAAGTCAAATACTGTCAGGCTCTCTGACAGATTGCAGAGTGTTTTTTCCCTGATGAGTCCTACAAGAAGTGATTTTAAGGGCACGGTCACAAACGAACTAGGCCAAGTGGCCTGGATCATCGCCACAGGGGTGTGAAAACGGCCCGCGTCAGAAGGGTTTACTTTTTCAACTGACTACTAACTCCAGCTACTACCTCGTTGTCCAAGTTAAGTTTCTGTTTCTCTTCCTGTTTAAACTCTGTTACTGTGACCAACTAGCTCCAGCATGGAGCAATTGGAGTCAATGTGTAAAAGTCTGAGATGTGTCTTTCTCCAATGTGCAGCAGATTAGTGGGTAACGTGTGTGTGCGGGCCTGAGAGCGCGCCTTGGAGTAAAGCGCCTGAGAAATTAATGGATGAGAAAAAATGAAAAGTGTGGCGTACGATTGACCGGAGCCAGGCAGGATACAAGTGTGTGTTGGTGTGTTTTGGCCACAAAATAAAGTGTGACTCTTGAGCAACAGTTTGAAGTGTTTGTTGGAAAAGCACCACACTGTGACAGCGAGGGTCAAAACGGAAGGAAGTAATCTTCTGTAGGAAACATTTCCCTTCGGCCCTGGAGCAACAAATCCTCTCTGCGCCCCTCGAAAAGGTGTAGCACAAGAAGGGAGAATACGAAAGTATGCGAAGGCAGGGAGAGATGTGTGTGAAAATGCACGTCACAATGGACGTAATGTGACGCGCAATATCACGTCCCCACCACACCTCATCACTCACACCCATCACATCGATCCCCCCTCATCTGGGCTTTACAACCGCTCTCAGGCCCACTTCTCCCAACCGTGCCCAAGCTCAGTTGCCGCGGTAACACGGCGCCTGGGCCTAGGCCCACTTTAATTGAGCTTTTAGGTTGTGCTTGTGACCGCAGCCTAAGACGCAATCTGCCGTTTGGGTCCAACATAGTGCTCCGTTCATTTGAATGACTGACAAACCAACACCATTAGGAAATGCAGTCCTGGCATGACCCATTTCTGCAGCAGTTTTTCTTTATTTTTTTGTAAAAATGCTCCAGCTCATCAAGACTGTAATTTCAGAATCACAGTAATCAGCAGCCCCCAGGAGATCAGCAAGCACATGGGAGTCTGCTAAGTGCCAGCGTCTGTTTCCTCAGCCCACACTGGCTAGTGACAGTGCAACCATAGCTGCAAAGTTTCCTTTTTGTTTGATGCCAAGCTGACAATACCACAATACTAAAATATACTCTACCCTGCCAATAGATTGACCTAAAAAGTCTCATGGGGAGATTATTTAAATTGTATTTACATCTGAACATGGGAATATAAGATTCCATTCTTCTGCAAAACGAAATCCAAGACCAAATCTGCAGGAGGAATAGATGCTTTACTAATGTTGGCTGTGAAATGTTGGAGGAAGAGGTCAGGTGCAGAAGAAGCAGAAGGTCACTAAAGAGCTCCAGGCGGGATGACTCAAGTACCAGGAAATGACCCGTGTCTTTTCATCCACAGAACTAAGAGTGACTGCAGCTAGACTCATTTTCACAGTACTGTTCACACTGAGATCAAAAGCAGCCATATTCTAGTTTTGATATTTTTTACGTTAAAGGTCCTGTGGTTCCACTCTGTTCAGCAACTATAAATGCGCACTTGTGAGAAAGTTGCGTCACGTCTAATTTAAAGCTAAAGCTTCAGACCTAATTTCCTGCTGTAGTGTGAAAAATCAAATTTAATAGCAGCAGGAGCTCCTGCCCCCTGCTATGGTGACCTTGTTCAATAAAAACAGTAGTTTGAATAAGAAAAGCCCTAATTAGCGCCTGCTGACTGTGCATTTGTGCTGCAGCTAGCTAGCTAGCAGCAGGGTAATTAACACATGGCCAGACTGGCCTCTTTCCCCACTCTCTCCCTGGGAACTCGCTGAGCTGAAGATCTGAGGATGATCTTCCCATAGCCACCAGCAGCCGCCTACAAATTTTACTCTTATCCTGATTAACCTCTTTTTGATGCTTTTTAAGATTTTCTAATAATCCAAGTTTTAGGTTTAGGTATAAAACTGTAAAACGAGCGAACCTCTATATAGAAGTCTAATATAGAAGAACACCCAGTGTAAGAAGCTGCTCCAAAGTGAGTGAAAAACATGCATTGGGAGATTGAAGGGATTTTTGCCACCTTGTACTCTTTTTACAGGACTGATCTTATTTGTAGTTTTTTAGTGTCAATATTTGAAATGCATAGATACTGTATCTTATCATAGCTGACGTGTGAATTCGCAACAAGGTCATTAATCATTACCTGTGGCTAAGAGGTGAAGTCTATCCTCAGCACGTCTGTGAGCTTGTGTCTTAAGTGTTCATTTATCTGTGTTTGCTTACAACGGCGTTTATTCATCGACACACATTAGGTGTGGGTGATGGCGTCTGCCAAGCTGCCGCTCTTTAGCCCAGACCTTTTGCATTAATGAGGCTGCCATCAGCAGGCTCAACACTTTGTCACAACAGCCCCCTGTGTGCTGCCCGCTCCAGCCCCAGCACATCGCTGCCCAATGCCCATTGTTTCCTCGCGCAAATAAAGCAGGAATTAATTAGCCAGTTGGCACAACTTGTGGTGCACCATGTCAGCTCTCACAGTTCAGCTCTGCGCTTTATCCCTCAAGCCCAGTCGGCCTGTTGTGAGAGTGAGCAGAATGGCTCATACAGCATGAAACCACAGACCTCTGCCAACCACTCTGACATTTCAGGTTATTGCTCACTCGACAGTCAAGCAATCGCCAATGTGCTCTTTTTACCTGCACTGAAAGGTGGAATTTAATCAGGGTGATTTAAGTAGGTCAAAGTGACAGCACCAGGTGATGGGAAGACAGTGCTTACATGTATCAGAAAACAAAAAGTCAATGGAAAACAAGCCGTAAACCAGAACGATTGATATAACAATGAGCCACTATAATTATAAATTGTTTCCAAAATAACTTAGACATTTAAACCGCCTTGTGACCATGTTTTGCAGAGGTATGCTCAATGTGAATAGTATCTTTATCCTGCACTTTAGAAGACTTTATTTTAAAAGTCTGAAGTTTGTTTTGACACTTCTATTTATACTTATCTTCCTGTGGTCAAAAACTGACACAGGTCAAACACAGAAACCTTTCCCGCATTATGCAGCCTTTTTGACTTCTTTGTAACCCTAACGTCGCAAAGTGTAGGGTACTGGGAGAGACTGACGCTGTGGTTTGTCCCATATCTTGATGTTAGTCGTTCACTGGCTTTTTTGTAGAACACACTCCAGAAGTCTAGATTTTCAATGATAAGTTGTGCAAGTTTACCCAAGGTGCTATTTATAACAAGGAAAATGTATAATTCTAAAAAATTGAATTGTGCAATAACAACATGCAGGATCAATTTCCAACAATGAACAGAATTAGAACATATATAATTGTAAAATATTTATTTTATGACCGGGTTCAATGCATGCATTTTAAGTCCAGGTAATCATTTTGAACTCACTCACTTTGCACTTGTAAATGATAAAACTGTCCTTGAGTTAATCCATATGCAACCTTGATGTATTGCCCAATAGTTTTCTAAGCAGTGTGTTACCTAGATTATAAACATGTTTCTTCAATCTGGAACATATCAATGACCCTGAAAACAGCAGTCATCAAGTCTGTTCTAAAGTAGAGCTGTCTTGATCTCACTTATTTTTGATTGACTATGGATACGTTTATATAGATACTTTATTGATCCCCATTAGATAAATTAAGGTGTCCAGGAGCAGCAGAAACGCATGAAACCATACAAGCAAAACAAATGGATAATTTAAAAAGTAGCTAACAATAGTATTAAAATGCATCAACACTTTAGGTCACAGCAGCAGAGGTGGAGTAGCTGCTTGGTTTGGACTTGTTTTCTCTGCTCTGGTCCAGTAAGTAAAATGCTGAATGCATTCCTCCAGTGGATTTCTACTTGATCTGCTTGGTTCGGTTCGGTTCGTGAATCCTCTCTGCTCTGGTCTGGATCAGTGTTAAATTATGAACACTACTTAGTTTCCAATATCAACTAAGTAATTGCTGTCTAAAAATCATATGGCCCTGAGCTGTGGAGTACCACAGGGGTTTATCCTATGACCCCTTATGTTCCATCTCCCCATGCTGTGGTTTGGTCAGTTAATATGCAATAACAATGTGTCCTATCACAACTATGCAGACAACACTCAGATCTACAGTATGTCTCACTGACTGCAATAGAACATGGATCACTGATCCTTCACTGCATCCAACAGATTAGTGAGTGGATGCAAAACACTCCTGCTAAACAATATTGAAACACAATAGTGTGTTATCAATCGCCAGATTAAAGACAAAGGGGTAATGGAATTAGATGTCAATCAGTAACAGTGCCATAAGTGTCTAAAACGGACTTTGAGATTCTTATTGATGCATTTGACTCCAGTAGGTCAGACTACTGAAACGACCTGCGCACTAGGCTCTCCAAACGAGCTCCAAACAGCTCCAGTACATTCAAAATGCGGCAGCTCAAGTCCTGAAAAGAACCAGTAGGTACTTCTCAGTAGTCCAGTGCTCAGGTCTCTGCAGGCTCAAGGAAAAGGCTTTAACACTTGTGTTGTCCATGGCCTTACACTAAAGTGTGACATTTTGGTGCCATATTAAGCAACTCAAACTCTGAAGAACACGGGGACTGGTTCCCAGAGTCCCAGCAGGAGGCCAGTCCTGTCTGTAAGCACTATTTTGTTCACCTTGTAACATAGCTGGAGTGTTGAGCAGGTGGGATGCTTCTTCATCTTCTCAAAATGACCAGGGCATCGCTAAATCTGTGTTTGCTCCTAAAGCGCCATTACACATTTGTACAGCCTTTCCTGTTATGTGAGAGATCAGTACAACTATTCAACCAAACATTGACCCATGGGCATTTGACTCAGAAGCAATGTATATATGACCGAGCTGCGACTTTATGGAACAAACCAGCTGCTACACAAGCTGCAACGAATCTTTCCTTCACATGACTTTTGAAAATACATGTTCTGATAGAGGCTTGTGTCTGGGTGGATGTTTATATTTGTTTTTTTTATTATGTTTTTTTATATTTAGTTTGTTTTAGTTTTTTAGTAAACACAAATTTGATTTATAACAACGGCATGAGTTTTTATGGCATTGTAAACTGAATTAAAATATTTGTCTTAACCGTGAGGGGGTTTTTATCTCCACAAACTTGACCAGTACTTGTCATGGAAATGTTTCTTTGGTCATAGATATATTCTCAGAAATGGTCTCGATATTCTCCATATTGCTGATCAGCTTTTTGATTCTTTTTTTGTAGAATCCCTATGACAAAATTATATGCAAAACTGAATTGTGGGGTTGGCGGACTCCTGACAGCTTCATGACCCTTTTTGTTCGTTTAACCTTTTTTCCCACTACATTTAAATATTTATGTCTTTTCTCTTTCTCAGGGGACACCACACAAAGGATGAGATCTACTCCGTTTCCGACCCCTTCAGAATTGGATGCATATGCTAAGAAGGTGGCCAATAACCCTCTCACCATCAAGATCTTCCCCAACAGCATCAAAGTCCCTCAGCGCAACCATGTCCGGCGTACAGTCAATGGGCTGGACACATCAGGCCAGCGCTACAGTCCCTACCCCTCCACTCAACCCAGTGCCAAGACCGGCCTCCTCGCCATTGTCAAGGGACCTCCAGTCAAAGGGATCGTCAAAGATTACGATGGCAGCCGCACTCGCCTGCACCCTGACATCAACATGAATGCTCACATTGGATCATACCAAGTGGGCCCAAACAGCACTTTAAACCATCACCCGACTCCCCATGCGCTCCACAGACCCCCCCACAATTTGCCCCTTCCCCAGGACTTGCCCCGGTCCATCCAGATGTCCCTTCCTCAGCAGGGCCACCTGCTGCGTCATGGTCCGCCGATGGTCTTGCATTCTCAAGGTCCTCCCAGACCTTCCACCCAGCACTCGTCGTGTCACCCACAAGGCACTTCTGCCCTTCTCCTTCAGCAGTCGCACCTTCAGCAGCAGGCCCCTCCTATATTACCAGGGAGCAGGACGCTGCCAGATGGTGATGCACCACCCAATGTTACTATCTCTACCTCAACCATTCCACTCTCTATGGCCCCTGGTCTCCAGCAGGGCCACCACACCGACTTGAGTGCCATTGTGCATCAAATTAACCAGTTTTGTCAAGCTCGGGCTCACCATTCAGGCACCCCTTCCATGTGTGAAGGCCAGATCGCCAACCCCAGTCCCATAAACCGAAACCTGCTCATCAGCACCTGCTCTTGTGTGTCCATGCACAGCACCCCTGGATTTCCCCCACCCAACTGCACCATGTCATCTCAAGAGAAATCCACTGCCCTCGTGGGTGCTGCTCCACCCAGTGCAGCTGCTATGAACCATTTGCCTTCCAACCGCACTGATATCAAGCAACACCTCCATCATTTGCATCCTCATCAGAGTCAGCCTCTTCACCATGGCAACACACAGCAGAAGATGCGCTCATGGAATCAGCATCACTTAGGTCACTTAGGCCACGTGCAGAATGGTGGGGCCCATTTGGTCAAGCAGCCTCCAAGGGACCCCAACTCCCACTTTAAGGCTATGGGCTATTCCAATGAAGTGTGTGGTGGTCAGCCTTACCAAGTGAAGCCCCCCCTAGACAGACCTACGCCCTCACCACCCATTAACGGCATGCCCGGCTCCATAGCCCACTACACTAATGGCTACTTCCAGCCTCACGTGTGGAACAGCAGCATCCTCCCCACTCCCAACAGCGACAGCTCTGGCTCTCAGGACGTAGCCATGCCATTCCACGGTGCAGGTTCTGTAGGCTGCACCACACTAGACTGTGGCCCCCCTGGGGCTCCCCATTACAGGCTAGGAACGGGCTCCACCTCCTCCTCGGCCCACTCTAATCTGATGCAAACGGCAGATTACTTGGGTGGGGACTTCCAGACGCCCTACTTCCGTGATCAGAATCTAGGGCTGATGGGTAAAATGCACAGGGGTCCTCTGAGCAGGGTAGGGCCAGAGGTCGGGGATGGCAGAACCGCTCTCATCCAGCACCCAGGGTACAGATAAGCTATGGCCTTGTCTCTATGACAGTTATTAAACACCCTTTGTTTAGTCTTAAGGAATGAAACACATTAATAAATTAAAATTTGATAAACTTAAATGATCGTTAAAGAAGGTAAAGGAAAACTATATTTAATGAAATCAGTAGGTTTTTTTATGTATTACATCTTGCAAGTGATCAGTTATTTCTTTTTATTGATGAATACTTCTACCTGATTTATCGGCTCATTTTCTGTGCATTTGTAGATCTCCTTTCTTACAGTAAATGTTTTATTTTGGATTTCATATGGCACATTAGGAGCCTATGTATATTTACAGTTAAGTTTTATACAAATGTAATTATTTATTTGTACAATAGGACTGTTAAAGTATGACACTTCACTGTCAAAGGAAGCATGTAACAAGATGAGCTGTACATAATGTTGTTCAAAGTGAATCTGCATACATGTAGACATGGGTGACTAAAGCTGAGATTTAGCTTGAATGCTTTCTTTTTCCAAATGACAGACGTCAGGTAAGCAAACACTGTTTGCAGTTATATGTATGATTCCTTTTTAGATTGTTTTTACAACCGTGACAAATATTTTACTTGAATGTGGCATTTGGCAGGTGTGGAAGGTGACGGGCTCGTCAGGCACAACTGTGAAACAGCAATTATTCTCACGTCAGCGAGAGTCTATGGTGGTAAATACCAGGGCCCAGCAGAGCTTTGACCTTGGCTTTGTTTATTAATTCAGTTATATATAGTCGCTACTGATACCAATGTGATTTCTGTTCATAAAGACCAAATTGATCACTTGCAAGATCACACAAACAGACTTTAAGTTGTGATGTGAACAGCAAATGCATTGTTTATTTTATTCTACACTGGCTTCTATCTAGACTACTGTAACTTTAATGATTGTGGATGAGTGAATGCCCTGACGATGCGGGTACCCATTAAGATGAGTGTGCGTGTGCTTGTGAGGATACACACAAATACTCTCGTTTTGTTCACCTAACTCCCTAACAGCCCTTACAAAGCCTTAAGTGTTTGGTCCGCTGGACTTTCCTCTTGACAACAAGCATGGTTTTAATGGAAACCCCAAATCATAGTCAATGTGAGTAAGAAAATGGTAGGATACTCTGAAACAGCAATTTAATTTAAAATTACCTTTGGTCTTTTTAATTTAATGTTTTGTTCATTAGATCTTTTATTACCAAACGCAGGGGAAGAAGTAATATTTTGTAATTATATATTTTAGCAATGTGTAGTTACTGAGCTGTAACAGTTTCAAAAGCTTCATTTTGCAGTTGTGACTATAATACTTGATTTTTTTTTTTTTTGCTTGTTATTTAAACATTTTCCTCTTTGTTTCCTGTACTATTGCTGTGAAGTGGATGAAGGTCCATAAGCCTTTCTTTGTGTCATTCTGTACAACAGAAAAGAGGCAAGAGTGAGAGAGTTGTGCTACTCTTTTTGTAATACTGTAATAAAATAAAGTTCTAATTTATGCTTTCAAAAAGTGTCATTCTTTATTCATAATCAAGTCGTATGTAAAAAAGGTTGACTATACATTTACATCAGGGTTTTTAATATTTAAAAATGATTTTATTTAGTTGATATTGGTCATAATTCCATAGTCGAGCTCTGACCCGTGTACCTTGACGATCACACATTTGGTCCATTTGTTTTCCAAGTCATAGCTCATCAAAATGCAGCCAAAGCAAGATTGGATTAGTCTCTGTGATGAGAATTGGGTCGGCATAAAGGGTACGCAGCAGGAAGCGGAGATCAACACCTGCACAATCCACGCTCCTTACATTTCAGACGTGAAGAAGTTTCAGGGAAGGGGATGACCTCTGGACAGTGGGGGCTGTGGTGCATCCTGCTCAGGATGCAGAAGGGGTGTCCCGCAAACATTACAACAAATCTGTTGAAATGGTCTTCCCTTATTGTCAAAGTTTGGTGAACTCCGTTTAATGCCTGCACAGGTCTGTCCAGCAGAGGCTGCACTGGCCTGTCCAGCAGAGGCTACACTGGCCTCATCTCAGTGGACTCGTAGGTCTTCAAATTCTTGTCTTGAAGTAAGACTCGCCAGCTCCGCCCTGTGGACAAAATTGAAACTAAATGAGAATAGTTTGTACAGAGGAGTCTATTCAAGTTATGTTATGACTATGCTATATCCATTGTGTAGGGTCTACATGTTACCTCACTGTCCATTGTTATTCACTCAATTAAAAACAATCTTACACATTATTTAAAATAACCTTTGGGGCTTAACCAGGGTTGCACTATTGTTTTATGTGATGTGTTTGTCTTATCCTGGACCACGAGTCTGTTATAAATTTTGATGATGTATATTTTGCAGCACTCAAAATTACAACAGTTTACTCAAGTCACAGAATAGTTTTGGCAAATCAAACAGATTAGGAAAATTAAGCGATAGAACAAATGGTTGGTCCATATTGGCAAACGGATGTTCACAGGTATTTGAACTAATCGATAAATCAGTCCAGTCCTCATTCACTACAGTTACAATAACAGTTTTTGGCAAATGAAAGCAAATGCATTCATAGCAACCATACTGTACTCATCCTTTAGAATCATTATCCTTCCTGCATTATGGCCTTACCTCTGCCTAGTGGTGGTGGTGTACTCGGGCTTCTTTCTCTGTCATACCATCCAGGATCCTCATTGATTTGGATTTTGACCAGGTTGCTGTTCCATTTGTTCCAGTTGACTTCCTCCACTCTGAGACGACAAGAGGACACATGCTCCAATTACAGTGAGCTGTGGGAAGCATCAGTCAGCTGTCAGTGCGCTCAAATTAGCGGGGATTGAACAGGCGAGCGCTGTGTACTTTGCATGACTGACCCCCGCTCACACACAGCCCACACACCTTTTGTTTACGCTTATTAATTTTGACTCTCTGCTGTCTTCTACCCCCCCCAGGCATTAAGTGCTTCTTGTTTTTTGTGACATGTCAGACTGATGTATGGAGGACCACAACTGATAGAAAATATAACATCCGAGGCTTAGAATTTAAATAGTGTCATCTTTGTAGACTGCAAAGTGTGTATGTTGCAATAATTCTCACAAGTACTAGTGTATACAGAAGCAAGAGTGTATTGAGAGAGTGTTTTTCAACCAGTGGGCCGTGGCACGTTGGTGTGTCTTTGGAAATAAATAAATCCAATATCACCTAACTGGTCAAAATAATGTGAGACCATTAGAAATATCATTTGCACTCATTCGTTTTGCAAGTAAGTAAGTAATCTTTATTTATATATCCCATTTTACAGACCAAGGTCACCCAAAGCACTTTACGATTGTTGGGAGAGCAGATATTTTTCCATTCTCTCCACACGCTGTGATGACTGAAGCGAAACGCCGAACAACTATACATGTTTTTAGTGGTAGGGGAAACCGTCACTTTACAACACCCTTGGATAGATTAACTTTGCGTTGCTGATAAAGGCTGCACGATTTTATTTCTGTATCAGTTTTAGTTCATCCTGCTGTCTCGTGGCAAGGGCAGCCTGAGGGGTCTTGAGGTGTGAATGCCATAGTAAAGTAAATAGTCATAATTTTTGAGCACACTCCGAACAGCCGCAAGCGTCTCTGAGCCAGTTTAGCACACAGGGCGTCGGCCTCATCGGTCCATTTAAAATATTTGTCCAAGTGAAGGCCGAGATACTTAATTGAGTCCACTCGTTCAATTTGCACCCCATCTAAGAGAAGAGAGTTGTGAAACTTCAGGTTCTGCTTGTCACACTAGTCTTTGAAGGAGTCTACCTCATTGAAGTAGATTGAGGGACAGTTCCCCTTGGTCAGCAGACTCACAGTGTTGTCTGAGAACTTGATGACACTGTTTTTTGGGTAACCACTTTTGCAGTCGTTGGTGTAAAAAAAAAAACATTGTTAATACTGTGTCTTGGTTCTGGCAGATCAGAAAGCAGAATGACCTTTCGCATGATCAGTTCCAAATCTTAATGACCGAGAGTTTATCAGTGGAGCTTCAACAGCAATGTACCTCTTATCTCCTGGACAGGTCATGCAGTTTATTGACGTGGTCATTTACTGGAAACCCAAGTTTATTACAAACCAGCAGATGGAGCCAAAACAAAGTGTTCAGCTTCCTCTGCTTCATCAGCAAAATACTATATTGTCAAATTGTGCATCTCTTTGACTAAAATAATGTCCATAAAAAGCATGGGTCTTAAAGTATGCTGTCAATATTGGAAAACTCCCAAGTACGTATGATTCCCTTGATCGCCATCTGGATCTTACAGACAAGATCATTAGGTACAGTTTACATGCTCTGTGTAAAAAGACATATATATTTTCTCACTGTCTGAAGTCAAACAGATTGTTTACAAAAATCTTTTGTCTCTGTTCCACTATATTGGAATCACTCTCTACTAATTTTGATGTGACTTTGTAGATAGTAATAAAAGATACATTATCTCTTCAACCACAAATATTACTAGTCTTTTAACAATGTGAGAAAGCTCAAATAATAATGTCATGGCCTTTGTAAGTTCTGATAATTGGTTGACAATTAACAACTGATCTAAAATAGTTATGTTAGTAATGGTTTTATCTTCAGCCAGGAGGTTTAAAAAATCTTCATACGGTGTGCCTTTTCACAATGTGTAAAGGTAAACTTCTCTTTTCCGCCATATATAATAATAACGCTATAACTATATAATGAGCAGTCCCAAACCTGAAACAGCGGCGCCGGTCGTCTCCGAGAGCAGTGCACAGGTTCTTGTCCACTCCGCAGCGGAACCTCTTCTTCAGACAGCTGGGCAGCCTCTTCTCCATATCCAGGATGGTCATGGCCCTCTGGACACAAAAGACACATCTATGGTCAATTCTAAAAATAATGCAGTCTGTCTGGGCAGTCTTTTAGAAAAATATTATTATCAAGTCATAAACAGACTCCAAAGATGCCTTACTAATGTACAGTGCCTTGCGAACCTTTCAACATTTCGCCACATTTCAGGCTTCAAACATAAAGATATAAAAATTACATTTGTTGTCAAGAATCAACAAGTGGGACACAATCGTGAAGTGGAACGAAATTTATTGGATAATTTAAACTTTTTTAACAAATAAAAAACTGAAAAGTGGGCGTGCAATATTATTCGGCCCCCTTGCGCTAATACTTTGTAGCGCCACCTTTTGCTGCAATTACAGCTGCAAGTCGCTTGGGGTATGTCTCTATCAGTTTTGCACATCGAGAGACTGGAATTCTTTCCCATTCTTCCTTACAAAACAGCTCGAGCTCAGTGAGGTTGGACGGAGAGCGTTTGTGAACAGCAGTCTTCAGCTCTTTCCACAGATTCTCGATTGGATTCAGGTCTGGACTTTGACTTGGCCATTCTAACACCTGGATACGTCTATTTGTGAACCATTCCATTTTAGATTTGGCTTTATGTTTTGGATCATTGTCCTGTTGGAAGATAAATCTCCATCCCAGTCTCAGGTCTTTTGCAGACTCCAACATGTTTTTTTCCAGAATGGTCCTGTATTTGGCTCCATCCATCTTCCCATCAATTTTAGCCATCTTCCCTGTCCCTGCTGAAGAAAAGCAGGCCCAAAGCATGATGCTGCCACCACCATGTTTGACAGTGGGGATGGTGTGTTCAGGGTGATGAGCTGTGTTGCTTTTACGCCAAACATATCGTTTTGCATTGTGGCCAAAAAGTTCGATTTTGGTTTCATCTGACCAGAGCACCTTCTTCCACATGTTTGGTGTGTCTCCCAGGTGGCTTGTGGCAAACTTTAAACAAGACTTTTTATGGATATCTTTGAGAAATGGCTTTCTTCTTGCCACTCTTCCATAAAGGCCAGATTTGTGCAGTGCACGACTGATTGTTGTCCTATGGACAGACTCTCCCAACTCAGCTGTAGTTATCTGCAGTTCATCCAGAGTGATCATGGGCCTCTTGACTGCATCTCTGATCAGTCTTCTCCTTGTTTGAGATGAAAGTTTGGAGGGACGGCCGGGTCTTGGTAGATTTGCAGTGGTCTGATACTTCTTCCATTTCAATATAATTGCTTGCACAGTGCTCCTTGAGATGTTTAAAGCTTGGGAAATCTTTTTGTATCCAAATCCGGCTTTAAACTTCTCCACAACAGTATCTCGGACCTGCCTGGTGTGTTCCTTTGTCTTCATGGTTCTCTCTGCGCTTTAAACAGAACCCTGAGACTATCAAAGAGCAGGTGCATTTATACGGAGACTTGATTACACACAGGTGCATTTTATTTATCATCATCAGTCATTTAGGACAACATTGGATCATTCAAAGATCCTCACTGAACTTCTGGACTGAGTTTGCTGCACTGAAAGTAAAGGGGCCGAATAATATTGCACGCCCCACTTTTCAGTTTTTTATTTGTTAAAAAAGTTTAAATTATCCAATAAATTTTGTTCCACTTCACGATTGTGTCCCACTTGTTGTTGATTCATGACAAAAAATTTAATTTTTATATCTTTAAGTTTGAAGCCTGAAATGTGGCGAAATGTTGAAAGGTTCAAGGGGGCCGAATACTTTCGCAAGGCACTGTATGTAATGTGACCATGCAAATTGGATTTGGACATACTTGAATAATATAAAATCACAGAAATAACATAACACATTATTTTTGTATTTGGAGGTTCATAAATGTTGCAATTGTTGTTTAACTGGCCCTGGTAGGTGGCAATAGCTTTCGGTTCTGAGGTTGAAATAAATGAATAGGGCCATAACAATTTAGCTGTTTTATGTCATTGTTGCATTGTTCACAATTATCTAATGTTATGCTTTTGTTTCAAGATATTTGGAGCAATAATATGTGTTAAAGTAAAGTGTTATACATCGTTCTTAAGTGAGGGACCTGCAGCTTCCATATACTGGTGGTTTCCAGCGTGAGCTTCTCCACAGTGCGGTTCATGAGGGCGATGAGCATGTTGAGAAGCAGGATGTAGGTCAGGATGATGTATCCAATCAGCAGGAGGTAGAACACCTCTTTATACTGATAGTGCTCAGTGAACTCCATGTCTCCCATCCCAATCGTGAACTTGAACAGCTCCAAAGTGGTATAGGAAATGTTCCTGAAGCTGGGCTTGACACATGTGTGCTCCTCTTCAACAGGAAAGAAGAGGCGACCCTTCGAGACATTCTTTGGAGGGGGTTCTATGAGAAGGGTGACCACAGCTGCAAAAAAAGGCAGTGAACATTGACATGTTTTATAAAAATTTAATATCAAAGGTGAAGTATTACCTGCTGAAAAGCCAAAGAGAAAGACCGCATAGACAAAGAGAAACCGGAGAATGTCACTCAGAATCATCTGCAAAAACAGAGGGCAAATATACTTTTAGTAATATTAGTTAATGGTTTGAAACATATTGTTGGTTTTAGTACCACAAATCTATAAGATATTTTTGAAATGTCTTCCTCCTGACAATGTCCTATACCTCTACAGTAATAGCCACACCACAGCAGTGCATGTAAGTGCTGTGTGCCCCAGTGATGGGGGGTGTACCTTCTGGATCATGACGCTGTAGATGCCCATGTGCCTTGATCCTCTGGAGTAGTAGAGGAGATTGACCCAGCTCAGAGCCAGACACAGCACCATGAAGCCAAGGTACTCCTGTCTCCCACACACATACAGCACTGCTGCAGCCAGGAAGAGCAGGGCTTGGCTGAAACTTCACCATTCACACAGAGGAAGGGTTAGCAACATCACAGTCATGGCTTGAACTTAATAAGGCCGCTCATTAAGACTGCTCTGTGTCTGACAGGAGGCATTAGTGTGCACAAGGCACATCTCTGCAGGTGTCACTGGCACACCTAGTCATGGGTCAACTGAGTCAATTGAATAATACTTTAATACTACAAAATAAGGACAGATATTGAGAATGAGAATGAAAACACAATGCTACTTACAAAAGAATGTCATAATATCCATCAATTAGTAATGTTTTAAACTTAGGCCTTTTCCTTTTCATTTCTATAACCTAGGAGAAAAAATATTAACGAAAGCAATGTCATTATTATATATGCTTAAAGAATATTTACCAGCTCTTACATACCCCAGTGACAAAGAAGGATAGGTTTGCTAGCGCTGTCAGCAGTTGGCCTGTGACATACAGATACCCTGTAACTGTGTGCTCAACAGGAAATGGAGGCTGAAAAGTAGAAAGCACTCATTCAAATTAAATTACCAAGTCTTAAGAGGCTTTCCCGTAAAACAATGTTAACTTACATTATTGTCCTTCTTATTATAGGCCACAAAGGTGAAAATACACAGATATGACAGGTACACCATAAAATTAAAGAAAAACATTCCTCCAGCAAATCTCTCCCACTTTTCATCAAGCAATTGACATAAAGGCTCCGTTTCCAGCATCTCGTGACGATTCTGAAAAACGGAACCAGAACAAATTACACATTTTTTGCAACGTCACAGTATTAACTGTCTACACTCAAAACACTGATGACACTGTGTTTTCATGGCTACTTCAAAAAAACAATTTGTATCTTGTCTGTTTGTCTGTTTGTTCCAACAGAAAAAGTCTTTGCAAACAAATCTTATGAGAAAGCATTTTATCTTTAACAAACTGAGAGTGATTGGCTGAGTGAGGGCTGGTCCTCTCTGTTCACTGAAGAAAACAAAACTGATCTACAGATGTGACAGAGGCAAAAAATACTAGTGATAGAACCAAACCATGGATCTATCATGGATTTTTATAACACAGTTAAAAGTTATAGCACAATATCTTTTTGGTGTAAAATACTCAAGTGTAAAATACTTCAGCATTTATTTATTGTTCCCTCTGCTATCCATGGGTCAAATGTACTAATTCCAGTCACTTCTTACTTCAGACATTAAGTAAGATATTTTTTCAACAAAAAAGACCAAAACTCAAAGACATGTTAGAGGTGCTTTTAAAAAATGTAAGAAAAATGTATTGTTTTGTGTACAACAATCTGACATTGTTAGTTTTAGTGATTCTCTTGATGTGAATTTGATACTGACTGGAATGCCATTGTTGTAGACCAGAATATCCAACACAGATTTCTTCTCCAGGGAGTCCACAGAATTCAGGTCGTAGAGAGAACTTTGTACTGGGCCATAAACCCACTCTGTGAATTTTCGAGACAAGTGTTTGGTGTGTGGCTCGTGAAACTCTCGTTTCAAGATGTGGGAGAAAAGCTGAAACACACAGTGAACAGATCAGTCCAGTGCCATGAATAATACACAATAATAGTGATACAGGGATAAAAAAAATTCACATAACTGCTTTAGTTTTACACGTTTTGTTTGTTCCGATATTATCTGCCAGTATGGGACATTTCTCCAATGGCACAATGTTTTTAAGTGTTGGCAAAATGCTAAAAATCTATTAACTAAAACAACCATTTTTATTTTTGTCAATTATGCATTGACAAAAACGCATTTTACTTTACTTCTTAAATCGTATAAAATAACTGTGTACTTCTACTTAAAAGGACATAATATTTATTGCGTTAATTTGACTCAGTGACTGTGAGAGTGGTCTTGGCGCCTTTACCTTCCATCACAGAGGTCTCTAGGATCCTGTGATGGCAATCTGCCTGTGACTCGGGGACGCCAACTCACTCCCCCCTGCTGCTCTATCCAGCTAACCTGCAGGAAGGAGCCAGTCCTCCCCGCACCGCCAGACAATGATGCAAATCACTGTCTCACCCCTGTCCCTTTCGCATCTGTATGCCTGCATCTCTACATCCTGCATGACCATTGTCTGTCTGTTTGCACCTCCATGCCACTGTCTGATTGCCTCACCACGGGCATGGCGCCTACGCTCCCTATGCGCCTCCTGTACTGGTGGCCCCCTCCCATCTGTTGTGGGCGTGACTGTCTTTATGTGTTGTCTATGTAAACAGGAACCTGAGCTCTGCGCGCCAGAGCTGGTGTATGCTGCCTTTTGTATATGTTAGCTCTCCGCACGTGTGTACAATAAACTTACGCTCCTGAATTAAGACAAATACTTTTGAGCTTTCTCCTTCATTGGGGTATGTAATTCTACAACAATTTGGCGTTGCTGGCATGTCTTGGCATGGGATTTTTTCGGCGGGGACGAGCGGCTGCGTTTGGCCGACCTGGAAACAACACCAGCCTCTGCTCTATTTGGAGACAAAGGAGGGCGCGCTCGTCCGGCGCGTGAAAGGAATCTTTGGCCACACAAGACCAAAAAGAACCTGATTTGGTGAGTTTTGTCTTTTCATCTGCGTAACGAGCCCAGGGCAGCACTTAAGTGTACACGGGGATTTGTTTATTTACGTATTTTTGGGGTATTTCATTCATTGCCACAGCATAGACTGTGCGGGATTTTTTGGGGCATTTCATTCATTGCCACAGCATAGACTGTGTGCGGGATTTTTGGGGGTATTTTGTTCTAGATTGAAGCTAGCGGCTGCGTGTTAGTAATCGCTCAGTAAGCGACCCTGATAATTTCTCTAGTGTCTTCAGCCAGACCCGCTCCGTTTCAAGAACGCGCGCTCGTTGGGTATATAGAACCCACGGGGGGGGGAACGGAGCGCTCCAAAGTGGGTAAGAGCAGGGAAGAGACTAAACGGGTTAGGTCCATTGTTCTGTACGAGAAAATGGGGAAAAATCAATCTAGAGATGCCACACCGAGGGGAATGTTAACGTCCCCCGTTACAATGGCAATGGGAAAACAGTTCGATTCCGTTTGGAGGCTCTATGTCTCTGAATCAATTACGCATCTTGCGTGATAATTTAGAAGAAGAAAGGAAAAAAAAAAAATATATATATATACTTGGTTTTAAGAATATCACGGCAAAAGACGTTAGAGAAAGAAATATGTAAAAACAATAGCTCCTCCGCTTTTCACCGAAGCGGAGAACGCACAGGCGGACACACACACACACACACACACACATCCCACACACCCCCACCCTACCGCCCTTTTTCCCCTACTAACAATAAGTGTGCACCCAAACAAGGCTTTGGGTTTTTAAAAAATGAGCAGACTACTGTTGTCCCCTTTTCCTCTCCCTGTCCAGGTCTGTCGGCGCTTTCCTCCGCGCTCTCCCTCTGCCTCAAAGCCCCAGCACCAGCCCCACGCCCCAACCACGGCGGCGCTCGCACCAGCTGAGACCCCGCGAGAAGTGGGCCCAAACCCGGGAGCAGAAGAAGAAGCGGCGGAAGCAGATACACGCTCAGGAAACCGCAGAAGAAGAAGCGGCGGAAGCAGATATGTGAGACACCGACAACTGCTTTGGAGGCCAGAGACAAACTGCTCCAAATCCCGTGACTGTTCCCCACGGAGGCGGCAGCGTGAAACACAAAACGCACCCGCTGAAACCTCGTTGAAGGTTGCCCCCGCACCGCAAACAGAAGAAGCCATTGGGACCGGCACGTTTGGGTATTAACCAACCCTCATGGACCACAGGCTAACATTATTTGAACGCTTTGGGCTACCTGGGCCTCCTGCGGACTTTGAGAAACTTCCACAGCCCGGCGGAAAGACTGTGTGCTCGACATGGGTCGAAGGACTGTTACCGGAGGAGGCGTTAAAGGCAGAGGAACGCTCAAGCTAACACGGGGCCAGAGGACGGCAGAGGCGGGCGTGGAGGAAACACGAGCGACTGACCAAACCCGGGTTCACATTCGTCACCAAAGCGACCGCTCATGTAAGTTTGAACAACAACAAATTGCAATTGGCACTTTTTAGAGATAATTCATGCTAAATTTCCAGAACATACGCTAACAATTTGTGGCGAAAATGTTACTTTTCTAGTTGACTCCGGGGCAACAAATTCTGTGCTAAAAAGTGACAGCCTTTATGTCTCCCCTAAAATGAGTGGCCGCTTCACATTCTCATTAGCAGCGTGGGGAGAGACGACTAAAGAGCAATTTACGTCACCGCTAACGTGTTTTGATTCTCAGGGCAACCAGCTTAAACATTCGTTTCTATATTCCCCATTGTGCCCGGTTAATCTACTAGGCCGAGACCTTATGTGCAGACTCAATTTAAATCTGCTCTCAACACCAAGCGGCCTACGGGTGGTACACGCTAGTGACCTAGCAAATGCTCCATGTTTCACCGGCATGCACAAGGAGGCACCGGTCCCAAAAGTTAACTACCACTGGAAATTGACACCAAACCCTGAGATTGCTAAGTTATTAGCCACAACAGTGGATAGAGTTACGCCCGCACAAAATTTGGAGGTCAACCACGCGAACGACCTAAGCTGCTCTCTCCGGTCGTTCCCAGACAATAACTTGGAGTTTGAAAATTCATGGCTTCAGTGTAGTAAAGATAGGCTACAAACGGAGTATGTTTATTGGGATAGGCACTACTCCATGGTATCTGTGCTACTTAATGAGCAACAAAAACATTTTATCGTGAAACAAAGGTGAAGTATTAAAGTTTGAGACTAATTTACATTTTTAATGAATCCGACCTGGCTTTATTGAAAAAGAAAAAAGAAGGAAAATAAACATTTTCAAGTAACAAGAGCTCATTAGAGATATAGGGGACACAATCTGTGATAAGCCCGAAGTACAGACCACGTGGTAAACACTAAAGTTGGAAATGGATCCTTTTAGGAAAAACCTCTTAGGGCTCTGCATGTTCTGCAGGCTCTGAAAGTTGCAACAATAGAAATAGCTCATGAGACAATTGTAATTGGACATGGAAAAATATAACAAAGTTAAAATTACAGGCCTTCTGTGTGTTGTTTATATGTTTGTGTGTGTTATATGTTTGTGTATGTTATATGTTTGTGCGTAATGTCAAGTACACTACGTTGACCTTAACAGACTCTGGACCAACATACTAACGTGGGGAATCGGCCTGTGATGTGTGAGTGATGCGGGTGTGATGTGAAATGAGGAGTGCTGAACGGAATCATGGAATAACAAATGTTTCTGTAATGTTTTAATGTGATCATGGAATAATTATTTTTTGTCAACAGCATACGGTGTAAGTACTAGAGATTCAAAGATAACAAGCTTTATTGAACAGGTGTAAAAGTGAGAGTACTCTGGGATGAGTACTCTGAGAAAAGTACTCTGCGGAAAGTACTCTGAGATGAAATACCTTGCTGAAGATATTGGGAGTCCCTCCCTCTGCTGTTTGTCCTGACAGTGATTCGGTCCAACCGCAGTGAGCTGTCGTTGGTTGAAGGACAACTTTGGTTTGTAAACTCACATTTAGGGGAGTATAAAATTTAGAAACATACATTTTGTTAAGTCTGTATTTGGCTACAGCCTCTGCCCTGATGTCACACACCGTCTGTCAATGCAGTTATGTTTTGCCCAATTTGAAAAAAGATTGACAAGCGAAAGTGGGCATTTTTTGTGTTTTTTGTGTTCTAATATTTCTTTTTCAGATGAGAGATAAACTACCCCTGCTTCAGGGATGACAGTAGTATGGATCATGAGGAAATGAGCCTCTACTTTGGCACCAAAGCCCACAATATGAATTGAGGACGATCCGGGAGAAAAGCAACTGGAGATGAACGGAACAGCAAATCTACACACACACACTAGGTCTCCCTGACCCAACCCGGCCAATTCACTCAGACTGTGGATGAGCGGTGTGGGTGCATGGTGTCGGTACTTTTGCAGTCTCACGGAGGGCCACTGAGACCCACTGCTTACTTCTCAGCAAAACTCGATCCCGTGGCAGCAGGGTTGCCTCGCTGCCTGCGGGCTGTGGCTGCCGCTGAGAAAGCGGCCCTAGCATCACGTGACCTTGTGGGATACACTGAACTAACTTTGCTTGTGCCCCATGCTGTTTCCCTGATCCTGCTAGAGCAGAAAACCTCTCACCTTTCTGCGGCTCGTTGGCTGAAATACAACACGGTGCTCTTTGAACTCCCCAATGTCACGGTGAAAAGATGCACACAGCTGAACCCCTCCTCACTGCTGCCCACGCCAGAGGAAGGGGAGGCACACTGCTGTATCGCCACAATAGAACAGATATGCACTCCCAGGCCAGACCTGAAAGAGGTGCCTCTGACTAATCCTGACTTGATTTTTTATACAGAAGGATCCGCGTCACGTGACAACACTGGGAAGAACCGAGTCGGCTATGCTGTGTGCTCTGATTTTGATACTATAGACTCTGGTAGTTTGCCCCCACCACCATTCAGCACAAACCGCTGAACTGATCGCGCTCACCAGGGCTTGTGAGCTGGCAGCGGGCAAAACTGTTAACATATTCTGTGATAAGCGTTATGGTTTCTCTGTGGTGCACGACTGGGGGGCACTGTGGAAACACCGCAATTTTATGAAATCTGATGGGTAAACCAATTCTTAATTCCACACAGGTTGAACATCTGCTGAAAGCTGTAATGTTGCCCTTAGAGATCGCTGTATGCAAATGCCAGGCCCACACTAATGCCACTGATCCCATCTCTGCAGGGAATCGGCGCGCGGACAAGGCAGCGGCATACTCACCTCTACCCACACACACACACTACCTCACTCAAGACGTTGATATTTTCTCCTCTCTGTCAGCAATGCAGAGAGGCTGGTGCTATGAGACTTGGGTGGCATCTCTGACTGCCACCCCCCTGACCCAGAAATGGATTAAAGGGAAGAAGATGGATGGATGGATGTCAGCAATGCAGGCGCTGGCCACTCCGGCAGAGACAGTGCTGTGGGAAGGAAATGGGGCTCAACGACGGCATGGTGTGTGGCTGGGACCAGACCGCAAACCGTGCTTACCACGGCATTTCTTCAGACATTTTGCAATTTTAGCACATGGCCGAGACCATGCCTCAAAAGGAGGGATGTGTGATTTAATCACACAAAATTGGTATACAAAGGGGTTTACGGCATTTGCACAAAGATTCTGCCAAACATGCGCTATATGCCTCGCGCACAACCCAGGTAAGTCCCAAATTATCCAACAGGCTGCCCATCCTCCGCCCCTGCGCCCATTTCAACATGTCCAAAGGGACTTTGTTGAACTCACACCATGCCAAGGTAAGAAATACTGTCTGGTGGATCTCTGGCCCAAATGGACTGAAGTATTTGCATGTAAACACGCCACGAGCAACGCGGTGGTGAAAGCTCTGCTCACAGAAATTGTGCCACGATGGGGTGTCCCGAGAGAAAATCTCTAGTGACAATGGCAGTCACTTTGTAGCAAAAGTCATTGAGGAAGTAGGTGAATTTCTGGGCATTGATATACGTAAACACTGCAGTTACGCCCCCTGGAGCGGAGGCGCGTGCGAGCGAGAGAATGACACTCTGAAAAACAAACTTGTTAAATCTGCGAACAGACAGACCTGTCTTGGATCAAAGCTCTGCCGCTAGCCCTCATGTACATGCGCATGAGAGTCAGGTCAGGGTCAAACCTAAGCCCATTCGAAATCCTCTTTTGCCAGACCACCCAACTTGGGCGCGGGACCCCCGAACAGAGATCTGCCAAGCACCTCTTTGTGTGATGACGACATGCTGTCCTATTGTAAGGAAATTAATGCACTTTTGCCCTCTATTTCTGCCCAGGTCAGGAGCGCCCTGCCACAGGCTGCGCAGGCGGCTCCGCACAAGATCAAGCCAGGCGACTGAGTCCTGGTGAAGGAAACGAGACGACAACATTGGCGGTCCAAGCGCTGGCTGGGCCCATTCCTCGTCCTCCTGGTGACGGACACTGCCGTTAAGGTCGCGGAGAGGACAACTAGGATCCACGCCAACCACTGTCGTGCGGGGCTGCCACTGAGGGCCATAGACGAGGACACCGAGGGCACGGACGGACCAGGCCCATCCGCGGCTCCCTACGCTGAAGAGGTCGGCCGGCGTGCGGCCACCGTCGGTGAAGCAGGCCAACAACAACACCCAGAGAATCCCAGCGTTCCCGAGGCGACCCCCCTTTGCCCAACTCCCCAGCCCCCGGACCCCAAGGCCACACCCCAAACCCCGAGCACTCTGCCCAACCGAGTGCTGAGGCCAAGGCTTCAACGCGATTAGAGTCTTGCCGCTCCAAGACCAAACATCGCCATGACCACTAACGCTCCACACACGCTCATAGGGAGCGGTGCCACTGACTGCAAGACGGCACTGTTCGTGAGTATTCCCGCGGAAAAGACTACCGAATGTAGCCCGGCTAAGACCGGCATGGGCCCTTGGACTGTTATGCTGGCCACACTGACACTACTTTCCGTGCTGACCGTGTTTATTATGTTAGTATCGTCCTGCTGTACATATATTCCGGCTAATGATGAGGACGGAGGTCTTATCCAACAGGGCATAGCCAATCTGACTAGACTCCGGGACGCCATGCAAGCGGACAATGTCACGGACACTCCTCACGGTCTGGACTGGCTCCTGTCCTCCTGGCGGAGTGTGCTCATTAATCTTGGTTTAGCCCTATTGACTGTTATGATTTTATTTTCATGTGTATTACCTATGGTGTTTCGGGCCGTTGGTAAAATGGTATCCACTCACTTTGTGTCCATTCAATACAAAGACCCCGAGGCGGACCTGGCCGCTGTCCCACTGAACTCCGATCCTGATTATATCAGCGATTCGGACGATGACTTTGTCTAACGTTTTTCTTTATTGTTTACCTTGTTTTTATTTTTCCACTTGTTTCGCCTACAGTTTAGGGGGAGGGTATCACAGTGAAGAGCTTTGGCCACACCCTCGTAATACAAGAGGCTTGGGTGACGGCAGCCTAGCCTGCCCATCAACAACTCTTGTTTTGCTCAGGGGTCAAGGTCAATACTCACCCACCTGAATGTGATCTCTGTAAAACTGGAGTTTCTACATTATCACGGGAGAGGAGTGTGATGGCAATCTGCCTGTGACTCGGGGACGCCAACTCACTCCCCCCTGCTGCTCTATCCAGCTAACCTGCAGGAAGGAGCCAGTCCTCCCCGCACCGCCAGACAATGATGCAAATCACTGTCTCACCCCTGTCCCTTTCGCATCTTGCATCTGTATGCCTGCCTCTCTACATCCTGCATGACCATTGTCTGTCTGTTTGCACCTCCATGCCACTGTCTGATTGCCTCACCACGGGCATGGCGCCTACGCTCCCTATGCGCCTCCTGTACTGGTGGCCCCCTCCCATCTGTTGTGGGCGTGACTGTCTTTATGTGTTGTCTATGTAAACAGGAACCTGAGCTCTGCGCGCCAGAGCTGGTGTATGCTGCCTTTTGTATATGTTAGCTCTCCGCACGTGTGTACAATAAACTTACGCTCCTGAATTAAGACAAATACTTTTGAGCTTTCTCCTTCATTGGGGTATGTAATTCTACAACAATCCATAGGACCCTCACAGAAAACATACAATGATTGATCCTGGAGCTCTGAAGACACTCCTAAAGCCACTGGGTCAAATAAACGGAAAAAAGTAATTTAACATAAAAAGTGGCATGTTGCACCTTTAAGTAAGGTTCAATACTTTTACCTGAGAATGTTGGTATACAACTTTTTTATTCTCCTTTTAATTTCTTTATTGTGTATGTGGTTGGGACAGTGCTAATTTACATCCATCATCCCACACCCACTCACAAAGACTCATTCACCCTGAACTATTGCAGATGTTTTTCGTGGTTGGGGAAACTGGAGCACCTGGAGGAAACCTACGCAGACACAGGGAGAACAAGCAAAATCCACACAGAAAGACCCTGCCTGGAGGTGGAATTGGCCCCAGGACCTTCTTACTGTGTGCAAGCATTTGCCTCTGTACCTCTGACACTATATACTGGAACTAGATAAACTGGTATGTTTCAATCTTAGAGATGATAAAATAAAACATAGAAAATACCTAAAATGACGATGATGCATGCACAGAAACTGGAGTGTGTATACAATTAGCTGAGATGTAGACAGAAGACTACATTTGTGGAGGGAATAGTAAATACAACAGAGTGTACCCCTAGCTTTCCAGTCTTGGCGGCCATGTTGAGAGGTGAGAGTCCGCGGTGGTTCACGATATCCTCCAGTTTGGCCTCGGGCTGCAGGCTGGCCGTGGTCTTGAGGATGCGGTCGTACATACTCGTGATGAACTCTGTGTTTTCCTTGGAGTTATCGGCGATGGTGACCAAAGCGTGCAGCACCGTGTTCCCATGAGAGTCCACCTCAGTGGGTTTGGCCCGTTGGTACTCGTTCACCATCAGAAAGTCCACCATCTCAGGCTGGTTAGTGCACGCTGCTAAGGAGAGGGGAAGTTCACCTAGGGAGAGATTATATTTGCTTAGATGGAGATGAGATGTGGATCAAAGATAGTCGAAATACAGTAAGTTATGTAGATGGGATGACAAATAGACAGAATTCTACAGCACTTGTATGGCTACTATGCAAGTTTCCCATCTAATAATGAAAACACTGAACAAAAAATGTCACTGTGTCTATATGTATGTTTCTATAATCCTGTGTAATCTGTTTTTCAACCAGTGTGCCGTGGCATGTTTGTGTGCCTTGAGACTTTGTTGGTGTGCCTATGGAAATTCAACTCAATTCAATGTTATTCTTGTATAGCCCTAAATCACAACAGTAGTTATCTCAGAGGACTTAACAAAACCGTTGAAATTGCCAACACAGATCAGAGAATCAAACAGTTCAAACACAAATAATAGAAAACACACAGATATTGGTCCATAAGTGTTGATAATGGTCCATAATAATCACTACAGTCTTTTTTGTTAGACCCTCTAACAGTCTAACAGACCCTCCTGTAGCGGAAATGATCCATTATCAACTAAATTGGTCCAAATAATGTGAAAAGAAAACAATGTGGGAGGATTAGAACAAAATAATTGCGCTTGTTTGATTTCCTATATATTACACCCATCCATCCAGGCTGCAGAGTTAAATTTTTGCATCAGTTTTAGCAGGTGGTGTGTCGTGAGGTTTTTTATTTTGTTTTTTCAATTAAAAAGATGTGCCACGGCTCAAAAAGGTTGGGGAACACTGACCCATACATACCATGGTACCAAAACAGAAGCGTGTTAGTGCAGTGGCCAAAATGTACCTCCAGGGGTCCCTATTCCTGGATATTTACAGTCTATGATATTGTCACACACTTGTGCCTATTTAAGGTATTCAGGGCAGCAGGTGTTGAAGATGTGAGAAGAACAGCCTTTTGACCGTGTTCGTGAGCACATGGAAATGACATTTTGGACTCATTTTTAGACCAGAAAACACATGTCTTAAATCATAAAACATTTGCAACCTACTGTATAGTGGCTCAGTGTCACAGAGCTCCTGGGCCTCTACAGCAACTTTTTAGATCTTATCCCTTCAGATTTTCTGTATATACTGTAGCCGCTGCCTGTTTGCACTTCTTGTCACACATCTCCACAGGATGCTGTTTGTGTGTGTGACGTCAACTGTAGACTGTACTCTTGCGCAATGTACTTACCTCCAAGAAGATTTGTATAGGGTATTTTTTCTAATCATAGTTTTATTCTCCAGCTACAATTTTATTTAAATATGATAGGTATTTTTCTTGTCTGGATGCCCTATTTCCTCATTGTGGAACAAACAACTATTCATAAAGCAGAAATGCATAACTTTGTGAAGCCGTTTTATGACTCTGAAAGTGTGTAAGTGTTATCACTAAACCAATCAAAAGCCAAAAGTAGATGAGAGAAGATGATGTCCTCAATTCTAACGTTTACTACGTGACATACAGAAACATCTATACACAGACAGACAGAGATACAGTAAGACCCACGTTGCCAATATTATGATTATAATTATTATTGATCATTAATGTTGCTAATGTTGGTTACTTTCTTTATCCTTAAGCTAATTTAAATAATGAATAATAATAGATAATAATTAGTTTTGTGTCGTAGTCTTGTTACCCCCCTTTGCTGGTTAGTTGGTCTGATCACCCAGCTTAAATGTCTCCCTTGTGTGTCTTGTGTTAGGTCAGTTTTGTCATGTTCAGTTTGATTTCATTTGATTTTTGCCTCATTTCTTTGCATTTTCAACATATTTTTGCCTGGTTATAAATCCTAAATATTAAAATTGTATTGTGTGTTTCCTGCCGTACCTTCGGTCCCATACAAGGATGTTTCAAGGCGTCTTTTCTCCCTTGTGACTGTTGCATTCTGACATCCCCTTTATGCATGCCTGAACTGTTTGGTCATATGATGCTGCTTCAGACATGGACACTCACCAAAGTAGAAGTTGGGTTCGTCATGTGGCTGAAAGAACTTCCCACTGGCCCTAGCGTGTACATCTGCCCCTTTGCTTAACAGCAGCTCCACATAGGAGCCACTTCTCCTCTCAATAGCAATATGCAGAGCAGTTTGACCTGCCATATACAGGATATGACAGATTATTGATTAATGCTAAATTAAATCCATTAAACTAATGAGTTTTATAAAATAAAGGGCTCACCTCGATAGTAGCTGTTAGTGTACGCTGCATTAACAAATTTGTTGACGTCACCCAACTTCTCAGAGATATTGATTAAATACTCCACAGTTAGGTTTTTGCCATCTCTCAGGTTTAGCAGGGCTTTCATAAGAGTTGTTTTCCCATATGATTGATCTGTGGGATTTAAGTACAGGTAATGCAGAAGGCATATGCACTTAAGAAAGCCTGCGACATTGTGGATACATACACAGGCTGTCTGAGAGCCTCATCATATTCTGCTGGAGGTACTGATGTAGGCCGTTCAATCGGCTGAGGTCACCACTGGCCACCGCCTCAAAGAGGTGCTCTCTGTTAAATGGAGAGCTCGAGTTGTCTTCAGTCTTCGTCCCTTCTTTCATTTCCCTAGGAATAGAAAGTATGAGCTCAACCACTGCTCCGACAAATTGTATATAATGCTTACAATTACATTATTGGTACATGGGTTTTCTCACTTGTAAAAATTGACATTGAATCTGACTTGTGGTTTGAGTGGATCCATTTCTTCATGGTAGGGCGTGTCCATGGGAGCGAGGGGCGCTTCTCCAGAGGAGCGAGATGGCACCACATTTGTCCTGTTGTCTGCCTCCAGCTGGAAGCCAAACTTCTCCGTCTTACTCATCTTCAGGGCAACACTGGCAACTCATAATTTTAAACTAGTCAACATTTATTTTATACAAATTCAGTACACAGTGAAATAGTACACGCTTTTTAGAAAATCTATCAGTATAATAACACTTGGCTGGTGTTGGGTCAAAGGAACCCCCCCATTAGTTTTTTTCCCCCCAGATTCACAACAGACTGGTGACCTCTGGGGGTGTGAGTAAGAGCATGACGGAGACATGTGATAGTTTAGAGTGCCCTATAAACAATGAAGCTCATTTATCGGAGGTTCCACAGAGTCATCGGCCAATTCCTCGTGTAAAGAGTGATTACAAACTGTAAAATGCATCTACTTCAGACTATGTTTACGTCTGGGCCCATCCCCCCTACCTTTTGTGAGTTTAGAACCGCTTCCCCTTTTATTTTTATAAATCAAAAATATGTGAGTCACTGCCGATGCCAAAATTTTTTATCCTGCACATAAAATAATAAGCAGAATCCTCACAATTGAAAGATGATGTTGTTTTTTTAAAAGCTTTGTCATAGTCGTGAACACTGTGATATCTTGACTTCGTTCATAATTTATCTCTATTGATTTTTAGCCGTTCCTTGTTTGCTGTGTTATTATAAATAGTAAGACCAACAACAAGACAATATAAATACATTAGTTCTCTTTCAAACCAACCAATTATCATTCATCAGAGCAAATGCAGACACAATACTAAGCAAACAGCATCACATTTATCTTAACGAAGACAGAAGCAATCCACTCACCGGAGGTCCACTTTCCTCCAGCAAAAGAGAAATCACATGTGTCCAGGACTAAGAGAGAGCATAAAAAACAGCTCTGGTCCAGTTGAGCCACGTCTTCAATGAGATGCTGGTTGAAACTAAAACACTTCTGACTGAGAAGGGAAGCTGCAGAGACCCGCCCTAGAGAATATTAGAGCACATTACAGGGCTCTGGAGTATATGGATCCTTTACTGGCAATCGCATCCCACTATCACTAAATACCTTCAATCTATGGAAACAGATAAAAGCATTTCTCAATCATGTCCATCATATAACAAACAATTATATAAAAGTAAATTGTTATAAGTGCAATAACATGCTACAATTTAGGCTTTGGGCAAGTGCATGAAAATATTGGACTTAAGGTTATTTCTGAAGTGCAAGATTGTGCGGTTCTCTCTGTTTTGATGTCCTGTTATTAATTGTTTTTTCTCAGGTCCTAGAGGTCTTTGATGGTACTCTTGCCTGTGTCTATTTTGATCCGTTTAATTTATAATGTGCATATAACTGAAGGATTTTATCTTTATTCTTCTTAATTCACTGTGGCTATTTCCTGTGTGTGATTTTAAATTGTTTTGAATTACTTGTGTGATATTATTCTCTATTTTTTGTTATATAAATTGTGACCTTAATGTTTGTTTTTAATTGATTCATGCTTGATGTGATATGGGTTATGGGCGCTTTGTGTGGTCTTGTGTAGGAAAGGCGCTCTACAAATAGTGTTTAATGTCTATAGTGGTGTATGCACATATACTGTATGTGGTGTAAATGTTCAAAGATGAATTTCTCCTATGGGGCACAATAAAGGCGATTATTATCTTCTATCTACTTTTGAAGACACAAAGTAAAACATATTTCGAACCATATTTGTTGTTTTGAAATTCACCCTGAAGTTTCTGTTCTTCTTTGTATCAGGCAGTTCCACTTGATTATCTTTTTCCAGCTCCCTTATGATCTTGTGACTAAGCTTGTGGTGGCAGTTTCTGCCTATTTGTGTGCCTTTTAGAGACGTGCACGGTTTCCTCCGAGAAGCACTTCCTTTTTTATCAAACAGATGTTTAGCAGAAGATTTAGGACACGACCGCAGTCAATGCAATGCTTAATTGTTCTTGAAGGGTCACCAGCAACATTATAGTTCTGCACTCATACATTCATGGTTAATAACAAATAAATGAGCACCAAAGAATATTGAAGCCACAAAGAGGAAACCTTGTAAAAGTCTGTGCAACATACACAATGCAAAAAATTATGAAATATGAGGACATCATTTCTTGAATCTAGTGGGTTTTTTTTCTTAAGTTGAGTACATTCTGACTGAAAGCTAGTTAGTCTTCTTTCAAGAACTGTTTTCTCATTCTCGACCTTTATTGTATCTTTATTTACAAAGGTAATTTTGCTTGTCCCATTGGCAAATCTTGTTGTAATCTAGTTTAAATTTGCTCAAATTAAGATACATTTTACCAAATTTGAGCATGTTTTGATTTATAATGTCTTGCTGTGTAGGTGTGTGATATAGTGACACAAATCAACAATGTGGATTGCTTTGAGTTGTCATTTCCTCATTGTCATTTCAAATCCATTACATTTCTAACAATAAACATGAGGAGGACTTTTTTACACGTCTGTAATAAAACAAATTATAAATAGATACATTCTTCAATTTGAAATTTAGACAAGCCATGGAGTGGGACACTCATGCCAAACAGTAGAAATGTTAAAGGTGTTAATTTGAACCTGCATCTGCTGCTTTTTTATGAGTATATGAAAATATTTCGACATCATATTTGCCTTTTCTGTACAAAATGTTAATGCTGATTTATTATTGATCACAAAAAAACTACCCTTCATCGTCTGATAGTTTTGCCCAAAACGTCCCATCTTGTGGTGCGAAATTAAATAATCACTTGGGAGCTAAAGCTGTGCAGGGTCATAACAATGCCACACACAAAAAATCAAACAATAACATAAACATTTGATTTTTTTTTTACTCAAGCTGAGCACGGTTGGCATCACATGAGTCTCTCATTTGGGTTGCCAGTTTCTTTGATGAAATCGAGGACTGGTCACTACTACAGCTGTCTGTGTGTTCAACATGCAGGTAAGGCACTGGCAACAAAGTTTAGATTGTATTTGTAGTCAAGTTATAAAACCATTAGGAATGTAAACTACAGATGACACTAAGAAAATAAGAATATGGTTCAAAAGTTCATTTATTTCTGTAATTCAACTTAAAGGAGAAACTAATATATATAGACCCATTACATGCAAAGTGACACATGTAAAGCTTTTTTTGTAATTATTTTGATGATTATGACTTACATTCCACTTTATTTGTTTTTTTTTTTACAAGCTGTGAGCCAATTATCAACATTATAAATAATAAAAGCTTGAAATATCTAATTGTGCATGTAATATTATTTAGGTTCAATTACAGACGTAAATGGAATTTTGAGTCCATCTGGACATGCTGTAAGATTGTATTTCATTTTGTATATATTTTTTCATATCTTCATGTTGTATACGATTTGGATCAGCTCGTGTATGCACGTCTTTAAATAAAAACCTTGAGTGTCAAACCTTGTTAAAATGATTATTGATACAGATGTTCATATCCTGTCACATAGCACCATAGCCACGCCCACTGCAGAGTCTGCGTTCTGTCCGTACACAACAGACATCTGTGCAAACGCTCGCTCCACTTCCTGCTTGAGCACCTGGTTGCGTTCCAGAGCAGTGCCACTGCCCACTACTCTGGTGACCCCGGCTTGTTTCAGATATGCGGCTGGCATCATGGAGCTGAGGTTACTGATGATGCCATGACAAAGAGCTCGTGTCACGTGACCCAGAGAAATGTTGGAGAGGCAGATGTTGGTCACCTGTCCCATACACAGGGGGCGGTGTCGCTCTCCTAGGATTGTGGGAAGCACATTCAAATCACTGGTACTTTGGGTTTCGGCACATCCAATTAGCTTCTCATATATGGAGGACATGGGCAGCTCTGCACCTGTTAAAGAAATTGTACACCAATGTTTTGAAATTCAGAGCAAAAGTGTAATTTCTCTGTAAAAAACACCCCAAAAGATTCTGATCAACTGTGTAAAACTCACCTAGTTCACTCATCCACTTCATGAGCATGTCAACAAAAGTGGCTAAAACGTTCCCTCCATTGAGTGATGCAGCAACGGCCAAGTAAGTCGATTCAAAATACGGAAAGTAGGTGACAGGTGAGTCTGATTGTGGGGAAACTGGAGGTGTGAAGCCAACAGGCATAGCATGGGTCAGTTGGGCAGAGGTACTGATGTTAAGAACTGCAAAATAAGGTACAATGTATCAGAATATAATACACTATGTATACAGAGTAGACATATACAGACAATGTTATAACTTTGATTCTTCTGTTAGTTAGTGTACTTTGCTGATGCAGTCATACCCATAAAAAACCTAAGGCAATTTTATAAAACAAAAGTGTATAATGTACTAGTGGACATACAATAGTAAGTGACCATAATGTATTAGAGTGCAGTTCATTGATCACCTGCGTCTGAGTGCGTGCGCATGCTTGAGTAGACTGAGCATTGGAAGTCTCCCAAAGCTGCCCCCACTGGAGTACCAGGGGGAATGCCGTGCCAGTCCCTGCATGTGTGTCCTGCAAATGCCCCAGAAGGTATGCACTGAGGAAGCAGGTGTATAGGAAAGCCAGCACCCTCCAGACTACAGCATGCAGACAAGGATTAAACAACAAACAAGGTGAGTATAAGGTTACAGAAAAAAAAATTCTGACATGCATCCCAAAGACAAATATTGATCATATACGTTATATCATATTTCAGATATTTTCATGTTATTGGTTTATCTAAGCCCCCACTGAAAGATCAAGGCTATGCTGTCACTGACAGAGCAGCCATCCTCCTGTGGACTCACCACCTGCAGGAGGCTCAATGAGGGGCTGGTGCTCTGTGAATAGGGTGGTAGCTCTGACTGCTCCCCAGCCCAGACATGGATTGGGGGGAAGAAAATGGATGGATGGATGTATGGATGATGTTTTTACTAGCTACAGTAGCTTTATTAAATCACTGTTACTATTACGATTACTACAACTTTGATATGCAAATAACTTTACAACTTGTGGTTTCTTCAAAACAATAATATTAAGCCTTGGTTGCATGGCTAAGGACAAGAGGACAGGTTACAGTTTTTGAACAAGCATAGCTTACATTTCTTGGTTCCATTGGTTTTTTGAGGTGTTGAAGTAACCCCAGCTGGTTGCATTTTGAGGTGTCATCACACATTTTTCTAAACCACACAACATAGACACCACATAGTCCTGGATAGTTCCAGCAGTTGTAAACTCCTCGAGAAAGTTGGGTCTGGGGGAGAACCAAAAATACTCTAGTTATAGTCTTTAAAGATCTGACAATGAGCTAAATTCACTGACCTATGCTTCAGGAACCAAAAGATAGTGACACATCCAAAGCCTGTGGCTAATGCAATGTGTGAATTTGGTTTTGGAAGAGTTGAAAGAAAATTGTTGTTACTGCGGCCGTCCTGCCAGGTGATCAGCTGACTGGTGTCTTTGGAAATGAAGAACTTTCTGCTGGACCAGTCACAACCTGTACAGGAGTATTGAAAATCAACATTTGAAGTGAAGCCGACAATACAACAAAAACCAGCCATATCTTATAGACCAGTTTTTTTCAAATATTTCACATGGTCTACAAACCAATAATATAACTCATCCATGTCTACAACCAAATACTACCACCTACCCACCCAAAATGTGAAAGGTTAGGTACTCAACTAACTCAATACGTGAAACGTAAACTGAGACCGAATACATTCTTGGAAATGTATAATCATCCAATATTTAGATCAATGAGTGATTCAACCATAGACTGTAAATATTAACCACATAGCCGAGTTTGTCTCCTCCGTGAACGTGTCTGTACACCACTAGAGGGAGCCCGTGTGAAGTACAACTCCATGAATCATCTCGAAACTGTAATGGGCTATTTTTATAGAAATATTATTATTACACATAAACCACAGACAAGAAAGATAATCCACTCAATTAAAGCCAACGCATGTTTCTTCTCAGCCAAACGCCTCTGGTGGAGCATGGCGGAACTACAAGGTTCTGGCGAGAGCCAGGCTAGTTTCTTACCACTTGGGGCTTTCCAAAACAATACCCCGTGCATTTGCCCTGAGAGTCCAATGTGAGAGACATGTTTTAACTTGTTGGCTGGCAGCTGTTCCATGCACTGGTTCAAAGTGTCTATGATGCGTCCAGTATCCTGCTCGTATGCCTTCAGAGAAAACAACAATCAGTATTAGGAAATAGTTGTTATTTGCTCAAAGGAAACGTGTGAATTTTCACCTTGATGCGACTGCAGTCTTCAATATCAGATGAAGTTTGCATAGAATAACTCGCCGCCACAGCCTTGGAATGGGACTCTAATAAAACAGCTTTAACAGAAGTCGTCCCCATGTCTATGCCAAGAATATACGACGACATGTTGGCAGTCAATGACACTGCAAAGTGTTTTTAACAAAGATAACTCCACGGAATTGACTCATTCAAGTCTTGTATTTTAACGATTTCCGGTCGATTGATTGTGACCACGAATCTTGCTTTTTGTATTCACTAGTTTTTGCATGTAACCATTGTATATACCGCGCAAGCGTTTGCAAATAATGATTTCTTTCCTATGTTTTTTTGTCAATTGAACACATCATATGGCTTCCCTGCCCACCCTGGCGATTCCCAAGATGCACTGCGAAAGGAAATGGCTGACTGAATGGTCCGGGAGTGTCATCGTTAGCTTTACTGAAATGACCCAATAACGTTCAACAATACAAAAAACACTTAGTGTGGCCTTCTCTTTCCCCTGCACTTTGCACACTTTATAGAACTGACCAGCTGACAGTTTTCTGTAACCGAGGTAAGTACCTACTCTGCTTGCAAAACTAACGTTAGCTCCGAATGCTAAATGCTAACCTAGCTACCTAACTCTAATGTTCAAGTGTTTATTTGAAGTATTTCATCTTTGAGCCATTTTGCCTGCGTGGTAAACGTTGATCAAACACTTGACACGGTTATAGAGTAGGGCTTGTGCTATAACCTTAGTCAAAAAGCCTCTGCATCCTATTCTCAAGTGGTCCCATATTCCACATTCTGACAATAAGTGCAAATAAGGTGAGGTCCTGTCAGATCAGATGCAGCTTTTTCATTTCCAATGCCCAATATGGACATGAAAAATATATACTGATGTAAGTATTCTTTTACTCAAGTAATTAAACTTACATCAACATGGATTGAATGCCTGTTTAACCCTAACCCTTTTTAAAGTTCAAGTAACGACAAAACATCTTTGTAAGATAAAACTTTATTTATAGGCCAGTATTAACCCGTTCGGTACAGTTTTTTTCAATGTAAAACAGACAAAAGGTGGAGCCCTGCAACTCTATACGAGTTGGAGTACTACTAAAATCAATAAAAGATGTAAGGAAAAAAAGGGAACGTTTTTGAGAAGCCATGTTGCTGTATTGAAGATGTTTGAGATTGAGAAGCAAAAATGTCAGTCTTATTATATCTAATGATGGAATAAATCAGGCTTAACCAAATGTACCATTTTAGAAGCTATGCCCACATTTTCCCGGAAATGTGGATATTCATTATCTGTGCATTCCTAGTTACAGAAAGAAATACAACTTGAGTGATTATCTGGTTTTCTTCCTCACAAGAAAGTACCATATATTCAGCTAAATGTTTTGTTTCTTTTATCAGGACATTTTGTGATTCCACTTCCAGGCTCAAGATGGCAGGAGTGGTAGCCAAGCGTGAGGGGCCTCAGTTCATCAGTGAAGTGTCAGTGAGGGGCAACGCCGCTGTTCTGGACTACTGCCGCACCTCTGTTTCTGCCCTGTCCGGAGCTACAGCGGGCATTCTCGGCCTCACAGGACTGTACGGCTTCATTTTTTATCTCCTGGCTTCGTTCCTCCTTTCTCTGCTCCTTATTCTCAAGGCTGGACGAAGATGGAACAAATGCTTCAAGTCACGGCGGTTGCTCTTCACTGGGGGGCTTGTTGGAGGGCTCTTTACATACATCCTGTTTTGGACTTTTCTCTATGGAATGGTGCATGTATATTAGATTAGCTAACACTAATGTAGCTGCAATGTAATTGTAGTGAAGCGTAACATTTACAGTTTGGACTTTGAACCTATGTCCCAGTTATACTTGTAACAATGAAGATTTATGGACAATGAATTTGTCTTTTTTAGATTTAGTAACACAATGTCTAGTAAGACCGACCATAAGAACGATATAACATGGTACTAACGGATTTATGTTGGTATTTGCATAGTTACAAATACAACAATTACTGTTTTGATTTTAAAAATAAACACAGCTGTACAACATATTTGCCCTTAAGCTCCTCAGTCACAGTTTTTTTTTCTTTTTCAGTTATAGTACATTTCAAGTAGATTGGTATGCGTTACATTACCTTTGTTTTGTTTTGTTTTGGTCACTCAATGATAAACCAGTTGAGTTGAGTGTTGAAATCTGTCTCTGAAGGTGAAGAGCTAACTTGTCTTTAATGCCACTCACAACTGACTCAGGTGCAGAAGTCTTAGTACTTTATGTCCATTCCCAATGGGACAGAATCCAATCAGAGTACCGTGAGACTGACAGGGCATCAGTGATCCTGTGGTCTTTGTTATAAATCCCTTTGGCTTTGGCTCGATGTCACAAATGACCATGTGCTGTATACACAGTCAACAGTCAAAGGTGTGGGGAGAAGCTCACATGATGCTTTTGGTCTGGTCCTTGAGGCGACAGTAGAGCTGAGTATCTCTGTCCTGTGTTGCGAGGAATAGTGGGCCCTCGTCTTTCCACAGAGCTTTGGCTCTCTGCAGGAATAGCTTTAGACTCCTCCTCTCTTGTAATGGAATTGGATATATCTTTCTCCACGGATGACTTTTTAGATCTTCGGTCACGGTGTGCTGTTTTATCCTTTTCATCCTTGCTGTCTTTTGACTTGGAGCGTTCTTTCCTTTAAAAATGCACAAAGAAATGTTGAGGATTTGGTGTAAGAACTTATGTAATAATTAAACCCAAAATATCCTACTTAAAATTGATGACTTCAAACTTCCCTTCTCTGTAAATGGAGCTGGTGTTCATCATATACAGCAGAATCATGTCACAAGCAAATGCTCCCTGAAATAATGAACACATTGAAATAGTCTATTCATCAAATTTGTGACTCCAATAATACAGAAATGTTTTAATAATACTCACAGCACCCATAAGGGCAAAACCTGAGCCAATAGCAATTAGTGTGGGGACAATACTAAACTTTCCAGCCTGGTGAAATAAACACAATAAAGATAGAAACATTACAATGAAAAGTTATTCAATGGAACATATTATCACCTGGCCATTGACCATGATATCAAAGCGAATTCCATACACTTTAAACAAAGTGCGATATGTTTCACCATTTTGATCTTTGAAATACTTTGCATATCTGTTGAGAGAAGGCAAAACGGCTCCTTAAAGAAACATGATGTCAGGAATGTTACTTTTCTTCAAGTCAGACCTGAAGTTGTAACCTGCAGTGGCAGAACTGTTCGTATTTATGTCCAGACGGGTGAAGCTGTACTGTGGGTTACACTCTGAGTAGCCCTTGTCCAGATCACACTTCCACTCAATCAGAATGCCAACAGAGCCGCCCTGGCAGAGCAGAGGTACGGCAACCCGTTACTAAGCATGGTGTGCTACTAAAGCTATTTTATTGTAAATGTTTATATATTTACCTTTGCAGCCATTTCCTGGAAGTCATTGCCTGTCCAACTGACCAGATTCCCCAGATGAAAGATGGGACAATAGGGATGGGTCTCACTGTCGTAGGTGCAATTTTTCAGGTAATTGGGGTCAGCAGTTTCCAGAACATTTGATCTAAAAAAAACAATTATATTTCAGATTCATACATCTGTGCTCAACACTCACCACCAAGATGTACTTTATTACTCAAAGAAATATATTTGATTATAGTGACAGTGGGGTGTATAACAAGCCAGGCTAAGACCAGACGAACCGTCTCAAGTCTCATGTTGTGCAGTTTGAAATCATTTGAGCGTACACAGCAGCATGGGGATTCCCAGGCAAACATTTACTGTTCTATCTGTTCAATCTAGTTCCCAAAGCCTTCAGCATACTGATCAAAAGGGTGTCACTCTATACCAAGGAATATATTAATTAGAGCTGTACATTTGCAGTATTTTGGTCATCTGCAACATCTTTAGCTTTATACATTTTTTTATAAGTGTATGAGTGAAAAAAAAAAAAAAGATTAATTGATTTTAGTTAATTATAGCTCTCACTCAGTCTCATTTATTCTCTGTTTAAAAAAAAATAAAATCTAACCAAATATTATTGAATTGAGAAAGAAATGTAGTCTCTGGGTTATCTCTCATTTAGGATAACTCATTCTGTTTGGATCTGGGTTAGACAATGTGGTATTCATAAGACCAAATACTGTAATTAAATATGGTGGTACGAATGAGCCAAAATTGTTGCGTTGGTTATACTGGCTTGTTATAAAGAGTTTGAGGACCACTGCTGTAAATAACACTGTCTGCTGTCAGTCTCTCACGCTGCACACAAATAATGAGAGTATTTTATTCATGCGTAATCTGACCCTTCCTTTGGCCATACATGCGTGGTATTAATCTCCACTAATCACCCCCACACCTTTTATATATGAGGAAACGCTTGACATAAATCTTTGTGCTTATAATAAGGTCCTGACTGATGAATTGCTTTAGCTTGTGGCAGCAAAGTGCTTTCTAGTCCGAGTGCTGCATCTGATCCGACACCTGTCTCGGACAAGGCTTTCAGTCAAGGACTTCTCGGATGACTATTTCACTGTCTCACCATTGCAATGCATAGGTTGGTAAATATAGCCCTCTTTGCACCCTTACAGCTATTTACAGCACCCGTCAAAGCATATATCCCCTCGGTCACGCTTGATCTTGACCTCTTTAAACCACAAGTGTTCGGCGACTTACTTGGAAAACTCAAACTTTGGAAACCGGATGAAATTTCTTATGTAGACTGTAAAGTTTTCCGATGCCATCAGTAAGGGTTCTCTGAAGGGAGTGAGAAAAACAATGAGATTGCAGGTTGTGGTTGGCAATCAAACATAATTTCATTTGTAGCTGTCTTGAGAATTGGCCTCAGTAAGAATTGAGTATGAACACTGACTCGGGTCTGGGGCCGGATTCAACAGGACACCAGGCCTGGATCTCACACGTCTCAGTGCTGTTGATACACTCGCCTGTCTTTATCCCTAAAACCATACACAGTTTAAGGTGATGCGAGTCTGGGTTATGGCAAATGCACTGCAAAAAATGATAAAATATGAGGTAATAATTGCTTGAATCATGTGGTTTCTTTTCTCATTCCAAGGGAGACTTTTCTTGTATCTTTTTAAAACAACACCATTATGTTTTGCTTATTTAGCCAAATTTAAGCATTTATTTGAAAACTTATTTTTATCACTTTTTGCAGTGTGCTGTGTTCTTACCATGTCCAGCGGTGACAACATCTCCTTCCTCACAATCACTGTCACTTGTACACTTCCCATCTGGCACCTTATTACTCTACATTAAACAGAGTGGAAAAGTGGTTTTATAGATGTTATCATTATACATTATACAAGCATTGTTTGTGAGGCTCACCTCTGGACAGAAGCCCAGCCTCTGATTAGGAGTCTCTATGTAATTTGTTACTACAAAAAACACTTGCTCACCCTGTAAAATAGAATTAAACCAGGCAGATAGATTGGAAGGCAGAAGGTTAAATGGATTAGAAAGATAAGATGTCTGTAATCATTAGTTGTGGTTGATAAGATTGATACATTACGTTTGGGGGTATTACGTAGTCTTCAGCCCCCCACATGTGAAGCCCTTTTTCAGAATCATTGGTCAAAGCAACACCCTTTAGTTTTGTGAACACAGAGGTCTGAATGGTCTCTTCTTTTTCCTGGTAACCTTTTTTTGCCACAAACACCCACCTGTCAAAAAACAAGTCAGTCCGGACTGGCAGCATATACTAAGCATTTACATAACTTTACATATTATACTTGTATTACCTGTGAGTATACTTACGTATTTCATGTATAGTTTTGATGTTGTCAATATCATCAATGAAATATGGCAGCTAAGTAAATGTTTTACTGACCAAATTGATAGCATTTTTAACTGTCACTAATTGTAAAAATCTATTTCAGTGTGTGTGCATGGAGTCACAGAGTACTGGCACCTGCTCAGGTTTCACTTTACTAGTGACATCAGAGAGGTAGGGGTTGGACAACACTATCTACATTGCTCTCTATAATAAATGCACTCACAGAAACTTTTCTAACACTTCTTACTAACCACCAAGAAAAAACTGGTAGTGGTGCATTTGAACAGCTGAAAACGACAGCAACACACATTTAAACTATTTTTAACTGTGTGAATCAGTTTCTGAAAGCTTACTTTAGCCACATGCAAGGGCATGCCTCTCTCACCCGATTATGTATCCCAGGACGGCCAGTTGATACAGTCGGAATAAAATCCCAATCTTCCTGTTTTCTGCAACGACATATTTCTCAGTTTTGTAGTTGAGAAGAGAAAGCAGAAAGCCTCCTTTAGCTGCCATTCCAACTGCACAGTCCAGCGAATGAGAGCAGTGAGAGTGTCAGCTGATAAAAGTAGAGCTGCAGCCGGCTTCACTTGTCATACACCAGGTTGACCAGCAGTGAGGTCACGAGGGAAGATCTCTCCTGGGTTTGGAGTTTATGTTGAGCTGATGGCTTCTAATTTACATATTATTCCTTGTCTCTTACTGGTCATGTTATATGATTATGTTTTGTATTTCAGGGGCTCTTAAACTATTGGGAATTGGGGACCCCATATCAGTTGGAAAAGGACATCTTAGGACTAACATCTTTGGATGTTCCACTGATTCTGCTTTAACTACACCGGACATGTATCTCCATATTATCACAGTTAATGAAACTTTTAAATATGTTGTATTCATTTTATAATATTGATGAGGAACAGTTAAATAAAAATGTATTTGATGATGCTACACACTGGAGTCCTGCCCTATTGCCTTCCACCATGACGTTGCAAACACATTTCAGAAACTGTATGTGGAAGATTCATTTCTAATGTTTATAGTGTAAACTGTAAACCTCTAATTTATCCTATGTAATAATTATTCACTATTATAATATATAACCATGTCACGCATACACATTTAGGATATTTCAATATAGATCTGCTAGGAATTGTGCATTCGATATGCATTATATTTCAATTCAAAGTCATCAGTGCAAAGCAAACTGATGTTTGGCAGTTTTCCAAAATCAAGGGAATTATCCACATGCCCAGTTCTTGATAAATGTAAAGATGTAGGTTTACACGTTTTGATATACAAAAGTTAAGAATTCTAAAAGCCGTTTTACAAGACGTATGCAGACATACAGATCACCTCTAGTGACACCTAGTGGTCTAACACTGTCAGATTTACAGAGCTGGCCAGAGCTAACTTAACAGGTTTACTTCAGACTGAAGAATAGATTATGTATATTAAAATGACTGTACAAATCTTAGATTGTGTGCTGCAGTTATCAAAATAGTAAAATGTACCATAAATTATGCAAAGAATCTCACCTATCCTGGCATATGCAAAACACAAGTTTGTGTTTAGCAATTTGTCCACCACAAGGTCTAAGACTGTGGCACAATAGCAAGAAATCTCAATCGGTAATTATGTGGCAGCATTTTATTCAAAAGTATATTTCCTGAAACCAATGGATTCCTTTGCCATTAACACCCAAAACAAGACAGACATTTAATTTCTTTATTGAAGTTAAGATTTGGTCATGTGAGACACTGCATTTAACAGTGAAGGACATTTATGCCATATGATATTTGGAATGACTCAACATGGAATCTCAATTTACTGGCCACCCCTCAGACGCAGGACAAGATGGAGGGTGGATTCCTTCTGGATGTTGTAGTCAGAAAGGGTGCGGCCATCTTCCAGCTGCTTGCCGGCAAAGATCAGCCTCTGCTGATCTGGGGGAATACCTTCCTTATCCTGGATCTTTGCCTTCACATTCTCAATGGTGTCGCTAGGCTCAACTTCCAGGGTGATGGTCTTCCCAGTGAGGGTTTTGACAAAAATCTGCATACCACCCCTCAGACGCAGGACAAGATGGAGGGTAGATTCTTTCTGGATGTTGTAGTCGGAAAGGGTGCGGCCATCTTCCAGCTGCTTGCCGGCAAAGATCAACCTCTGCTGATCTGGGGGAATGCCTTCCTTATCCTGGATTTTAGCCTTCACGTTTTCAATAGTGTCACTGGGTTCCACCTCCAGGGTGATGGTCTTCCCAGTGAGGGTTTTGACAAAGATTTGCATACCACCCCTCAGACGCAGGACAAGATGGAGGGTAGATTCTTTCTGGATATTGTAGTCAGAAAGGGTGCGGCCATCTTCGAGCTGCTTGCCAGCGAAGATCAGCCTCTGCTGATCTGGGGGAATGCCTTCTTTGTCCTGGATCTTGGCCTTCACATTCTCAATAGTGTCACTAGGCTCAACCTCAAGGGTGATGGTTTTCCCAGTGAGTGTTTTGACGAAGATCTGCATACCACCCCTCAGACGCAGGACAAGATGGAGGGTGGATTCCTTCTGGATGTTGTAGTCAGAAAGGGTGCGGCCATCTTCGAGCTGCTTGCCGGCAAAGATCAGCCTCTGCTGATCTGGGGGAATACCTTCCTTATCCTGGATCTTTGCTTTCACATTCTCAATAGTGTCGCTAGGCTCAACCTCAAGGGTGATTGTTTTCCCAGTGAGTGTTTTGACGAAGATCTGCATACCACCCCTCAGACGCAGGACAAGATGGAGGGTGGATTCCTTCTGGATGTTGTAGTCAGAAAGGGTGCGGCCATCTTCCAGCTGCTTGCCAGCAAAGATCAGCCTCTGCTGATCTGGGGGAATGCCTTCCTTATCCTGGATCTTTGCCTTCACATTCTCAATGGTGTCGCTAGGCTCAACTTCCAGGGTGATGGTCTTCCCAGTGAGGGTTTTGACGAAGATCTGCATACCACCCCTCAGACGCAGGACAAGATGGAGGGTAGATTCTTTCTGGATATTGTAGTCGGAGAGGGTGCGGCCATCTTCGAGCTGCTTGCCAGCAAAGATCAGCCTCTGCTGATCTGGGGGAATGCCTTCCTTGTCCTGGATCTTTGCCTTCACGTTTTCGATTGTGTCGCTGGGCTCAACCTCAAGAGTAATGGTCTTGCCAGTGAGGGTTTTCACAAAAATCTGCATATTGGCGCCTATGATGAAAGAGACCACAAAAGGGAAACTGTTAGGCCATGTTATATCAGAATGTGTCATAAATCCTAAGCCAGTAATTCAGTGCGTAAAACTTGGCAAATTCAGGTCGAGCGCCATTTTGTGTTCAGACCTTTTGTTCAGTCGTCGCCCGCAAATGGGCGATGCTGGAACTGTCGAGTCATTGTTGACGCACATTTGATACATTAGACATAACTAAAATCAAAAGTAATAACCGTTTAAACAGTGACTTGAACGAACGGGAATAATTAACCGTTCGGATAGTATGGACGTTAACAAAACATTTTCTATTAGAGCAGAGACTACAGTGAAAGTACTAGTTACGTGAATACAATTGCCGAATCCGATTCTGTGCTGACTCTAAACAAGAATAAGAGAATTACACTTACAGTTGCGGTGACCTCTTGTCTTTGAATCGCTTAGAAGTGAAGCTACTGTCTTTCGTTGAAAAATCTGCCGCAGTGAGGGCAAACGACTGTTTATATAGCAACGTGTTTACGTCATCAACTTTGCATTCTTCCGCATTCAAAAGTAGTTCCGAAACGCATAAAACGGTCTAATATGACATGCTTGTGCGACACAGAGATGTATTTTTTTATGATTTAATGATAAATACATACATTTTACTAAGTAATTGAGCTTAAATCCCGAAAAATAAGTGTTAAAAGGAGCGCGGATTGATATCACCTAGTTTCACAGCGCTATGTGACCAGAATCTTCTAGAAGAAACCCAGATGCTTCCTGGTTTTTGATTGGCTCACGTGTTGTTTGTTTTGCCACTGATTGGTTGCTCTGAGTTACAACATTATCTCTGATGACTAAACGCTCGTGACCATTAAAATGAGATTGTCTTGTAGCTGATCAAAGTTCAGCTATATACGACTCCAGATAGAACTTGCACAAGCTAGAGCAACAACCAAACAATCTAATATTTAATCGGTTTAATGAGGCCCTCGCGACAAACTATGCTACTTCCATTTTAGGCTCTCAGAGGGGGCACTTTAGCCATGAAATCAAACTATAAATAGTTTTATAATAGTGTTTTGATTATTCCCAATTAAGGCTATCAGACAGTATCCACATAGTGACCGGCGTTATTGATTGATACTTGCCATAACTTGTAAATTATCTTGATATGCAATGTTGCTTGTGTTCATCTTCAGACATTTTAAATAGTAAACTGTACGGTCTGTTAAACATTGTGTTAACAATTAACCGTGTGTTAAATCCTAAAACAAAAATCCCATATGTACAAAACCTCTATAAAGGTATGTAGGTCACCTCTTTTTCCTTACTCATTCTCGGCTGTATGTCACGTGACACTCGACTCTCATGCCACGTACTTTCAGCAGGGCTGGGTGCCTTGCTTAACTGGTTCAACAACACCCGAGGAATGTGTTTTTGTGCCGATGCTTGACTTAATTTTGTTTTCTTCAAAGAGCCTAATTTAAAAGGTAACTACATTATCAGAAAAAGTAAACAGCAAGTTTTTTAATCAGACAACACATTTCTCTCCGAGTCGTACTACTTTGCTTGTAATATTGGAAGAAAACTGTTGTTGTGTATTGTTGTGCATTACTAGTGTATGAATTTACACAGGTCACGAGGATGAACAGTGGTTGATTACGTGAATGTGCTTTGGGTGAAAGGTCTTGAATATGAATGTGCCCTTCCTTGTTGGTTTGGTCTTTGCCAGAGCACTTGTATAACAGTAGAGGGTGGGACTAGTCACAACATATTCTAGAGTTTGACTATAACTTTCTGGAAGACAGGTACACCTACATTCCAGTTATTACTAGTATGAGTCATGACAAAGCTTTAAACACTATTTCATGAGATGTATTTTATTTGCTTTATTTTACAGGATGGACCTTGTTAAACATATTGGTGGATGTCATTGTGGCGCTGTTAGATTTGAAGTTTTAAGCTCCCCAGATCTCCATGTCTTTCATTGCAAGTATGTTATCCACGTTCTTCTACTACTGGTCTAACTGGTATCGAAAATGCCCTTTAACAGAATGCTAATTTCCTAGTTGCAGCATATGCGTCAAAAAACAAAACCACCATTTCATTGTCCCTAAAAGTAACTTCACATTGTTGCAGGTAAGATGTTCGATACAAGTGAATAAAGAGCTTATGTAAAGTCTATTTTCTTCTTCTATAGGGCTTGGATAATTTAACAACATACACTTTTAATACTCATGTGGCTAAACACACTTTCTGTAAAACTTGTGGAGTTCAAAGTTTCTACAGCCCTCGTTCCAATCCTGATGGATATGGTATGACCAAACAGCACAACACAGGCTCAACAGTTTCCTGTAAACATCCATCTTCACCGTGTATTTCTTCTTCAGGAATTGCTCCTCACTGCTTGGATCCAGGATCAATTCGAAGTGTTGTGGTTGAAAACTTTTGTGGTGCTCAATGGGAAGAAAGCATGCAAGCTCATAGAAGTATTCACAGCATGTCCAAACCCATAAAAAATACAACTACAGAATAAGAAAATAATTTTATTATCTGTTGACTCAGCAGAGAATAGAGTAATAATAACTATACCCTTTCTATAGTAGCAGCAAAAGTAATAACAAAGAAATATAGTAAACAAATAGTTTTGTTGTGAATAGTAACAAACACCTGTATATTTGATTCTAGGATCAAATACAATAAAAAATAAAACTAATACACTTTAAGATTTCTTGGTCCTTGTGGAATTGTGGTAAACGTATTCACAAACATGTAACGTGAAAACATTATATACAGGTAGCGAAACCACAGTAGTTGGGTGCAATGACAAAGCATCGCTGCCTATGAAGAGGAAAAAAATATGTTAACATGATTTATATGTATAGATTCTCAATATTACATTCATTTCTTTAGATGGTGTTAAGACCAACATGTATGTGATGTCTTACTTTGGCTTGTCTGAACCCGTCCAAGCCTGTCATACAGCAAAAGGATGAGGGCAACATCCAGCTCAATGGCAGCTCCAGAACAGAGAGGTACTTTCTGATGAGGCCAACAGTGTCCAGCGACAGCAGGCAGCAGTCTGAGAGGACACAAATCTCTAGGTTATTTTTACTCTGCAAAGTCTGCATACATTACTAGTAAAATGTTCAAATGAACGAGTTTGTAAGAATAACAAAGCAATGGGATAAAAATACATGAGAATTACTCAAAACTATAACTCATGTCACACCAGAGACGCTCCATCGAAGTCCAACGACAATGTTCAAATTCACAAAGTTAATGTAATGAATTAATGTACTGAATTTGTTATTTACATTCAATCGTAGTTTATTGATTTTGGCTTAACCGTATAAGTGCATTGAGGTATGAACTGAATTAACTTGTATTATCTCAATCCATATAGTGTCTTGTGAGAGGAGCAGACCCTAGTGGTGAGTCTCCTCTTGATGCACTGCCAGGCTTGCCAGAGTAAAATAATGACCCATCATGTCAATTATTAATGCTTAAATTGTATCAATGTTATGTGTGTTGATACAATTTAAGAATTCATTTCATTTATATACACATTTTTTTCCAATTATTATTATATTTACATTGCACTATACCAGAACATGGTAGTGCAAAAAAAATGTTGAAACCAAGTCTGACCAGAAGATGGCGCTGAGAAATTACAAAACAAGCCAATAAAAGCCGGTGCAGTAAAATCGTTTTAAAGTTATTGTCATGTTTAATGTAATATTGTTAAACCTCTCAGAGATGTACAGCAAATTCAGTAAAACTTACCAAGGGGCAGTTGTCCTGTACACGCAATATGTCTGAAAAATATAATACACAAAAATAGTTATAGTAGTTTACTTCAATTTTTATTTTATTTTCATAATTGTTGATCAATACATCTGAGTCATTTGCTGTATGATCTTAAAGAAACAATTATGTAAGATGTTATTTTTTAAAATTGCACATCTTTTATCTGCACAAGGTACACATTTTCCTTTTGTGTGTATTTTGCGCTGAAATATTTTGATGCAGATTAATTTTAAATAAAAAAATGGAAATAATGGCTATAATGTTTATGTTAAAACTTCTCAAGTTGAGTTTAGCAGAATAAGCATCCCATGTGTCTCTTATTTAGGTTGCCAGTTCTAATGACAAAATCCAGTTATTTTTAGCTCCCTCCAACCTGCTGACAAACATTAATCACCTTATGCTTTGTAAGACACTGACAACACATGGACAATTCTACATAGTGTTCCTTTAATGTTGTCAACACCAATTCATTCCGAACCTGTAATGTATTAATTTGCCGTTGGCCCCGCTATGGCTAAGAAAGATTCATTGCTGTTATCGTAGCTGGTGTGTTTATCCTATTTGGAGTTTTTGTCGTTCTTTATGTTGACCAAATAAAGTACTGGGAATGAATACTGGGAAATTGTGTACTCAGCCTCTCCAACACAGAACTTTAGGAACAGCACTGTGTTATTGCTTGGAGTTTTGTTTAGTTTTTTTTTCCACACACAAAAAAAAAAAGTCTTGCACCTTACGGCTTTGTAGATGGCGGTGTGATTTACGTGGCCGCTTACTCCTTGTCCATCAAAAGTCAGCACCTGAAACAATAACATTGTTGCAAGGATTTAGCTAGCTATTTGAAGATGTATTTACTGTTTTACACATTATATTACACATTTTATTATTCATTTCTTGTTTGTGCACTTTGTCTGATCTTAATTTGTTTTATAGAGTAGTGTTTGAGTTGTAACTCATTTGAAAGGTGCTATACAAATAAAATGTATTATCTTTTCTGGTTTTTTCCTCACAAATTTACTGTATGAAGTGATCACCCTAAACAATTAGCCTGTGTTTAACTTTGTCTTTGATCTTCTGAATCGTGTTTTCATTGTTGTGCTCCGAACATATTTCCTTTGAATCTTATTTTGCTACATTTCCGTTGGCTAAAAATGTCCAACTGTGCAGAGCCCGATTCCAATCTGACCAAACAAAGAGGTTGAAATAAAACTTTCTGGAGCAGCAGAGGTCATTTCCCTATAAATCTAACAAGGGCGGAAAGTTTACAAATAATCTCCACATTGTGATTTTACCAGATTGATGCAATTCTTCTCAATGTGTTTGGAGATAATGGACGACACCAAGGAGATGCTCCATTGAGTGTTGGGATCATCCGGTAGGTTTCTGCAAAACATACGCATAATAATTAGTATAGTAATTGCACTGTCCAAAGTTAAGTCTTAAATCGAAAAACTTGCAAATATGCTTTTACAATTAACAGTTTCAATGGTTTAGACTATTATTATGACACTAATGCAAGTCCTACAGCTACAAAGTATAGCTGTACTATGCATTACATTCCGGTTCATTTCACATTGCAGCCTTAATGAAGTTAAAAGTCATCCAGAATGCTCATTAGGGAGACAACGGCAGACAGTGTAAGGCAGAGCATGAGTATGGTTTAGACATCAAAAAGGTTTTCCCTCATCTCCCCACTAACATGAACAGTTGTGTGGCTAAAGGCGAAGTGATAGATAAGGCTACAAATCTTTCTACTTAGGCTTGGAGGGTAATCTTTGGTGCTAACGACGAGAGGTTGCAAGTTCAATCTTGTCTCAGTGAATGAACACACTGCTGTCAAATACCGCTGACCAAGATCACCTTCTTATCATTCTTTGCAATGACCACCAGACACATCACAAAACATAAAATCAACACTGTTCAATGTTAATCTACACATTGACATACCTTCATCAATTAAGACATTACAGTTACTGGCTTAGGGTGAGTCTCCAGCAAGAAAGCATCATCTGTGTGTTTACAAGAATAATCAAAAGATACAAGACACCTGACCTTTCTCAAATGAAATACAGGCAGTCTACACTTTGCCATGGCAACAGCACAAGCCACAAACGTCCGAGAGTAACCTCCGCAGCTCATGAGAAAGCCTGACTGCTAACAAGCATCTGTAAGTGGTTAGACTTTGGTCCACTGTGGTAGAAGTCTGGTTTAGTCTGCTCACATGGACCAGACTTCAGTCCAAATGTATTGAATCCACATTATCCAAAAAAACTGAACTTACTGTCCACTGATCTGAAAAACAGTATAGTCCACTTTCAATTTATACAATCGCAGAAAAAAAATAATCTAAAAGTAAGAGAAATGAGACGTTTTTCGCTGTATCTAATGTGAGTGGTCGAAGGGGCTTATCTTCAGTTTATCCTACGACAAGAATTTACCAACACCACCATGTGTGGAGTGAATGAATAAAGTAAAAACAAGTAAAAGTGTCAGTTAAAAGACTAATGCATCAACACTGCAAAGATGAGTATGTGGTAAAAGAACAGACCACATAGAAAATATGAGGAAAAATACGATTTCCCTTATTCCTGGGAAGACTGGGTACAGGAGTACATGTGATAACGTAAGCGCGAAGTATGCATATTTCCGTAATGTTTTGTTCTTGTTTATGTAGCCATGATCCCAGTGCAAGCAGAGGTCAGTGCAAGCGGAGGGGCACTGGAGCGTGCTCAGATCCTACTTGATCACAAAGGGCCAAAATGTGCAACAGGGCCCCAGATACAGCAGTCCACTGTACAAGGGCCTCTGTCAGGAGCACTGGTTTCCCTCTGTGAACCATCTCCAGATGTTGATGCTCGGCATGGTCAGGACTGTTGGAGATAAAGGATTTTGCCTGCAGAAGGTTTTGGCTTCAATAAGCCTGGGCCAACACAATAGTAAACCAATGATTGTGTTGCTTGTATGAAAAGTCTTAGTTATAACTTTACAGCCCGCATTTTGAGAAGAAGTACAACCTGCCTTAAGTACTTTAAAGAAGCAAGACTATTGACTGTTTTGGATTGTGTATACATTTTCAACATCTTACATGGAAACACACTAGCCTTGGAGTAACCATCATTATTGGTGTCCCAGGATATTGCCAAATGTATTTGATAGTCCTTTGCAGTTGACATAGACGGCTATGGTTGAAGGGGTTAGTGCCCAGGGCCTTCAAAGTGCTCTGATTATGTGTGTGTTTTGGACAAACAACAAAATACACAGAACTGGAAAGTGGGCTACACTCCAGTTCAACTAAAGTGCAGACAGCACAAGAATCAAAGTTCACCCACACACAGACTTTTTTCTTTGCTCTGTGAGCACAGACACTGGGCATTTATCCAATTTATTGCTGAGAGTTCATGTTGCTGCCAGAGTTTAGTTCAGTGCCTCATTATCCCATATGTATACACTCACAAGCAACAAATGTCCTAGAATCTGAACCTGCTTTGGATAAGCTTCAATGAGCTTATTGTTGTATTCACCTATACAACAATACTACTTACATATTTATATTAAGTTTTTTTCAACCAAATGTGAGGAATATGGATTTAAAACAATCTTTCAGAACTTTAAAAATACAATAAACAGTCAAGATAGTCAAGTAAAGTTGTAATAATAAAACCATATGGTGTGTGAATGTAGATTTAGGCAACAAAAACACAAAAATAGTTTGTGTGAAGTGTAGTAAAATAATAAGAGCATGTATCATATATATTGGTACTTGGATATTCCATAATATTACAGACACTTAGAAACTGCCGTCTATGCATGTGAAAAGACTGTAATTGTATCCCTGTTTTCTGTTCTACTTCACATAAAGCAAACTGGTAACGAAACACAATAAATGGTTTTGTCACACTGTGGTAGATTACACCACAAAAGTTGGAGGAGGCCATATCCAAGTCTTTAACCCCCTCCCTCCCTCCTGAGTCCGCCTACAGGAGGGAGGTGGACCGGCTGGTGTCCTGGTGCAGTGGTAACAACATGGAGCTGAACGCCCAGAAGACAGTGGAGATGATTGCGGACTTCAGGAAGAGCACTGTCCCCCCGCCCCCACCCTCCGTGATGGACTTCCCCATCACCTCTGTGGAGTCCTTCCGTTTCCTGGGCACCACCATCACCCAGGACCTCAAGTGGGAGCCGACCATCAGCTCCCTCATCAAGAAGGCCCAGCAGAGGATGTACTTCCTGCGGCAGCTCAGGAAAGCCAAGCTGCCTGCACAGATGTTGGTCCAGTTCTACACGGCCATCATCGAGTCCATCCTCACCTCCTCCGTCACCGTGTGGTTCGCTGGAGCCACAGTCAGGGACAAACAGAGACTACAGCGCATTGTGCGCTCTGCAGAGGAAGTGATCGGCCGCAGCCTTCCATCGCTGCAGGACCTGTACGTCGCCCGAGCTCGAGGCCGGGCTGGTCGTATCACAGCCGACCCCTCTCACCCTGCACATGGACTATTCCAACCACTCCCCTCAGGCAGGAGGCTGCGGTCCATCAGGACTAGAACCTCCCGCCACAAGAACAGTTTCTTCCCCTCTGCTGTTGGACTCTTGAACACTTCTTAACCTGTCCCCCGCCCTTTAAAGTCACTTTACTGCCCATCATACGTCACTTTACTTCACTGTACTACTGTCACCTTACATTGTGTGCACCATGTGCACTTGTATATTGTAAATAGTAACTGTAACTCTATTTTAAATTTTAGTTTATTCCTTAGAAGTGTTTTTTATTATTTATTTTTTATTATCTCTTTCTGACTGTTGCACTGAGCCAAAGCAATTTCCAAGTCTGTGACTTCCTGTTACTCACGTGGCAATAAAAATGATTCTGATTCTGATTTAAGTATACAACAGCAGGTTTGTGGAAATACAAAAACATTTAAATATTGTCAACATACACAAAAATAATGCCACTAGGTAAACAAACAAGGTTTATACTATTATACTAGTATACAATTCTTATTTCAATTGGATCTTGAAGGAAAAATTAATGCCACAATCTCTCATATTTAAGTCTTAAAAATCATTTTGCAGCCAACTTACTTATTTTCTAATCCTAGAGAGATTACTTGATACAAACTTTAAATGTCAAAAAGGAGAAAACAATACGATATATTTGCAGCAGGGGTCTGTTTTATTTTCGAAAGCAAAAATAAAATCTTGTACTAGGGTTCAGCGTCACAATCATGGTAGATTAAATAACGGTGACTAATTCCATCTAGTTTTTTTAGGAGACAAAGCCCAGCAATCCAAATAATGTTTTAACGGGCAATCGACTTACTTGTGATCTATGATGGAGACCTTCGATTCCTGTATTCCCAAAACAGCACAGCTGTTGAGTAGTTCTTCTTTACGCAAATATCCTTGATTGTAATAATTTCCTGCAAATCAGTTTAAATAGTGGAGTTGATATTCACATAACTTCTGAATTTAAAAAAAAACATATCAATAATCAAAAAAAGAGACAATTGTAGCAAATACAGTGAAAGTACTCTTAAATACCCTTGTTCATGATTATTTGACATACGGGTCTGAATTGTTGGTAATGTTAAAGCTGGAGTACCTTACTATTGTTGGCACCATGTTTCTTTTATCATAATGAGAGCGAGTGAAGGTGCTACTCTCCTTTTCACTGGAAAATATGATCTAAATTTGTCACTGAGGAAAAATATATATGCAAGTGAGAACTAAAAAAACTACTTCAGAGGGACCATGCCTATATACGTTATTTTTTGTCGTCTTCAAGTTAGGTGCTCCAACTTTAGGATAACGTTAATAATTACAGTCACTTAATTAAAACGGTACCTTTGGACAAACAAAGCAGATACACTTTGGCGTTAAGGTGAACCAGTTGAATAATTGTTGGCGCAAAGAACATGCATTCATCATCCGGGTGTGCGGTAATAAACAGTGCCCTTACAGCTGAGAGATCATCGGTGTCATGGCTTGACATTTTATCCATTACAACTTTTAGTGATCGCACAATCCCTTTTTGACGACGAAAAAAGACAAATCCAAACAAAATTGAATAAAACAAAGACACGACAATCAACCAAACAGCCATTATTTTGATCGGCACCGTAAACCTTCCGTAAAAGAACATTAACTAACAGGATGATAGTTCCGCACATGTAGTAACGTTGCATTTTATTACTCTGGTTGCAGAAGTTTATTGGGCGTATTTTTATTCTTAGATAAAACAAAACTACCTGCAACTGCTTTTAATTCATGTTTCTTTAGCGCATTAATGACAATAAATTATCTTCATGTTCCCTTTAATGTTGTATGTTAGATATTGATCATACTAAATACAGCATAGCACAATGGGCAAGAATGTTTACGTTGTACACTACACTTTCACCTTATTGTATTTTAGTGAACGTGTTTACAACGTTACAACACATCCACAACAACAACATTGCTCTATTTTGGGGACTCTTTAAGCAGAACACCTTAGAGTCCTAGAAGCTATATAAAGCAATAAAGCAACATCTTCGGTATGATTAAAAATGAGAACAAATATTTTATTTGTTCAATTAAACATATACTTTTTCTAAAATTTATCCCACAAAATTTACAATTTGAGGGGAACGTGTAGGATTTATAGGCTTGGCTTCAAAGATAATCCATTGTGTCCTTCCATGTTATTGGACAAATGCGACGCAGCCTTTTAGTCTGCCTGGTCGTCCACAGCTTGTGACCCGCGGATTTAACTATTGATGCGCGTTTATCGAAAGAAAGCGTTCTTACTTTGCGGTTAAAACACTAAACATGAGGTGAGTATATTATATCATTTCAAACACGACGCACATAGTTAGCTCTCTGTTTTGGCGCACCATTATTCGCTGAAAATCTGCCTTGCAAGATGGCGACGTGGTAGAGAATTCAAAGGTGAAATACATCCTATGTTAGGCACTTAACACCATTAATAAAATTATAATACACTGGTATTGCATGTTATATGTATTTTGAGTCTGTGACTTTGCATTTGGTATCCCGCGTTTCCGGAAAGCTACTGCTACGCTGTGGCAATAAACCCATCCCCCAAGATAAGCTCCAATTTACAGTGTGTTTGTATGATTTCAACGTATTTTATTTGCATCAATGTAGTCAACAACATAGAGGCAGTGACCCCCTTTTGCATTGGGGCTGGAAATGGCCTCCGTTTAGTTAGGATGTTCGTCATCAAACAGTTTATTCCATGTTTAACAGCCTTCCCCGAGAGTACAGTAAAGTACACAATTATAAACTCCAGTGTACCACTGACTTAAATAGTTGAATGTTATCCAGTAAAAAAGTATCATAATTTACGTTCAGTACACGCTGCATAGATTGATAACGGGGAGATGTTATCTGAAACATCATATAAAGTATATTTTTCTACTGAATTATGCTAGATAGTGTCTTTGCCGTCTGACTGTTACCGACTCAGTGATCTTATTCTAACTCTAACATACCGAATTTTTCCGATTTTTAACTTAACCATTAACCTGTCACAAATCCATAATTACAGGAGGACGAGGCTTTTGACTAACCTATGTCTGTAATCAAGTAACTAGTAATGATAGTTTATAATGTTTATGTTTATCAATAATAATGACGATGATAATGATAATAATAATAAAGCCTTTCACTCCATACCATTGGCTGTCCCACCACTACCATCATTCACTCTCCACATCCATACATTTGCATGTTTCGGGTGAGGAATCTGGAGGAAAACCACCAAGACAGGGGATAAGACATGCCAACGTTACACAGAACCTAACACAGTGAAGCCAAGTGACTGTGCAACCCGCACAGTCACTTGGCTGTCAATGCTTAACACATGACTACAAAATAGCCTTAAGATTAGAGAACCATCAGACTGCACTGTAGACCCTTTGGTTATGCTAATTAATTTATTAGCAGGTCAATTTGTACATAATAATAACAAAACAAGTAACAAGCACTGGTTTATATTTATTTTCCATAGATGGGATGAGAATATAAATGTCTCTAATATGCATTTATTGTTTTAAAAACCACTTTTAGTGTTTACATGTCAAGGGGATACATCTAAAACGTATAAGAAAAGTGGCTTTTTGCATGCTATGTCCCCTTTAGGTCTAGGCTGCTTGGATGCTTAATCCAAAATCCATCTGTACTGTTGCTTGTTAATATTAGTCCATACTATACTCGTGATGTGATTTCGCCCAACTGGCACCTGACTGGACAATGTTGTGGGTTTGGTCCTAAGTTGTTTTATGAATGAGCTAAGGGTGTTAAATACTGTGGTCTACTAAAGAGAGCAGGGCTAAAGATGGGGACTAAAAGCGTTTTCACAAGGGCCTGGCTCGTGTGGGCCAGGCTCTTCACATTTTAGAGAGGGGCGACATTTTGCGTTCACTTATGAATAGTGCCAGCTCCCGCTGGAGAGTGATGATGTGAGGTAGCAGCAACTATTCACAACGTATGATCTGTAGCTATCTGCTACTTTGTTCCTACACAGAAACTTTCAAGCATCAAAATATGTGATGGACAATGACGTAAATGCACACACATCATGTGAGCGTGTCTGAAAATAAACGGCAAGAGATTTGCTCTCCATCTAGCCCCACTCATAGAAAAGCGCCCAATGCTTAAACCAGGCCTAGCGCTGCCCACTTAAGCAGCTAAACACTTTGAGAGAGAGAAAACGCACAAACTAGACATTGGCCATGCTACACTTGTGTCGTCAATGTGTGATGTACTAATACATTGGTCTCAGTTTAGGGTCAATTGAGAAAGTAGTTAATGTGACATTTTAAGTCAGTTTTAGATTTTCAGCTGTTGCATTTAAAAAAAAAAGATTCTAAAACCATAATGTCTTCCTCAAAATGTGTTGTGTACATGTTGGTGTTGCCCTTTTTGCTGTGTTTTTATTAATTTTAAATCACACATTTAAATGGATTAATAACTATTTTCTGTAATGTAATTGCAGGTGGTGCATGTGTCTAAAGATGGTGTAGCCAAAAAGCTGCAGTTACAAATAAGCTGCTGACCCCAGTATCACTGAACAGGATGTCCAGCAGCTCAGGCTACCCTCCCAGCCAGGGAGGTTTCAGTGAGCAGGGCCGCTATCCACCTCATAATGTGCAGTATTCCTTCAACCGCCACCAGCAGGTACAGTGCCTATACTTTTTTCCTGATCCATGAAAAAGTGTAAACTCGCAGGGCTGTATTCATTTAGGGAATGTTGAATTAGGTTTGGGCTATAAAACAATTACAATATACACTCACCGGCCACTTTATTAGGTACACCTTGCTAGCACCGGGTTGAACACTCGGTAGAGACCTGCACGGGCCTATTATCTGGGCCCGAGCCCGGCCCTGGCCCGAGGGGGTGGCGCCCCAGCCCGGCCCGGCCCGATATGGTTTCTGAATTTTCAGGCCCGAAACCCGCATCAAGCCCGCCTTTTTTTTTTTTTTTGTAACCTCCCATAACAATGTTTTAGCGTAGTATATAGTGCCGCGCACTGATATGAACGCAGACTGCTAGAGGGCGGAGTTATACATGGTAGTGATGTGTTGCAATGAGTTCTGTGTGTGCGGAGTGGTGCAGAGTGAACGGCCGCATCTGTATGATGCCCCCGATGCTGCAACACACCTGTAAGTAACGCTATGTGCCGTCAATGACAACACTACACAGAACAACAAACACTACAGCGTGATAGAACGCTATATTCAGTGGGTGCGCTCGTAAATCTATTCTGCCGCTCTGAAAATGAAGAGCCCGAGCCCGGCCCGTGTCCGAGGTCATTATGCGGTCATCGGCCCGAAGCCCGGCCCTCGGGCTGTCGGGCCGTCGGGGCCCTCGGGCCAAGGGCTCAAGTGCAGGGCTCTAACACTCGGTAAAACTGTCTTAATCCTTTTTGGCATAGATTCAACACAGTATTGGACTCATTCCTCAGAGAGTATGGTCCATATTTGATAGCAACTTGCAGATTTGTCGGCTGCACATGCATGATGCAAATCTTCTGTTCCACCACATCCCAAAGTTGCTCTATTGGATTGAGATCTGGTGACTGTGGAGGCCATTACAGGACATGACTTATTGTCATGTTTAGGCTGAGTTTACACGGAGACAATGTGGCAGTAAAACGGTATAGTTGGATGTCGGTTCCTACCAACCGTTCATACGAAGACTGTGTTCCAGGGGGGTGAAAACGTAAGTGTTCAGATCCAGCCTGCAGAGTGGGACAACTCAGAAACGCTGCACAGCAGGGAGCTTTTTCACACCCGCGAGAGGGGAATAGGTGTGAACTCCCCCTCTGCTCTGACCCCCGCCTCCGCGCTGCTCCCCGCACGTAAATTTGGACATGCGCAGTAGCGGAGAACAAACAAAAACAATAATGGCGCCGCCCACACAAACTAGCTACGTGGGCTTCCAGCGCGGGACAGAGGATAATTCTACACCTTCGTTCGTCCAAACGAGACCACGCGAAGCTCTAGGTTCAGTTCCCATTTTCCCAGATGCTGTTAAAAAGCAGAATGATGTTGGTACGTTCTGAGGGTCTGGCACAGGAAGTGAGTATACTGCCGAGAGGGGGGCTGGGCACGGGGCTGGGGGTCGTGTTAGTGTTGTAAAGTTTCTCTGCCCACTACTGGCCGGGCGCTAGAACTGCATCGTTTTTCAACCTCATGTGAACGCTGAGAAATTTGCATTAGGAGCCAGGTCGTTTCTGTTAATAGCCTGGAAACGTCTGCGCAGCGTCTCAGTATAAACAGGGCCTTAGAAACCAGTCTGTGATGATTTGAGCTTTATGACAAGGTGTTTTATCCTGCTGGAAGAAGTCATCAGAAGATGGGTATACTATGGTCATAAAGTGATGGACATGGTCAGCAACAATACTTTCTCTTTTTCGGGCCATTCTCTGTAAACCCTAGAGAGGGTTGTGTGTGAAAATCTCAGATGATCAGAAGTTTGGTTTGAACTGCATCAGATCGTCTTTACCATGTCTACATGCCTAAATGCATTGCATGCCTAAATGAGTTGCTGCCATGTGGTTGGCTGAATAGAAATTTGCATTAAAGTGGAGTTGGATAGGTGTACCTAATAATAAAGTTGCCGGTGAGTGTATATTGCAATTGACATGTGATCAATATCAATATCCATCAGGAGTCCTTTGGCATTTAAAAAAAATCCAAAATGTGCCCACACTTCAGACTTTTTCATGAGTTTGTATACAGAGTGCGCCCGTGCGGCAACTTCAGCAGACTGAGACGCTGGGGAAACGCTCACTGTGCCTACACCGCGGGTGCGGTAATCTTTTTGTTGTTGTTGTTAAGACGGTAAATGTTATTTTTACTAGTGTTTACCGCTATACCGGTAATCGTGACATCCCTAGGCCTCACAAATTACGTATGACTACATGTCCCATGTTCAGCAAAATTTGCCTTGGTCTCGAGCCTCTCACAAATGTGGAAGTTACCGTCAAAACATATACTACGCAGGTAAAGGATAGTCTGGATAGTACTGCAATGGGCCCTCATGGGAGTGCCACAGTGGGATGGCTGTAAAGTGCCAAACTATTATAGTGTTCTTAGGCAAGACACTTCACCCACATTGCCTAGTATGAGTCTGCTGTGTGCGTGAATGATCGGTGGTGATTAGAGGAGCTGCCATGCTTCTGTCAGCGTGCCACAAGGCACCTGTGGCTACTGCAGTAAATTACCACCACAGTGAATGTGATTGAATAACGCCTTTTGACGTCTTTGAGCGTCAGAAAAAGCAGTATATAGATGGATAGATAGATAGATAGATACTTTATTGATCCCCGTAGAAGAAATTCAGGTATCCAGTAGCAGTAAAAATAAAAAATAAAATTGATAATTCTAAAAAGCTTATAATAGTAATAATCAGCAAAAGCCCTTCAGGTCACAGCAGCAGAGGTGGAGTAGGCTCTGGGTGGAGCAGGACGGGTCACAGCAGCAGAGGTGATGTAGCCTCTGGGTGGAGCAGGACGGGTCACAGCAGCAGAGGTGATGTAGCCTCTGGGTGGAGCAGTACGGGTCACAAGGTGGAGTTTCCGCTTGGTTCGGACCATTTTCTCTGCTCTAGTCCAAAGTGAAATGCTAAATGCTTCATTAGCATTTTTCAAAAAGTTAATATTCCTCCAGTGGATTTTTGACAGATCCACTTGGTTCAGATCATGAATCCTCTCTGCTCTGGTCTGGACCAGTGTAAAACCATGAACACTGTACTGCACTAACATCTCCAGGTTGAAAAAAGCAATAAAAATAAAAATTGTAACGCACAAAACAAAAACTGTTTCAGAGCTACTTAGGACTTGCAGCCGTTTTCCAGCGCTTTCAAAAGTAAACAATGATATATGTTGTGTGCATGATTATTAAGGACTTACGGATGAATGTTTCAAATTATGATTTGTTTGTTTGATCATCATTTGTCAGACTCTTGTCTTTGTGCCATCAGGAGTTCCCTATCACAGACTACCGGACGCACATGCAGGATCCACAGGGGCGTCGGAGACCATCTCTACTATCGGAGTTCCACCCTGCACCAGAGAGGTAGCCTCCTTGTCTACATTGTGAAACAAGCTAGAACCTCTCATTAGAATATGTGACGTGATTGTTTGTGCTCCGCAGGCCCCCAGAGAGACGTCACGGTTACGAACAGCAGTTTCCCTCAGTCAATGCTCAGGCTGAACATGAGCAACTGGAGGCCAAACGACCTCGCATGGACACCATCAATGAAGCCCACATTACACGCACCCCCTCAACCTCCGGGGGCATGAGTCTTCCGATGCCCCACACAATACATGACAGCCTAAGAGCCACTGTGGAAGTCAAAAAGGTCTGCAATCTCTGCTTTTACAATCAATCAACATGTATTTATTTCAGGACATGGACAACACAAATTCTCATAACATACATTCATTCATGTTTCTGAAAAGGGGTTGGATGAAGCAGACGGTTATAAACTTCCAACCACAATGCTATGATTTATTCTTTATGCAGTTTAGTATGTAATATCTGACCAATAATAAGACTGGCTATATGATATATGGAAAATTGTTTTCACAAAAAAAAAAAAAATCATCTCATATTTTAACAAAAATAAGAACATTAAACAAGATTAAATAGTTTTGCAATTACACACCAGGGACAACATATCCTTGAATTATCCAAGTATAATGTTTTAATCTTGCAGTTCAAGTTATGCTATCAAAGCTAGTTATAAAATTATATATTTATGTGATACTACTGGGTATAATGCCCCAAAACAATTGGCATTATTACTTCATTATATATTATTACAGATTTAATATAATAAGAATTAGGAAGAAGTAGTGCACAGGCATTTGACATTTACCTCCCTGTCCTAATGCTTCGTGTCAGATTACCTCATGTCCTCTTCTGCCCTTTCTATCACCAAGGCGATTGGTGGTCAATATGGCCAAATAATCCTGTACAAACTTAAAGTTGGTGGCAAACTCCCATTCAATGAAGTATGAAGAGTCTGCATGTCTGTTTTATGTGGACAAAACATAAAAGTTGCCTTATTAGATTGTAATAATCTTGCAAAAATGTATTTATGAAGTGAAAGTGATTGATGGATTTAAGAAAATGTGTCTTAATTTTTTTCTTTTAGAGAATGCCCAATCACCATAAGCTACATTCTGCATCCACTGTAGAAGCTACATATCCACTATACATTTCTCCACATCTCGCTCTGTGGAAGCCCCAATATCCTGTTCTCATTTTGAGGACTTTTTGCATAGTCTGAACACATTTAGCTTCATATTTATTATTTAAATACAAAATATAAGTCAAACCAAGCCTATTGGTCAACATGCAAACCGTTGTCCCCTAATGTCCTGTGCACATCCAGGAGTCTCAGTATAGTGTTAAAGTGGACGCGTCAGCCAGCCTTCATCTCGGTGACGACACAGACTCGTCTCCCTCCAAGCTTTCAAAGGAGGAGCTGATCCAGAGTATGGATCGTGTGGACCGGGAAATTGCTAAAGTGGAGCAACAGATATTCAAGCTCAAGAAAAAACAGGTCAGTTTTCATTTGTGCAAATGTACATGATACATTTTCTATTCATGTGTTCAGTGAAGCAATAGTGGGGCAGAGTGAAACAACTTTCCAGAAAAAATCTTTCACTTTGCAATAAGCACAGAATTTAGCATGTTCAGCATTTACTTTTTAACAAGTATGTTACCCGGCTAAAAATGTGAATCCCTGTAAGGTTATTTACCCGAAAGAACTTGAAAGTATATTTACTTATTTACTTTTGGTGGGATAAGGCATTTGAAAAAGGTTTTTCAAATTTTCTTAAAAATATAAGGATATAGAATTAAGATTTGAGATAAACAGATATAGAATATTAGTAAAAACACCTAATCGTATAATTTTGCAAGCTCATTTTAATAAATTGTGGGGTAACGGCAGCTAGGATGCTGAAACTGAAGTAAATATTTTGAAGAATGAGAGGCTAAATAATTTTAATACATTATTATTGAATTCTGAATTATTTTCTGTTTGCATAAAATCTTATATAGAATTTCTTTAATAAATCATGCTTTTTAAATATTAAAGACAGTCCTCCCAATTTGGAAAATGTTCTGGTTGGGATTATAAACCATAGGCTATTTTGAGCCTTTTAAAACTAATCAACGCCAGCAAATAAAAAAAAGTAAAATTCAATTACTTGTGAACCTCCATCATATCTTTTTTTGATTAAATTCCCTCTTTTGATTCAATTTGATTCATAGATTTAATGGCTGGCTTGGAGCCTCTAGAGAAGGCTGGATATGTAGTCTAAAATACTATTTGATTGCATTTTGATGAGAACATTCCTACAAAGATGGATAGATCTTTCCTCCCAGTTATTCAGGAGGGTAGTGAAGCGTCTCCTTTTTCTCCTGGGAAATATGATTGCATAATGTTTATTTTATTTACATCTTTGAGATAGGAGGAACAATACATATGAATGGCTAATTTCCATCTGCAAACCCCTTTGCAGGTTGGTGTTACAACACAAGTTAGTAAAAACATACATAGACACTATTTACAGACTGTACAGAGAGACGGGGACAAGAACAGTTATGTTAGAACAAGCAACAAGAGTGGACAACAAAGCTCAATGTAGAAAACAGAAACGGAAACATATCATCTGTATTGCACAAACCTGAGTATTGCACATACCCTGACTGTCCAAATATTATACAGACCCATGTTGCACCACTCTATATTGCACTGACCGTTACACTCACCTGTATTGCACAGCCCATATTAACTGAACTTCTTAGGGATATTAAATATGCTGGGTACACCGCACGTTTAAGTGATACTATTTCACATATGTTTAATTTAGATTGGACTTGATTATAGCGGACAATAAAAGGGATTTCATTAAGATTAAGATATTTGCATCAGCTTGCTGACTGATGGCACTTTCATTATCATCAATTAAAAATAAAAACTTGTTTTGTGAGGTAAACAAAAACAGCATAAATACAATTTTAATTGGAAATATGTTTTATTTCTATATTTTACTAGCAACAACTGGAGGAGGAAGCAGCCAAGCCAGTGGTGCCGGAGAAGCCTGTGACTCCGCCCCCAGTGGAACACAAACACCGCAGCATCGTTCAGATCATCTATGATGAGAACAGGGTGGGTATTCTTTCATATTGATGCTTTCCACATTTGGGAGCGCTTCAGAGACGCTGCAGGTGAAGATAATCACAAAATATTTGTTTAGAATTGCTATATAACAGGTTCTTATTACAATTTCATTGATGAATGTTATGAGTTTTAGTTCACACTTCAATGGAAAACCATTCTTCAGGTTGTTACTGGGGGCCCTGAAGGGCTGGTATTGCTGTAGACTTTGGGAATAATTTTAATCATCATTTTAGTGTATGTATATACTAGGGCTGTCAAACGATTAAAATTCTTTAGTTGATTAATCGCACAGAAATGGTGAGTTAACTCACGATTAATCGCATTTTCAACATTCCATTTCAAATCCACTCAAATTGAAGTTAAATGAGATTATCAAATGTAATGACACATTGTCATTCATACCAAATGTACTTAAATCTGTTAGATTTGCTCACAACCAAAATGAGCTGTTAATGAAAGGGGGAAATTTACGTACCCCAGCTTTAATTCAGCTAGTTTAGTTTAGTTTCAGGAGGAGACACGGACACTTTACGTGGTGTATTTGCGTGCATAGCTAACGCACAGGTTGCAAAGACACGCACACAACATGCAGACAATAGTTTTGTGGCGTGTACGGTCTTATATGACCATGTTACCGCGGCGACATTCGCTCACAGCCGTGTTGTTGTTAGCGGCTCACAACCAGAGCGGGTCTGTTGTTTGCTATGAACTGAAGTCCGCCTTCAGTTCATAGCAAACAGCCCCGCGGCCACTCGCGTATTCTTTTAAAACTTGAATTCCCAGAGGGCCTTCCTGCTCTGATGCCATCTCACACGCAGCATTCGGAGTGATATTATGGATAAATGGGTGTGCGTTAATGCGCAATTTTTTTTTTTACACATTAATGAAAAATTTAATTAGCGTGAGTTAACGTGATTATTTTGACAGCCCTGGCATATACTATATCTTTGCAATATAAAAATAGGTTTGGGTTAAGGCATAGGAAGTAGGGATGCAACATTATTTTTTACAATGACAAAAAGCAATATGAACTATTTATTTTAATTTATTAGGTTTGAAGCCTCATCCAAACCATATTTACTACCAACATTAATCTAGAACAGCAAATTATAATTTTTCCATTGTGGAATTAAAGTGTATTTCCGCTGCAAAATTCTATTGTTTCATTCCTGAAGACCTTTAACCCTTTTTTTGGTTTGTGCCGAATCTAACAGAAGGGGACTCAGAATGTTGGCAGAAAAGGGCGCAAACAGGCTCTTTTGATAACAAGGGACACTTTTCTGAAGCCACAACTTAAACTTTGTTAATTTCAGTTTGCCTTCTGATTTCTGTCATTCATTTTCTTGCTCATTCGTTCACTTCATTGTCTTTATATAAAAAAAGTCTTTACACCACGGCATCAGGTTGAGACTGGAGCTGTAGTGGAACCATCGCAGATATAATGAAGCCAAAAAAATTAAAGAAATCAGAACAAACTTCTGCACTATATCTCCGGTCTGCGCATTCTCCTCCCCATTGCAGAGCGCATTATCCCCTACCGTAGCGCTCACCTGTGGCTTTGCTCCAATGTCTCCCTCAGAGCGCTCCCTCTTGGCATGCGCTGCAGCCCATCTTGGGGCTCTTTTCCCGCTCTATGGCAAACATCCCGCCGCTGCTACTTCTTCCACACTTGTCTGTTTGTCAGAGATGATAAACAGACAAGTGTGGACTGAGGCTTTGGACTAGTGCGAGGCTTGCATCACTTGCAGGTGCAGAGATGGTGCTCCGTGGGCTTTTGTGATTGGAGTCGGACCCTCCTGTCAGACACTAGCTTTTAGATGTATAGAAATAATATATACACAAAAAATAAAATTCCCTTAAATCTATGTATTAGTGCTTTCAATTAGTATGAAAAGGGATTGAATGAAGAAAAAATATTAATTAATCAAATCCACTCCTAAAGAAAGTATTTGGATTGTCTATATAGGCTACTCAATTTCTGGATGGTTTTGTTATTGCTTTTTAAAGTGTCAACTATGTTAAGCCAACATTGTAGAAATGACTTGAATTGTCTAATAAAGGCTACTCTTGTTTGTTTTCAGTTAAATGTATTTCTTTACACATGAAATGGAATTAACTATAGCTTCAACGTTTGGGCTGTGACCTGGAGATAGAATCCCCGTGGCTCACAGTGTCTGTCACACTTTTGGGGCTAAGCCTCACTTTTACTCTGTGTCTATTACTTTATTCAATCTTTTGTTTACACTGATCACTGATGATGTACCGTTATCATTAGAAGTCAGACAGTTAACCCTTGTATTATGTTGGAAAAAAAATGACATTGATTATGTTGCGGGTCATTTTGACCCGTACTGTGTAAATGCACTCAAAACAGTCAAGAAAACAGGTTAAACCAATAACAACTTTATTTTAGGTTATATAAATATTTAGAAAAGTGACATACAATACATTTTTAATTCCAACGCTATATTTAAGAATTATTTAGTCTAATCTTCTTGTCCTCCTCTCGGGTCAAAATGACAATTCTTCCCTCCTTCTTTCCTCCTGCCATGCTTTCTCCTTCCTTTTTCTCATCCTGTTTTCCTTCTCTCTGTTCATCCTTCTATATTCCCTTCCTTTCTTCCTCCCTTCCTCTTCTTTGACTAAAGATTCGTCCTCTGAAACCTCCTTATCGTAGGAAATTTGACAATCTGGATCAGCAATAACATTGTCCTCTGTCTCTGAAAAATCCTCTGTTTCTGAAATCTCTTCCTCCACATCATTATCCCAGTTAAAAATCTGTGATAAAGCCTCCTCAGATGTCATCCTTCTGGAGCTCATTTTTGGTGAGTTTGTCTAAAGCCTGGCGTACATCGACAGAGTAACTGGAGACAACTAGTTGCAAGGCGGCTTTTGGCAACTGAGAGGAGATGGTGGGAGATGATCAGTTGCTGAAATCGGTCGATGTGCACGCTCTTACAACTGGAGATAAACAGTCAATCTCCGGATTCAGTCAGTTGCCCGTCTTCTACTTTTCGGCAACTAGTTTTACTCAGATCTGGAGATATCACCCGATGTGCGCGCTCCAACAACATTTGTGTATTGCGTGTATTGCGCCCTCTACAGTTTAAGTCAGAAAACACACTGTAGTTGAGGCCAGTTGCTGTAGATGTACACGCTGTTATTCCCGAGACTGGTCTGCAACTGGGAGACCCGTTTTCGCCACATTGTCGATGTGTGCGGGGCAGGAACTCAAAGGCAACGGATATATTCAGTTGCCAGTACGATGTACACTAGGCAAAAGAGATGACATGAGAACGGTGACAAGGAAAAGTGTGAAAAAGTTCCCTCTCTTCACACACCTGGCTCTGGGTCTCAGAGGCAATCAAAATACAATGTCAAAGAGACATGTTTTTTTTGGATCTGAACAACTATTTACCCACATTAAAGCGTCTGGGTCAAAATGACCCGCAACATCATCTTTGTATACAAACTCTGCACAGACATTCCACTACACATCAAAGTGTCCAGATTTTACACACCTGTTCATGACCCTAGATGAGGAAAAGTCACCAAATTTCAGCAAGAAAAAGAAAGGAGAACCAGTACTTTGATCAACACAAAAACTGAAATGGGTCAAATTGACCCTTAACATAATACAAGGGTTAAGAGTAACTATTTTGTGTATTTATTGCATAATTATTTTGTTTGGGTAGTGTTTAATGATTGCTGTTCTGTTAAATGATTGATCATTTACAGAAAAAAGCAGAAGAAGCCCACAAAATCCTGGAAGGTCTTGGTCCTAAAGTAGAGCTGGTAAGTTATTGTTCTCATACCTTAGACATGGATTGATTTCATCATGAGGTTCATTCATGATTTCTTCCACTTTAAGCCCCTGTACAACCAACCGTCAGACACAAAAGTTTATCATGATAACATCAAAACGTAAGTATTTTATGAAAAATGTTGTATTACCTGGTACTATTTTTTTTTAAAGCTCAAAAAAATGTTTCACTTTCGATCGTTTACATACTTATAATAATGAACCCAGGGTGTCGCACATGTGTGATCATAATTTGGGTGATACACCAAACAACACTCCCCAGCTGAGCAGCGTATCTGAGCTGTCCCACTCTATAGACTGGATCTTAACGCTTACGTTTTCACCCCCCTTGAACACAGTCTCCATGTAAATGGGAGGTAGCAACCGACACCCAACTATCCCGTTTTACTGCTGCAGCGTCTCTGTATAAACGGGGCCTAACTGTACAGTTTTTGCTGTTACAGTGTCCTTACAGAGCCAAATACTGTCTGCACATATTTACACCAAAAACATATTTTCTCCAAGTTGACAGGAAGCTAACACAAAAAGACGCGTTTTTACAGTCCGTGTCCGTATATTCATCCAAGCTGTCTGTGGCAGCTCTGAAAAGGTCCCAGTCTGTAGATTCCATGCATGCGCGCAGCTCTTCCACAGCTTCATCAGACCACACTTTGGAGCTCCTCACTGCAGGTTTCGAGAGCTTTAGTCTCTGTCTGTAAGCAGGAACCAGATGTATCATGGAGTGATCTGAGAAGCCGAGGGCTGGCTTGGGAACAGCGCGAAAAGCTCCGCGCACGGTGGTGTAACAGTGATCCAGAGTGTTCTCCTCTCTGGTCGGGCATTTGATAAACTGTCTGTATTTGGGTAATTCCTGGCTCAAGTTTCCCTTATTAAAATCCCCCAGGATAATAATCAGAGAGTCCGGGTATAAGCGTTCCATACACAGTACTTGCTCTGCGAGTGCGCGCTGAGCCTCGCGCGCGTCCGCGCATGGCGGTATATGTAAACAGAGGCAAGAATGAATGAAACAATTTCCCGCGGGGAGTAATATGGATTACAATGAATGAAAAGATATTCCAGAGCAGGAGAGCAGTGCTTGGAGATCACTGTCACATCGTTACACCAGTTTGTATTGACGTAGAAACAGAGCCCTCCGCCTCTGCTCTTCCCTGAGAGCGCACAATGGCGATCCGCGCGAAACAGCCCAAAGCCCTGCAGCTCCAGAGCGCAGTCCGGGATCCGCTCATTTAGCCAGGTCTCAGTGAAGCAGAGGACACAGGATGTGGCGAAGTCCTTGTTTCTTCTCATGAGCAGGCTGAGTTCGTCCATCTTATTGCCCAGTGAGCGTACGTTGGAGAGAAAAATGCCGGGGAGAGCCGTGCGCGCTCCTCTCCTCCTAAGACGCACGAGCAGGCCTCCTCGCTTTCCCCTTTTACGGGCCCACACTTTTTTGGCTAGAACATGAACTAAATCAGCCGCAGATGCCAAGAAAACAGGCAATAGGTCCATGGGAACGGAGGGTCGGATGTTCATAAGTTCCTCACGGGTGTAGGAACAGCCAGATGCACAGTTAAAAAGTAAAAACAAAAGAAAAAGAGAGCAGCAAAGAGCCATGTCGACCGTACGAGGCGCCATCTTAGCGAGGAGGGGGATGGAGGGGGTCCATTCTGGGCCCAGCCTCATTCACTGCATTTATTTAATTTTTGGCATTATCAGTTGTGACTGGAATATTAGTACTGGGCCTTTGTCTTCCATTCCTCCGCTGCTTGTGTCAGTACCTGCGCTGTGTGACTGTGTGACTGTCGTAGAGGGGGCGTGTCTTCAGCGCCAGACTTCTCATCTCCCAGTCTGCGGTGATGAAGTTCTCCGTTCCGCTCATGGATCTATTATAGATTCCGCGGGACGTCCAAGCGTCAGTTGTGAGCGCAGCTGAGGATGCGCGGGAGAGTTGACTTTAGCCCGGTCTGACTGTGCGTAAAGGAGCTGCTTAAATGCCGTTGAGACGCTTTTTTCACTCATGTCTTTCTTGTGCCACAGTGCTTACACATCGTGACAGTTTTGTCGAATATTAATTATCAGTGTAGTTACAGTGAAGCCAAAATGCTCTCATACTGGGGATTTAAATGACGCAGGGCTTTCAAGCATCTCCGTTCCTCCGCTCGCAATGACCGCACTGTATGTGTGGACTGAACAACGTGCGCACAACTTTTTTTTCATAAATCAAACCGCGGATCACGTCTGTACCGAACCGAAGACGTTGAACCGAACGGATCACGGATCAGTGATGAACCGTTGCACCTCTACTATGAACCATGCGCTGACCATAGACGGCGTTGATTCACTGGTTCAGTTTCTCCCCACTGTCAATCACGTCCTGCGGCGGGCTTTGATGTCACGGATTGGTGCACGTCACAATTTTAAACGACTCGTTTCTGTGCCTCTCAAGATTGAAAGGGAAAGAGCACTCTCTAACTAAAGCTTGTGGGAATCAATGAAAAAAACTACTCCGGGCATGTGTATGAAGGCCAAATAGCACTGTAATCATGTTTAAACCAGAAAAAAGTCTAGCATGCTTATATATTGGATTAATAACACTAATGTGTTTTCTCTCAGGCCATTTTAGTTTGCATTAAATGTGTTCGCTTGTTTTCTTGCAGCAACCAAGTGATGAGGAAGAAGCTGATTTTGTTTTTTAAGAGGCGAAATCATGCCCGCAAGCAACGGGTAAGTCCCCTATCCCTTAAGTAGCCCAAAACATGTGTATGTTATTCCTAATTATTATGTTCTTCTCAAATTATTCTTTGCATTATTCATCAAGATAAATGTTTGTTTTTATATTAATGAATTAATTGATTGTCGAGGCTGAGTCACAATAACAATAATCACATCGAAATGGTTTTGGTTCACTGGGTTCTTTCCTGCCCTGTCTCTGCACTGTCAGGGTCACACAGACCTGGACTGAAACAATACCACTGTGAATTTGACTCGATGCCAAGAGGAAGCTGGATTGTTTGTCCTTTTTCACAACAAAGGGAAATTTAGAACACAATGGAGATTCCATCCGCGTAACTCTTGACCATACTAAAAAGGCAGGGGTCAAATTTAAACAAAATTTTAATTCCTGAAATGGAAACCTCTACAATGTGTACAAAAAGATCAGGTTGAGCAACAATAATAATAAACACAACACATTGGTTAAGATATTGTTTATTGTTGTCATTGGGAATTGACCCCATTGGGCATTTGACCCATCCTTCAAGTGGTGATGGTGTCAAACCCATTTGACCAGTCCCCAGGACTGAGAGGAAGTGTTTACTAAAATGTCCATCAGTTTCTCGGTGAAAGTCTGCTTGAAGCTCATCTTTTGAATCTTGTCATTTTTGATATATAATACATATAGGCTTGTACATACTTGAATTTGGGGGTTAGGGTACGGGTTGGGGCAACCTTTGGGCCTGAAGGTCGTGGGTTCGAGCCCACCATGAGACCTACTTCACGAATCTCACTGATGTCTGCTGTCGTAGTGTCCTTGGGCAATACACTTAACCTCACTTTGCCTGAAGCCCCCGGTGAAAAATCAAGGCTGTCATCATCACTGACAGATCAGCCTCCTGTGGACTCACCACCTGCAGGAGGGGCTGGTGCTTTGTGAATTGGTTGCTGCTCTGACTGCCACTCCCGACCCAGTAATGGATTAAGGTGAAGAAAATGGAGGGATGGATGGATAGATGGGTTAGGGTAGATTTTTTATATTGAAGACTGAGGCCAATTATTATATTTTTTCTCATACTATTCAATTACCTATGATACTAATGAACTCTATGATGGTTCTTGCCAGGATTTATTCTTTTGGTATTTTGAAACTCTATTTAGACCCTAATACAACAGTGCAATGTTGAATTGAAAGATCCTCTTCATTCAAAGACCATACAGGTAAAAAACATGATCTAAAAACTATGCCAACTGCAATACATGCTTTGTGGTGTACAAACTGGAACGTGAGTGTGGTTGTTTTTATATTGGTAGAACAAAAAGGAGACTGAAGGACAGACTTGCTGAGCACAAACGTGCAATAAAAAAATTATGATCCCCAGTGCGCAATGGCTGTCCACTTTCACACGGCTGGACACACCAACATCAACAAGCTAAAAGTGATGGTAATTGACTCAATCCCAAAATCACCCAGAGGTGGAGATAGACTTACCCACCAGCTGCAGCCTGAAACATTTTGGATTGTCAACCTGAACGCCACATCCTTTCCTGGACTCAATGATGAAATTGACTTTTCACCATTCCTTTAAATGTGTATATATGCTTTATGAGATGATCTTTTTATCTGTGGAACAGTGTGGATAGTAGGAACGTGGAAGCCTGTCCCCTCTAGGTTATATACTCTATTAACTGTTTTACAGATATTGCTTCTACACCTCCAGCGAATGTATAATTGTAAATATGTTGTTTTTTCTCTTTTCTTTCTGTGTGCATTGTATATTTGATGTAAATACACCAGTGCATGTTTAGAGGAGGGCCTAATGAAGCCCCTCCCTATATAAATCACATGGGCAAAGGTGCCACCATTTGCACCCTGAAGAAGGCCAAGCTAGGCTGAAACGCGTTGGTGCGTATTTTAATCTACAGCCATGAGAAAATAAAGGCTTTTAAAACTTTCTAAACTTTTGACCACGAGTGCCTTGGATTTTTTTGATTTTCTAAGATCTTCACCATTTGCCTTTTACCTGGAAAGTCAAAACTAATTTTTTTGAGAACAGTGCAATGTGTTTGGGAAGTGGGAAAATGGATTGACTTTATCCTATTTAGTTGAATCGATACACTCAGTGTTGGGTAGAATACTTTGAAAATGTATTCTGTTACAAAATACTGAATACATGACCTAAAATGTGTTTTGTATTGTATTCTGTTACTTTGGAAAAAATAGTACAGGTTTGATGATGATTTTCAGAAAGTAACTGCATTCTACATAATAGACGTTAAAGTACCAATTGTTACAGATTAGTTACCAAAAAGAATATTCTGAACATGTAACGGCATTACATGTATTCCGTAACTTCCCAACACTGGATACACTGCTCTGCAGTTTACTCATAGACATATTTAATAACACATTTTGATTTGTTCCAGGAACAGAAGATTTGCCAGCGCTATGACCAGCTTATGGAAGCCTGGGAGAAGAAGGTGGAGCGGATGGAAAACAACCCCAAAAGGAAGGCTAAGGAAAGCAGAACACGCGACTATTATGAAAGACAGTTCCCCGAGATCCGCAAGCAAAGAGAGCAACAGGAGAGATTTCAAAGGTAATATGCTTGTGTCTGATCATATTGTGTGTCTTTTTATACACTGGCATGGGTGGATGTTAAATAACAATACAGCCAATATTCATTACTGGCAACATTCCTGGGAAGCTGGGCCTCAGAGCTCATCATTAAGATCTGTCCCCAAGGAATACATTCAGTACTGTTGGCTTACAAGATGTTTTTTTTTTCCAGAGTTGGACAAAGAGGAACTGGCCTTTCTGCAACAATTGCTAGAAGTGAACACGAAATATCAGAAATCATAGATGGCCTGTCTGAGCAGGAAGTACGCATTTATTACTTATTACTTACTTAATTTGTTTTAAGAAGCATGTGTGTATTGCACAATGGATTCCAACAGTGCAATTGGTTGTTTGACTTATGACTTTTATGTTCTAGAATAATGAGAAACAAATGAGACAGCTTTCTGTCATTCCCCCCATGATGTATGACTCTGAGCAGAGAAGAGTCAAGTTCATTAACATGAACGGCCTGATGGACGACCCAATGAAAGTATACAAATCTCGCCATTTCATGAATGTTTGGACGGAGCACGAAAAAGAGATCTTTAAAGAAAAGTAAGGTTTTTTCCAGCACATTATTGACTGAGTGATAATTTGATAGTAATATTGAATATGAGTTGTTGTTGCAGGTTCGTTCAACACCCCAAGAATTTTGGGCTAATTGCCTCTTATCTGGAGAGAAAGGTAAATCTCTTATTTCCTTTTGATAGAAAAGAGTTTTGCAACACAAAAACACACACACAATGTCTTGACCGACTGCCTTTGAGACGATGAGTGAAGGGAGGCTTCCCTTTTGTAGCAACCATCTTTTTCATTTTCTTCTGCCCTATCCGTTACTGGCATGGATCTATTATAATAACTGGATAGGTTATTACTAGCTTGGAGCTGAAGAACCCATGTGCTTGGGGGATTCTCGCGGTACTGCAGACTAATCCAGACTAAATTCACGGGCTACACAGAAATGTTCCCCATAGAACTCAATGTAAACTAAAATAGCTCAACCTCAGCTGACAGAGAACCCTACAGCTTTAATAAAGGTCGGATTTTAGTGTCCCTTGTCATCCTGAACTTTTTTTCTTTTCTTTAATCCTTCGGTTTTCTTTAAATCCACACTTTAGTGTCACAAACTCTGCTCATCTGGATCCCGCTCTAACTCCCGCCAGCTCTAACTCCCGCCAGCTCTAACTCCCGCTGCTCTAACTCCCGCCGGCTCTAACTCCCGCCGCTCTAACTCCCGCCGGCTCTAACTCCCGCCGCTCTAACTCCCGCCGCTCTAACTCCCGCCGGCTCTAACTCCCGCCGGCTCTAACTCCCGCCGGCTCTAACTCCCGCCGGCTCTAACTCCCGCCGCTCTAACTCCCGCCGCTCTAACTCCCGCCGCTCTAACTCCCGCCGCTCTAACTCCCGCCGCTCTGATCAGCAGCTCTGATTGGTCAGAGCGTGGCCGAGCCCCTCTGTGCACGTGCATGAGAGCCACACACGCGCATCATGGGAGATCATCCACTGCGCAGAACCGGGAGGACCAGATGATGCCCAAATATAGCGAGTGATATGGCGAATTCCGCTAATATGTCAGTGACTGTGCTGGCACATGCGCCACTGAGCACAAACCATTTATTTAAATACGGCGCCAACTTGGATCGCCGGGGCTTGGTTACCAGTTCGCAGAAGCAGAACAGGACCAACGTTCCTGAGATGAGATTTGGATACATTTTGACCTCATCGTTATGGCTTTTTGGATTATAGATGCATTGTCTTTTTCATTTTTTGAATGTTTCTAATCCAAGTTTAAATGACGTCATGAACTCAGTGGCACATTGCTATTCGATTGAAAACAAAATCGTTTGGCATAAGAAAAAAATCATATTTTTATGCATACTAAAAACAGCATGTGGTGATCTGTCTTGCTCATACAATGCTAGTGTTTTAATTTTTGTAACATGACTCTCTTAACTGCACACAAGACAAACAACATTCCCACAACATTTTTGAGGCGAATAAAAAAGGTGTGTCACTTGTAATAGTGTTATGTTTATTTTTAACTCTGATAACAATTATGTTGTTACCTAGTAACAATTGTGTTTTGTAATTAGACTAGTTATTCACTAGCTTCAAAGTTATGTATCCCAAGTAAAAAAAGTAATATTGTATAATTGTATTGCTTTAAGGGCTTTATTTTATTTTCTTATAGTTTTTCTTATATATTATTGTATCAATATTGATAAATGAACATTATAAATTGAAAAAAGCAACAAAACAAATGATGGATTTCTCCCTCGTTTGTCCTGCTTGTACGTCACAATAAAATGTTTTATGATTGTCATTGAATGCACCACTACAGCCAACCAACCACAAACTTTTTTTCATGCTCGTTGTGGATCAAAATCTGAAGCCATCAAAGACAAACATAGGATGGGAGTTTTTTTCCCGAAAAAGGACACAGATCCTGTAATATAGTAATAGCATGAACATTGAGATATTACATTTTATCCTCGCTATATGGTATTATACGTTAGTTAGTGTAACTATATTGCGTTATAAGGAACTAGGTATTTGTAACCAAGTCAAAGACCGTGTATTACTTTTTTCTTTTATGTTGCTTTCAGTGTGTGGCAGACTGTGTCCTTTACTACTACTTGACTAAGAAGAACAACAACTATAAGACTCTTGTGAGACGGAACTATGGAAGAAGACGACGTGGGAACCAGGTTTGTTTTACAGATGCACACACAGTCCTGTGCTGTATCTTGAAATGAGACTACGTTGTTGTGAATTCAGAGGCTAGAAACTAATTATTTTATTGCAGTATCCATATAATATTTATGCTTATTCAGAACACTTGAGACAAAAAGAGTACTTAAGTTGTACTGAAAATATTCTTACAAGTTTAGCATGAGATGTTTTCATACAGTATGTTTTCATTCATGTTTGCTGGGATATGTGACAGAAAGTCCCCCTCCCTATGAACTGCAGTTGGTACAGCCCAGTCGTCTGACGAGCCAAAAAAACTCACTGCTGCTGTGAGTGCCAATCAAAGAAGAGTGCTCGCGGGGATTACCTTGAGTGACCCTGCATAGATTAGTGTGTGCATGTGAGATGGACAATTCTTTGGGCGGCTTAAGCGGCCCGATGACACGCTTTCCCGGAATATGTGCGGTAGTGCCGTGGCCCAGCAGCCCTTCTAAGGAGCTGTGCCCTGCACCTCTGCTGGTCCCTTCACCACTGCTATGGAAATACTGGAGGTTAGCCACCAGTGTTCCACAGCTCTAAAACCGTGTTTATGAGCAGCAGATGAGCTTGCAGGTATGTTGGCAGCGTTGCAGGTAGAATTGTTCATTGACTTGTTGCTAAAGCCTGTGTTCCCGCTGTGTGTGACAAACTTGTTATTTGTGGGCAGTTTGTAGCAGAACTTGCTGTTGTAGTTAAACTTTGGTTTAGACTACTAACTTCTTATTTACAGCACAACAGATAAAATCCTTTATTTAGTGTTCGGAGCAGTGTTTGATTATCCAAAAATAACTAATAAAATCAAACTACTTGAAGTAATACTAATACTAACTCAAACATTATGGCACCTTTACCACAACTCCAACTGACTTGAAAGTCATGCACATTCATGTACATGCGCAATAAGTGATGCACTGAGCCATTTGACCACGAGCCATCTTTTTTTTTACCACAAAATAATCAGAATTGTATGCACCAGCAGCAGTGTTTGCTTCATTCTGCTTGCAATTGATTTAAGGTCTGTAAAGAACGCATTAGGCGTGTCTGGGAAACATGAGATTAGCATCACATGCAGGGTTCTAATGCCATAGATTTGATTTGCTGGTCATGTAGCTCTCATACATAGAGGGAAATAATCCATGGTAGCATTGCCTGTCTTCTTTTTGCACACAGCAGAAGACAGAAACGTACCTTGTCAAATGACACATCTGACGGCCCATCACTACATAAAGCTGATCCTTCCTCTTAGCTAGACCTCCATATTTCCTTAAAGTCTTACTCGAGCTTGACTAGTTATCATTTGCCCTTAAAGAGGGAAGCACATTCCTTGGCCCCATCTGGTACCAGCATGGGATGTTTGGCTTGGCATTGCCAGACTTGTTCCAGCACAGCAATTTCATAGAACAGGCAGGAGGAAGCATTCTTTGGTGAACCACGCCAGCACTGCTGAAAAAGAATGTACTCCAAAACATAGTTTTCCATTTCTCCGCTTAGGAGTTGGCATTACAGAGAGAACACTTGGGCTTTAATTGCTGATGCTATTACATTCATGTCTTTTTCCCTTTGTTTTATGGCTGGTCTTTCAGCTATTATCAGTTCCATAAAATTAGGTCAAACTCAAAAAATGGTTCACTTTTAATCGAGTAAATACAACGGTGGATGTAGCTTGTGTTTTCAGTTTTTGTCTGTTATTTGATATCATAGCAAATTCCACGGCCATCACAAGAGGACAAGTCAGACGACAAGAACGAAGAGGAAAAGCCTGAGAAGTCAGATAAAAAAGAGGAAGAGGAGAAGAATAACGAGGAAGACAAAGATGAGAAGGAGGATTCCAGGTACTGTGCACATGTGAAATCTAAATATTGAAAAACAGGTTGAGAAATGCAAATTTACCATTTGACTTTCTCAAGATTAATTCTGATAGAAATCTACATTTTGCAAATACAACTTTAACTTAGCTCCAATCTAGATAAAAAGTATTCATGTGTGGATACCTCTCAAAGAAATACTTGCATAGTTCTTGCATTCTAAGCTGCAGCAGACAGATAATGGCACTGGCCTTGCTATCGTTTCATGTTTAGCAGTCACTGGTTGACCCGTGCGATGCGTTAAATCTCCAACATAAACAGCCTTCACAAGCAGTCTAGACTAACATACACGGAAAGTGGAGGACATGGTTTACACCATTACGTTTTCCACATTACCTTCTTGTTGTAAGCATAAACAAAGAGATAACAGGGCTCAACATAAACTGTCGGCTTGCCCGGGCCAACTAAAGATTTGGGACGGTCATGTGCGCTGTCTTAGCAAGTTGCCCATTATGTTTAGGACACAGTAGTATTGCTTTAACCCACCCAGGCTGGGAAGCATTCCTGCATTTCTACCTCTAGAGCCAGGAGAGGTTTATGTGTTTTTGACCAATTGGTCAATTCTCTTCCATATCCTCCATTCTAACCCCTGGAGCGGCCTTTTTGTAATTACAGCGGTTACTTGGGCCTGTAACTTTTGACATTGGGCAAGTAAATTATAACTGGTACTTGGGCAAGTGGCTGACAAAGCTTAATGTCAAGGCCTGGATAATATTAATGGATTATTTTTGTGAAAGAACAAAAGCCACTGTTTGTTGTAATGTTAATAAAGTCTTTATAATAACTCTGGCAAATCAGAGAACATGCATGTAAAATACCACACTGTATAACCTACAATATAACACAAATATAATATATTAATTATTAAAATGAAAATATTATCATTCAGGATCATGTTAAATTCCTCAATATTTTTGAGAGCTACCTGAAAATGGGTGGTGAGGTACTATTAGCTCCTGAGCTACAGATTGAAGACCCCTAATGAAGAAGAATATCCTTTGGTCTTTTACAAATGTCGTAAGAAGACAAAATGCAAAACATATCAAATATACTTGTGGAACGGAATAGCTTTTTTGATCCAATAGTTTACATTATAAAATATATTTTTTCTAGTTTTTTGCTCATTTTTCCACAGGGACATTGCTAAGGATAAAGACAAGTGTGACGCCGGGGAGGACGAGGACGGGAAAGAGCAGAACACTCCTCGTGGCAGAAAGACCGCCAACAGCCAGGGTCGCCGCAAAGGCAGGATTACCACACGCTCCATGGCCAACGAGGCTGCTTCTGTGGCTGCCGAAGAAACCACACCCCCTGCCCCTGAGCCAGCTGTGTCGGACCCTCCACAGTCATCCAAAAGTGATTCTGCGCCGAAAGGCATGAAGGAGCCTGTCAAAGCACAGATTCTTGTATCTTCTTCAGAAGCCAATAAAGGTAAAACATTGAAAGTAGTAAATCATTATTCACATGAGTAAATAGAGTGGATTACTTTGGTTAAAATATGTGGCCTTTTGTTCCCAGACACACTAGTCTTAAGTTTCTGCTCTTTTCATTTTGGGTCACCATGGCAATATGCTGTTGTCATGGTACGTCAAATGCGCACTTGTTCCACCCACTGCCCTTTAAAGCTTGTTATTTTGCCAGTGTCAGCTCAGGTTTTCAGCCACCCAAATGTCTATGTTAATCTGTATCACTAATTCAACGCTCGGCATGTGTGTGGTGCCACCTGCTCCCTTCCACTCCCTCGAAGTCTGAATTACACAAGACCAGTCCATAATGTGATTAATTAACCTTCAGCACACTGTGTCCTTCCATTTGCTTAACCATTTGACATTTTCTGGCCAACATTTTCAATTTGTTTATACTGGGCTGCGTAAAGGCGATCCCTTTAAGCAAAGAGATTATGATTCTTGTTGTTGCATGTTTTGTGCTAGTTCTTGCAAAAGTTTGGCTAAAGTTTAGCTATGTGTCGGTCTTGCCTACTTGATCCGGTGCCATGGAAGTTGAGCATGTTGCTAATTCAGATACAGCAAAGGGATTGGAGTGATTTATTTGTGTGTGCATGTGCTGGCGCTTTGAGAAGATGACAAAATCATTTGGTGAAACTAGACACAGTCCTGTTTATGTCTACTTTTAGTGCCTACTATTAGGTTTGTTCAAAGAGCCATGTAAGAATTATGGTCATCTTAGTCTAAATTTAGTCACATGCAGACAGCTTGAGGGAGTGAACCTCCACGATTGCCAAGGCACCCCCATAGTTCCCAAAGATCTTTGCAGAGTAATATTCAACATTTGGATTTGTTTAAACTTGTGTATTTGAGCTTTCCAGGTTGGGAATCACTGCACTAGAGGAGGGATACTAGGTTATTCCTTTCTTTTACTGTAGGAGACTATTTTGGGGATTTTTGCTGCTATTTTGCACACATATTTACACATATTTCGGCTCAATCAGTCAACATCCACGCTTTTCCCTTCGCCCAGAAGGGAAGCCTGCTTAGCTCCGCCCCAAGTCATTCATAGGGACAGCTTTTTCACCTTAGAAAATGAATGCGTGTAGTAAGGAAATGGGAGATAAAATTCAAAATAGGGATGTAAAAAACTATGAATTTTCATGACCGACCACCGAGCCTCATTAACCGGTTGAAACCGGTTAACCGCGTAGTTTAAAATAGTCCACGTTCTTTGAAATAACAGCCATTTCGAGCCGCGTACTTTTCATAAGTGCAGCTCTGCGTTCTACTGGATCAGAGTTGAGACAGCGGCGCCCAAACCCGCAACAGCTCCGGCACCTTTGCGCACAGAGAACTGCTTTTTTAATCTTCCCATTCTGCTGTGCTGCGGGTTAATACCAAAACTTTCTAGCAGCAAACGACGGCTCGTTCACATGGTCAGAGCAGCGAGTGACGAGCCGCGTCTCACAGGTCTTCACAAAAGTTTAAATACAAGTGATGTGTGTGGAGCTGATCCCGAGGACCATAAACACAAACATGTTCCATGTGGTTTGACTGGAGCCGCGTATTTGCGCGAATCCTTTGGGCTCCGTGACACAGAGGAGCGCGACAGACCGGTATGTGTGTGTGTATGTGTGTGTGTATGTATGTGTGTATGTGTGTGTGTATGTATATGTGTGTGTGTGTAAATGTAAGCTCCAATGTAGTTCTGACCCGCGCCAGTGTGCAACTTTGACGGTAACAGAGGGGAGAGATGATGCGTGTGGATGTTACGTATGGAGAGGGGGAAAGTGTGTGTGTGTGTGTGTGTGTGCGCGCGCGTGCGTGTGTGCATATGTGGCTCGTGCGGCGTGAGAGTCGTCCCGGAGTTTATAATACATGGGCGCACACAGCTAGATACAGACCCGCTCGTCACACCGTGCAAATAGGGCTTAAAATAGCGTTATTAAGAGACCTCCCCTCTCCCCTTTTTCTCTTTTTTAACCGACAGCTTTGACCGGTTAACGCTGTGACGGTCAACCACCGGTTAACCGGTCGCCGATTTACATCCCTAATTCAAAAGGAAATTATTTAAATCATACTTGGGCAAATGCTTAGATGGCAAAATAAAAAATTAAACGTTTACAAAATTTGTATACAGATATTTGCCCCTCAAAGTTGATTTGATTGATATTGGCCATTAACCGATAATCAACCGATACCGAATCGGTTGATTACATTGTGTCGGCCCTGGTGATAGATCCCAACAAATCCGAATCGGTGGACTGGTCCGGCCCCCACAACATGACAATATCCAAGTTGAAAATAATAGCCCACCCCTTGTTTAAATGTATATACTGCCTCATCCGGTGCCATGGTAGAGAGTGGGCTAAAGTTCACTTGGTCCACTTTGCTCTCACTGCACTTTTCTATGAATTTGACTGTTTGGATGTGCGCTGTCTGCTTGTGCACGTGAGTGTCTGCGCGTGTGAGTATGTGAGTGTGAGTCTGTGTGTGTGTGTGTGTGTGTGTGTGTGTGTGTGTGTGTGTATTTGTCTCAATTCAAGGCCATTTCCCAAAGAGGGGAGGCATGGCTCTCAACTTCTCCACTGTCTGGCGCGATATCAGCTGACTAAAACCCTCCCCCATTGAATGGAGAGGAGGAGGGTTTGTTCTGAGTAGTGGATGGAGAGGGAGAGAGAGCGAGAGAAGGCTAGATTGAGGCAGTGTAAGTGAGGGAGCAGGTCTCCGCAGCCCCTGAATGTAAACAGATTATTAGATTAGTGACTATGAGAAGTAGTTGCCTGAAGGAAGGACTATGGTCCCTTCCCTTCTCGTTCTACTAATAGCCCATTAGATTATGTTTTTGTCTCATTTTTAGCTGGTTCCGGAGAAACCGGAGAAACTTCTCGCTGGACCGAGGAGGAGATGGAGATTGCCAAAAAAGGTAATGAATACTATTTTTTTTTTTTTTTTCCAAAACCCCATGTCAGTTTTTCCTGTAAATCTTTTCCTTCTTTCTTCTGATGTGCCTGCTTTCCTGATAAAGTGTCAAATCATTCATGGTGTTATATGGTTTTTTGGTTTGTCTTTTCTGATGTAGGTCTTTAAAGCAATGGAGCATTACAGTTGTCTAAAGATGATCAAATCTTTATAGAATATTCATAATGGACATGTACTTTTTGCACTCTGTTTTTGTTGTTGTCTTTTAATACCAAACTCTCAAATGGTAATTGGTAATTCCTCAAATTTCAGCTGCAAATAAAAGGATTACTATGGATTAATCAGAACTTTGTTTAGAGGTTTTAGTGATTTGGATTTGCCTTTCTTTTTGCGAGGGGTATTTTTGGGGCCTGATCTAAAGCTTTAGGGCCTTAACTTTAGGTCTGACTGCAGATTAGTGGCTTGTTGTACTTACCCCTCCTATCATGTGATAAAGTAAGTAACGAAAGCGGTTTCAAGCAGCAGTACAGAGCCAATTATACAGTTATGGATTCCCTTTTTCCTCTCCAAATCTATATTATACACAAAACAATCTTGTAGTTTGTTTTTAGAAGCGGTGTAAGTGAGTCTACAACTCACTTATGTTAGAAGCTGATGGGTTTTTCCACTTAATCAACTGTTCCTAGAATTAATTCTATTTGGTCACAATTCTTCTTGTTTATTGCATTCATTTATTCAATTGCTATTGGGTTAGTTTATTCAATAAAATGGACTTACTTGAAACCTACAAGAAATTGTATAACAGGTAAATACAATTTTAAGGCTTTTACAGTTACTTATTGAATAAATTGTCTCCCCATGTTTTTGTCCCATAGGACATGTAGGTGTTTCTGTTGTGAAGAACCTACATTAAAAAGAGAAAAAATAAATGGAAAATCCAATAAACAGCTTCATATGAGACTCTACCCTGAGCTCCTCCCGTGTGACAATCTGAAATAAATGTCCCTAATTTTGTGACTGCGATTCCAAAGCACTTGGAAAAACCAGATACATTGCCTACTTATAGGGCGACAGCAGCTCAGTTGGTAGAGAATTGGCCTTTGAGGTTGTGGGTTCGAGCTCACCTTAAGACTTTCACCATCGACTCCCACTGTCTGCTATCGTTGTGTCCTTGGCAAGACACTTAACCTCTGGGAACACCTGATGCAACAGTGTGGCGGCTGTATAGTGCCAAACTGCCGTTGGGTCCTTAGGCAAGACACTTCACACCCATTGCCTAGAAGGAGTCTGGTGTGTGTGTGAATGGTTGGCGGTGGTCGGAGGGGCCGATGGCACATACCGGTTGCCTCGTTTCTGTCAGTGTTCCCCAGGGCAGCTGTGGCTAGTGGATGGAGTGAAAGAATGACGTCATGTAAAGCGTCTTTTGAGTGTCAAAAAAAGCGCATATAAAACCGATTAATGATTACTCCATTATAACCTGTGTGTGCTGATTGAGCTGTTAATTTCTTTTTCTTTTTTTGCATAACACGAGCTAACAGATTCTACTGTGGATGATGCTGGCATGTTACCACATTCCAGATCCTATTGAGATCCATATTGTTGCTCATTGCAACAATATATTTAAAAACACAGTAAAAAGCCACACTTATATTAGAAATGCATGAATTTGGACGCATATAGGCTACACACTAATTTTGTTAATTGCAACGTTTCATTGTTTTGTTTTTGTTACATGCTAGAATAAAAAGGAGAAACTTGAGCATGTGTGAAATCAAATGCTCAAAGTAAACGTGTGCTAATATTGTATGTTTTTCTTTTTCTACCGAACATTGCTGTGACGGGTGGGCATTGGGATTGGGGTCAATATAAAGAAACTTTAGATTCAAAATATTCCTCTTGTCAGTTTGACATAAGCTGTTGGGAAGTGCTTTCCCTCAAAAGAAATAAAAAAGGTACAAGACACACTGGCCGAAGGGCTCAAAGTTTGTATCCGTAACACATGATTCTAAAGTTCCTTCTGTGTCTACTGGTAGTGTCAACTGTTCATAGAGGTAGTATGCTGAATCTTTTCAAGATGCGCGCCTTGTGTAATATTGACAGCTGCCGGTAATATGTGACTCTTGTACAGGTGTAGAAGTAGGTCAGTGTCAGTAACCGAGGAGACAGAAGGCGCTTCAGGAACCTTTGTTTAGCTACCTTCTTACAGATATGGTCCACCTGTTAATCAAATTTGAGATGCCAAGTGCATGTGTTTCTTGACAATTTCAACAGTTCATTAACCCATTGAGGCCATTCCTGTGTTTCTACCTTTCAAGCCAGGAGCGCTGTTACTCACTTCAAAAGTTACTTTTAATGCTGCTTTCAAAACGGATCATGTGTTGCGTCGACTTTCAACGCAAAGTCAATGGTGAGGCGCGGTCGAGTGTTGAACTGCATGTGCGTCTCGAGACGCACGCACGGACTGCGCGGCAGAGGTGCAGGAGCGGAAGATCGACGTACGCAGGATACATTTTGCTGAGCGTTTCCTCGGACCCTCGTGCAGCGACCAATCAGAGCCGCAAAGTGGTCTGAGCGAGCCGACTAAACATACTCGTAAACAGTCAAAACAGGAGCTACACCAGGACTAAAACCAGGGTTGACAATGGGGGACATAGTGCTTGTGAACATATGCGTTTTCATGCTCCCGTGACTTTATGCAACTGCTTTGAGCGTGTTCGCTGATGCGGAAGTACCGTTTAATAATAAAATAAAAGTATGACGTACCTCCGTGAACACATACTGCTATGTACAGTCTCTGGAAGGTCTCTGGACACACAGACACTGCAGAGCTGCATTATTGGAGAAGAACTTTACACAAAAAGCTAGCTTAACTCCGTTAGCATCTATGCCTGCCTGCTACTTCCACCACTTCCGCAGGCCAGACCTTCTGAAAACTAGAGACTGTTCGTCTGGTGCGCGAGGCGTTAGCGTTCCAGCGTTGGCGGGAAAGCGGACACGTCTTTTCTTTTTTTGACCTATTCTCTTCATTGATCAATTCTCTTGATCAATGAAATGCATCAAGATAAACCAGGGATGAGAATTATCTGTGGATCCGCAAAATCCGCTTAAAATATAATTTCTGTGAAATGTGTGGCCGCGGGCTGTTTGTGTTACGTACTCCTAATGGGATTAGATGTGCTTTCACACCGCCAACACTGGAACGCTGAAGTCTCGCGCACCAGACGCACATTCTCTAATTTTTAGACGTGGGAGTCTTCACACCAGAAGTCCTGGCCAGCGATGGCGCACGCCGGAAGTAGCGGGCGGGCTTTGATGCTAACGGAGTTAAGTTAGCAGCTTTTTGTGTAAAGTTCTTCTCCAATAATGCAGCTCTGCAGCGTCTCTGTGTCCAGAGACCTTTCAGAGACTTTATATAACAGCATATGTGTTCACGTAGGTACGCCATACGTTTATTTTATCATTAAACGGTACTTCCGCATCAGCGAACACGCTCGAAGCAGTTGTATAAGGTCACGAGAGCATGAAAACGCATATGTTCACAGGCACTATGTCCCCCATTGTCAACCCTTTGCCGCGCAGTCCGTGCGTCTATAACGTGCAGTCCATGCGTGCGTCCCGAGACGCACATGCAGTTCGACGCTCGAACGCGCGTCACCATTGACTTTGCATTGAAAGTCGACGCAACGCATGATCCGGTGTGAAAGCAGCATAACATCCTCCGTTCTGTTTGCTGGCTTTGACACAGCTCAGCGAACGCGCAGCCGTAACGTCATGTACCGCGGACCATAGACGCGCGGACAGTCATACACGCGCTCAGGACCATCCATCCCCAGCTTGTTGCACATGCAGGTCATGCCTGTCTCCCCCGTCTCTCCCCCATGTGTCTTCCCCGTCTCTCCCCCATGTGTCTTCCCCGTCTCCCATCAAGTCTCCTCACGAAGCGCAGCCAAAACTCACTGAATTAAAGCTCAGGTGCCTAAATTTTCGCTTGCATTGACAATGCATGTTATTTGTGCACAAAAATAAAATTTTGTGAACAAATCAAACAGAACAAACCAAAACAGTTGTGTTTTTTTCTTTATTTTGCTTACTTAAGCTTGCTTACTGTGAGTCATTATTTGACTTTTTGGGCTGAGAGTGGATATTTTTTTTTTTTCCCACATAGTTATTGCCACTTGTCAAACTCTTTTTGACTTATTGTATTTTGAAAAATGTGTTAGTCTCACTTTTTTTTTTTTTGGCTGTTTTATTACAGTTCCTGTGTGGAAGTTGTATATATATTTTTTTATTCTACTGAAGATTTATAATAATACATTCCATTCTTATTGACAGCCACAAGTCTCAACTCTCAAATTCTTTTGAAATTATGTTTCTATCTGCTACAGAGGTAGAGATATCAATCATTCTGTAGACGTTGAATTTCAGGAAGAATTCAGGTTTTGGAGGGTGGTTCTGAAGTCGGCCGTCGTCGGTTTTATAGGTCTGTTTTACTAGCTGTGTCAGGCCTTAATGGGTTAAATTGGATGTCAATGTCTGTTTTGTGCCTCTTGAAGGAAAACATTGCTCTAGTTTTGTTAGGATTAAACTTCATTCCCCATTTTGAAGTCCATTGAGCGAATTCTTTGTGGTCTTGATCAACTTTCTGGTCCAATGAAGGAAGCCACTCTATGCTGGTTGCATCAAGTGAATGGTTAGTTCTAAAATGTGGCTTTTGTCATTGGAATTGATTCTGGAATCGGTAGGAATAATTTGTTCATGCACATTACAAATAAGGTTGGTGCCAAGGTACTTCCCTGGGGCACACCGGAGCCAACTGGGCACATCTCAGACAGCTTTGTTGATTTTTAACACCTTGACTTTGGTCTGTTTGGTAATTTACCTTGAATGCCGCACATCTATAGTCGGATCTTAAAAGTCATAAGCAATTGGTAATGGATTGTCATTCTGTGCTAAGCAGCTGTGATAGCGATAACTTGACTGTGGAAGTAGATTGACCTCGTAAGAATCCAGTAGTGAGGACATAATAAAATAGTTTATACATAGAAACACCAGCCTTGTTTTTGGTGTTTGTCTTTCTTTTTGAATATAAATTACACCAAACAATTATAAAGTACTTTGTGTGACCTTGGATTGTGAAATGCACTAAATGAATACAAATTACCTACTTACTTGTTTACTAAAATAGCATTGAATAGAATGTTCATACAGAATCTGAAAGGTGTGCACCTGACATTCAAAGTTGAGTTGGTAGATGACTGTCACTTTGGTCACTTAAAATCAGAGTGGACTTTGTATTCAGAGCGCTTCATGTCACATAAACTACAGTTTCTTTGTGGCTTTGGGTTTGTGAAGTGAGCCCGTCAGCTGATTGTGAGCTCAGCTTAGTTTTGGTCACATACAAGAAGCCTGAAGGGAAACCATAGCAACATCAGACTGAAAAAACGCTGTGACTTTAAAATCACAAAGCATAAATTAGCACATTAGGAAAGTAGAAACCATTAAGCAACAAATAAATTTTTTGCTATATTTTGACAGGTCTTGTAGAGCATGGACGTGATTGGACCGCAATCGCCAAAATGGTGGGTACCAAAAGTGAAGCGCAATGCAAAAACTTCTATTTTAATTACAAAAGGCGCCACAACCTGGACAACTTGCTCCAACAGCATAACCAGGTATTGTCCGCTATTCATTCTTCTCTGCTGTCTCATTAGTATCAAATTTAGGGACTCACTTTATTGAACTGTGTTTTCAGGGAAGAGATCGGGATAGGGCTCAAGGTGAAGGCTTAGCCACGACATCGCCTGATGATGATGAAGACAATCCAGATGACAGTGAAGGTCTGTGGACGTCCAACAAAAACTTTAGTATACATTTATCATTTTCTATATCTTAATCTACGATTTACTGATGATTAAATGCAAGATAAGAGAGGGAAATGGGAAAGTTGGAAGATGAAAAAGAAATACAATTCAAAGTACAACTTGTGATACAACAGTATGAGCAAATAATGGGTTGAGAGGTCTAGGTCCATTCCGTAAAGAAAAAAATCTAGGTCCAGACAGTGATTGTCCCATTTACAAGCTTTCATGATAATGTTGTATACGTCGCCCCCTTTTTGAGTTATGGTCTTACCCTAACTTCATATTTTGTTTTTCCACAAATTGTGATAAACATTGTGATAAAAATGTAACCGTTGCTAGTAATGGGTAAACCCTGACGTTTTCTCAAGATTTCTTTTGTTTTATCAAACAGCATGTGACCCTTTTATCATTACAAACTACAACTGATTTTAAAAGAGTTGCTTGTTTGACCGAGAAGACTCCAAGCAGAGACCTTTGTTTTATCCATGTCTTTCTCAAAAAACTTTACATCAGCCTTTAATGTCTGCCCTTGAACTAGGTCATCCGTGTATCTTTTTTTGCAACTTTATTTTGTCTACATTACTTGTAATATATTTTTACTTTGATTAGCCCCATACTTTTGCTTAATTTACATAATCTTCACTTCCCAAGATAGAAGTGGCTGCAAAGGAAGGTCGCAAGGTTCTCTACCATGTTTATTTGGCTTTCCCTTTGTCTCATGGAAACTCAAACTGCTCTTTGAAAGCCTTGGTGATGTGCCGCCTACAGATTTTCCTATACATAATACTGTAGATTTTTTAAGCATATGCGTATCATTTACACAAACAGCCTGATTTTCAGTTTGATACATTTGATGCATTCACAATTTGTTTTGTAAAGGCGCACCATCTGGCTGAGCATTACCATGGAAACGACTGCAGTGGTAGAATATGCCACAGAGAAACACTTTTAGATGAGAAATTTGACATTTGACATTTGACGTATATCATATTATTTAGAATACGTTTATTGCTACTATTAGAGGCTTATTGGTGTACAAATAACATGACTAATATGCTAATATCCTAATTTTGTTTGTTATTACTCATTCATTTGCATTTTCTTATCAGGTCCAGACAACAGTTCTGACACAGAGAGCGCCCCGTCCCCCTCTCAAGCTGACACATCCAAGTCCACTGACTTAAAAAGATTTGACAGCACAGCAGGAGATGCTCAATGCTCCGACCAGGACAAAGGTCAGGCTGCTAACAAGACCTCTGAGTCCACATTTGGAGAGCTGCGAGTAAAGGAAGAAAAAAGCCCAGAGAGTGAGCGTGAGTCCCAGGATGAGAAGACCCGCGCAGCTGCTTACATCAACCCCAAAACAGAACCTCAAGAAGTGGACATGAAGAGTGCGGGTGTTCAGGTCAAGGTCGAGCCTGAGGCAAAAGATAAAGGGGAAAAGGGAGATCACAGTGACCAGCAAAAGCAGCTTCACTCTGATGATGACTCCAGCGCCACCTGCAGTGCAGATGAGGATGTAGAATCTGAGCCAGACAGACACAGGTTTGTTTAGTATCTAGTCAGTGTATTTTAGTGCTTATTGGTAGTCTTCATAATATTCCTGTTCTTTAGGATGTACTCATTGGACAAGCCATCGTTACTCAATCCCCCTTCATCTGTACTAGTATCTTCCCCCAAGCAACAAAGTATAAAGCAGATGCACCAGCGAGCTGCTGCTATCCCACAAATGGTTAGTATATTTGTATGGTTTACAGTTCTATAATGTTAGGAAGAAATGATATATATATTTATTTTGTTTTTTAGGTTCCCGGTCAGTTTGGTCCTGGGGGTGTGCCCATCAGTGGCTATGCCATGTTACAGCATCAAATCAAGGCTGTACATGAGTCCGCACATCAAGAGGACAAGCAGAGGCAAGATCACGGGGACTTGGAGCGCAGACCTTTCAATAGCCGCATCATAGACAGAGATGGTAAGATGGCCGGAAAAAACCCACAATCTTGTATTTGATCTTTTGTATCTGGTGTTTTTGTGTGTTTTGATACCTACACTTATCGTTAGCCTGTTGGCTGCGAGCGGGAGAGATATGAAGGCAGTTTGTGGATAATGTTATGGATTATCTTTAAAAAAAGCTTGACCCTTATGCCGCGTTCAGACCGCAGACGCTCAAACGCTGAAGCCCCGCTCACCAGACGCAAATTCTCTAGTTTTCAGTTGCAGGGGTCTTCACACCAGAACGTCCTGACCAGCGCCGGAAGTGCCGGAAGTGCCGGAAGTAGCCGGCCGGCTCTGATGCTAACAGAGTTATGCTAGCGGCTTCTCGTGTAAAGATCTTCTCCAATAATGCAGCTTGGCAGGGTGTCTGTGTTCAGAGACCTTCCACGGACTTTATATAACAGTAGTATGTGTTCACGGAGGTGCGCCATAAGTTTATTTTATTATTAAACGGTACTTCCGCATCGGCACACTCGAAGCAGTTGCATAAAGTCACGGGAGCATGACAACGCATATGTTCACAAGCACACAGTCCCCCATTGACAACCCTGGTTTAGTCCTGATGTAGCTCCTGTTTTGGCTGTTAACAGTATGTTCAGTCTGCTCGCTCAGACCACCAATGTCCCTGTGACCACTTTGCGGCTCTTTGATTGGTCGATGCACGAACGTCCTGAGGAAAGGTTGAGCAAAGTTTATCTCCTGTGGGCGTCCATTTTCCGCTCCTGCTCCTCCCCTTTGACTTTCCCGCGCAGTCCGTGCGTCTCTACTGCGCAGTCCGTGCATGCGTGCCGAGAGGTCCATGCGTTTTGGCGCTCGAACGCGCGTCACCATTGACTTTGCATTGAAAACAGACGTAATGCACGATCGAGTCTGAGCGCTGCAGTCAGAGTGACAAGAGTAGCTGTCATTACGCTGTTGAGCTTTGACACCAACTGAATTAGGACTTAATTTCACAGGACTGCCCTCCTCTGTGGAAGTCACAGGCATAGAGTTTTTTATTCCTGGTAATGTTTTCTATTTGTCACTCAAACTAACTGCCTTCCCCCCAAAAATGTGCCCCAAAGTAGACATTGAACTGGACTGCTTTTAACCAACTAACCAAAGTGACAACACAGATGTGTGTACTTCTAAACTTAATGTATACTGCATATACTATATGCACAACATATGTTATGTAAGTAAGTAAGTAAGTAATGTTTATTTATATAGCGCATTTTACAGACCATGGTCACCCAAAGCGCTTTACAATGTTCAGATATTGTTCCAATCATTCCACACATGGTGATGACATGGTGATGTGTAGTATAGTAATGACCCAACAAGCTACAAAGTTTAGCAGCCTATTCATTCTGTGTGCTCGGTGCACAACAATTTCACATTGTGAATGTAATGTGACAAAAAAGTTCATGGGGTATGGATACGGTTGTATTCACCACAGATACAGAAGCAGCAGTGGTTGTCACTCCTCTCCCCCCACTCCCTGTCTTTCAGTTGCAGCTGGCAAAGACGCAATACTTTGTGTGGTGTTTCTTATTGATTACTTTCACCTTTTTTAGACACTTTGACATTTTTTCCCATATAATGTTTGGCTAAGAGGAGTCCAGATCTTAACCCTTTCAAAAAATCTTTGGGATAAACTGCCTTGTTGATGATCAAAACATTATCTCCCCACAAATAAATGTATTTGTTAGCAGAAACTGATTGAAGCAATGACACAGAAAATGTATGCTGATAAAAGCTGAAGGCTGACCATAAAATACTGTCTGACCTTATTGTAAATATCATTGGGAGTTTCCTGTTTTATGTAACCATGGCAACGTCTAGTCCATATCTAGGATATTCACTTCAAGACTTTTCATACCTGTTTATTCTACGTTTATCATTTATTGTGTAAAAGATGGAGGAGGTTTGGTTTAATCCATTCATGCCTAATTCCTCAGAACCACTGGTGATCCATGTTGGTTTTGTGTGGATTTTATGTGCACCTTTTCTTTAATTGTCCAGACCAGGAGGCATGTCAATTTTTGACATGCCTCCCTGGACTAGACATGATTTGTCATAGTGTGGCCTCTTTAGGGACTTGAATCAGTAGCAGCCAACAATGACATCTATGTCTGCAAACACTCAGAATCATTTTTATTGCCACGTAAGTAACAGGAAGTCACAGACTTGGAAATTGCTTTGGCTCAGTGCAACAGTCAGAAAGAGATAATAAAAATAAAGAATACAAATAAAGAATAAAAAAACACTTACATCACAGTTTATTACAACTGCAAAAAAAGAAAAGCTGTCAGCCATTTCTGTTGTGCAAAAGTAATTGGAACCCTTGCTCTAAAAGTCACTGTCACTTCAGTAAGTAACTAAGTAATCTGGACTTCAAAAGGGAGACATTTCTTGTATCTTTTTAAAACAAGATCAATTTGCTCTGTCCGATTGAGAAATCTTGTTTTAAGGCAAAACCTCAAAGTTAAAATTTTGCCCGATTTGAGCAATTTTGTACTGAAATCACTTTTTGTTGTGATAAAAGTTTAAGAGGAATGGGATTTGGCGAGTTGCTAAAATTGAATGAGGAATGGGATCATGATCCCCGTTGGTCCCAAAGGGTTCCCATTTTAACTGTTTAACTATTGTTCAGTGTGACTTTCATTGGAAAAACTTTTTGATTTTTTTTTCCCCGTAAATATTGTTAACTCCGTCTGATGTGGACTGTTCCAGGGCCCAGCGGTCCATCAGATCATGGGCAGTCTGAGAAGGACTCTTTGAAGCGGGTCCATGTGAGTGTACTGTAAGCTGACAGCCCCCCTCAGCCCGCCCCTCTAAGCCTGCGCTGGCCTACTTCTCCGCCACATCCTCCTCTCCACTTTCCATCTTTATATTTATGTTTGTATTGTAATTATCTGTTTCCTTTTATTAATCCAGATACAATCATCAGTAAAATAGGAGGTTATGTATTCCGTGCATTTTTTTTTCATTTGCACTTGCTTCACAGCGAGAAGGTACTAGGTTCAATTCCACTTCCAGGACCTTTCTGTGTGGAGTTTGCATGCTCCTCCGTGTCTGCTTAGGTTTCCTCCAGGTGCTCCGGTTTCCTCTACCCCTAAAAACATGTACAATAGGTGAGGGTAGAATGAGTTTGTGTTTGTTGGTGCGACTCTGGGACTACAGATGGAAATTGGCTTCATTGCTACCATCGGTCTCTCACTATGTCTCTCTCTGACCTGAGAACGCCTTCGGGTCCACTCAGATGAGCTGGAGGAAGTGTGTGTGGATAGGGAGGTCTGGGCATCTCTGCCTAGACTGCTACTCCCGCGGCCCACAACTGGATGAAGCGGAAGAAGATGGATGGATGGATGGATGGATGCTACAATCTTGTGTATTTACAGCTCCTATTGTATACACACTGTCCTGCCCAAATAAACAAACAAAAAATACGACTTTAAAGACCTTATGCAGGTTTTTTTTTTAAATTGTGGATATCAAAATTGCATGACAGTTAATCAATTATTGTCGATCTGAAATAGATTCTAGCAAAAAAAAAAAGCCTATATTTAATAAAAAGAATGTGTTTTTAATGAATTTAATTTGTCTATTCCTCTAACCTGTGTGGGACGTCATAGCGGGTAACGCCCTTACATTGAAAGCCATGGATCTATGCGACAGATACTCGCCTATCCTCTCTTCTAAGCTCCACTAATGTCCAACACACTACTGCACTCTACAGGTGTCAATCGCTCAATACACATAAATTGCTGTATGAGAGTGAAAATGCGACTGATTTGAGAAATGGGTTGAACCCCATTTGCCGGTATGCCAGTGCATTGACACAACCACTGGGCTATCACAGCTCCAGTGAGGAGTCATACACTAGTAGTAGTTTTATATTCGCTGTACACCGCCTTGTCATCTTGAATATCCGCGAAAAATGACCAAATACCAAATTGTAAACAACTTACAGCGTTGAAACGTACCCACTCTGACGTCACCAAGGGCTGTGAATTTTTTCCGTTTCTAAGGGCGTTGCTATGGGGTTATTTTGATTTGGGGGGATCAGACAAAAAAAAAAAACTACTGATTTTGAAACCTTTAGTAGTTCTCTTCTAATATAAAATGGTATTAAAACTGTATTTCTAAATCAATCAAACCCATAAGGTCATAAGGTCACAATACATTTTAATGGACCTTTACGTGTTACCATGGTATATGCTGCCTGTTAAAGTAAGTAGTAAGTCACAATACCATTTTCTATTAATCCATTTTGGGTCAGGGGGTGCAGTTGCCACCAAGTCTCATAGCGCCCCTGTTACCATGGATGTGAGCATATGCTGCCATGTTATGGGTTACCTAAGTTTCATCAGTGGGAAGTAAGTAGAACCCACGACCTAAGTCAACTCTTTAGTAAGTATAAGTCATCTTTATTTATCTAGAGTCACAAAGCACTTTACAATTGTTGACATTTGTCTCTCACTCCACACAGAGATGGGAGCAAGGTCGCCATACAGGAGGGGCATGCTAGAGCTACTGTATAGTCACATGTTTTTAGTGGTAGGGGAAACCGGAGCACACGGGGGAACATACAAGCTCCTCCCAGAAGACCCTGTTCCGACCAGGATTCAAACCCAGGGCCTTCTTGCTGAGAAGCGAGAGGGCCTTTCTGAGTGGAGTTTGCATGTTCTCCCCGTGTCTACGTAGGTTTCCTCCAGGTGCTCCGGTGTCCCCTACCACTAAAAACTTGCAAAATAGGTATGAATGTAATGAGTGAGTGAGTGGATGGCGCTGGTTGGGGCTTTGTTGGTCCATTGTGTTCGGCGACTCGCTTCCGTCATCACCGTGTTGAGAGAATGGAACGATATCTGATCTCTGAACATTGTAAAGCGCTTTGGGTGACCTTGGTCTGTAAAATGCGCTATATAAAATAAAACCGTACCTAAAGCCCAGTCACAAGAGTTCATCAGTCTAACATTGAACATGTACTTCTACTTTTCCAGGATTATATTTTTTATGTACAATTGTGATGAATTCAGTTAAAAATGCACCACCTCATCTCCAGAAACAAATGCATGGTCAACTTCTAAACGAGAGGCTCAAATTTGTTTCAGCAGATTAGCAGAGTAGCAGATGTTTTACTGCATCTTTGTGGCGGAGAGCTCTCTGTTTTCGTCCTGTGGCTTCAGAAAGTGGTGCTAATGAGCCTTCGAGCATCACTAATGCCCCATTACGGCTCTGACGAGAACTGCAGTGACAACCGCCAATGGCACTCAGTATCATCACCAACCAAAGACCATGGACGCCTGTGGCCGACACACAAAGATTGTGGATCCCAACTCGGCTACGAAGACGCCTAGGGGTATGACAGGGTATTGCAGGGGGTACTTACATATTGTTTTTTGAGTATTTTTTATTAACTTGCAAACATCAATTCAATACAATTTATTCTTGTCTACAGCAGGATCACAGACAGCAATAAACTATGTTATTTTTAATCCCAAAATGTTGGGACACAAACGGTTACTGAGCCAAAGTAAAAGGAGCCAGAGCGAGTTGGAGCAGAACTTGGTCCATGGTACTAAACTCAGGCTGGGTCAATAGTCCATGAGCCGTGTCAGATTGTAGTTGGTTGAAAGGATAGACAAAGTGAGAGGGGAGACTGAATGCCCAAGTGGAAGAAAATGGATGGATGGATTTTTATCAATATCGAGATTGCAGTACTAAAGGTTTTAATAATAAGCTTTTTATTTTCTCTACTCCGGTCATAAAACTTTTTTCTATTCTTACCTTAACACTTTTTATCTATACTCTTTTTTTCTCTATCCTGAGAAAAAAAAAATTCTCTTCACTGGCCTTACTTTTATCTTTATTCTCTTTTTGTTCTATTAGTGTGAACAAAAGGGAGCCTTAACCATAAAAAGGCAAGTGGTTAATATTGACATTATTCAGTGATCTAAACACATTGTTGAACCAGGAAGTGCTGTGACTTCTTTGTACAAAAGGTGGCTTATTTCTTATTATTGTCGAGCTTCTCTTCAAGCTGCTTTTACTATATCATCAGGAACATATCTAGGATATTCACTTCAAGACTTTTCATACCTGTTTATTCTACGTTTATCATTTATTGTGTAAAAGATGGAGGAGGTTTGGTTTAATCCATTTCATGCCTAATTCCTCAGAACCACTGGTGATCCATGTTGGTTTTGTGTGGATTTTATGTGCACCTTTTCTTTAATTGTCCAGACCAGGAGGCATGTCAATTTTTGACATGCCTCCCTGGACTAGACATGATTTGTCATAGTGTGGCCTCTTTAGGGACTTGAATCAGTAGCAGCCAACAATGACATCTATGTCTGCAAACACTCAGAATCATTTTTATTGCCACGTAAGTAACAGGAAGTCACAGACTTGGAAATTGCTTTGGCTCAGTGCAACAGTCAGAAAGAGATAATAAAAATAAAGAATACAAATAAAGAATAAAAAACACTTCTAAAGAATAAATTTAAAATAGAGTTACAGTTACTATTTACAATATTTGTGTGCACATGGTGCACACAATGTAAGGTGAGAGTAGTACAGTGAAGTGTTCTTCTTTACCTAAAATATTGATATTACATAAGTCGCGTTTCCACCGCAGGAGTTCCTAGTAAAAGGAGGGGGGTGGGACGTCTAAAAAGAATCGTCCTTTCACTCGGCCCTCTCAGTGGCCGTGTCTCCACTCCAGAGGAGGACCCCTCGGCGACGTCATGAGTTTTGATCGCACTGTAATCATTGTGTGATAGTTTTACAGTTATTTGAGTTTTTTATAGTCCTGCTTCAGTTTTAACTTTTCACGGCATTGTTTCAGAGTGTGATTAATCCCATCGATGTGCGTTGATATGTTATGATATATCTTTTCATTTTGCTGTGATGCCTCAAAATCAAAAGTTTCTTCGGTGCCGTAGAAGACAATCAACGCCTGCACCTCATCCGTCCATTTATCGTACATCTTGCTGTTGTTGTTTGCTATTTCCATTGGTGTCTTCTAGGCTATTTCTGCTGGATTTTAAAAATGCCAGTTGTTTGGGTCCTTTCTGATGCCTTCAGAATCTGGTCTAGCTTTTGCCAATCAGCACTGGGTTAACCTCAAGCCCCACCCAGGAGCTGTGTAGGGCCAAACAGAGTACCTACTCTGGAGGAGGCACTCTTTTCGGCCCCATAAAAGTTCCTGTAAAGGGCCCTGTAGAATTACCTCCTTAGTTTTTGTTGTGGAAACCTTTCTATACTATTTTGTTTTTATCTGTCTCTACAGTGCTTCGCGCTTCTCCCAATCAGCTGCAGATGCCTGATGGAGTCCGTTTACCGCTGAGCAGGCCCGGTCGACCACCAAACATTCCCTCTCCTCCTCCACTCATTCCAACCACCAAGCCCACAGACAAACCCTCTTTTATTCAAGGTGGCTCCATTTCACAGGTACGGAAGTAACTTTTATGTCTCTATATCAATATCAAATTGTTCCCAGACCTTGTGATAGTTATTTTGGATTATTTAGTAATTTTTCTTGTGTAATGTTTATTTAATAATATTTAATTTTCACAGGGGACTCCTGGTACTTACCTACCGTCCCATGTTGTCTATGGTCCAGAAGGAACCAAGAGCTCTGTGGGCTCCATATCTCTGGGTCTTCCTCGACAACAGGATCCAAACAAACCTGGTAATAATGGGAGGCAATGGAGACAACTTGTTTTACACACCCAAGGAACAAATTTCTTACTTCTGTTTGTTTGTAGGAAATACAAAGGCAGGTGATGGTATGCCTTTCAGAGGTTCAATCACTCAGGTAAAGAGCTATTTAGTTGAAACATTAAATGGATTTTTAAATTCACATGCCGCTTTTGAACAGGGCACCCCAGCCTTGCCCCAATCCAGCATTGCAGCTGATCTCCTAAAAGGTGGAATGTCAAAGCATGCCACAGAAGACCTAAACTGCCCAGAGAAGGCTCGTGTGATTTATGAAGGCAAAAGTGGTCACATAATCTCTTATGATGGTAAGTTGATTATATCACATCAACATTGCTTTTAATGCATTTGTAATAATGTGAATTCCTCTATGTAAAGCCATCAAGAATTCTAGAGAAAACACTCGAAGCCCACGGACTGGCCATGAGCTGAAGCGACCATATGACATGATGGAGGGGCCCTTGATCAGGGGCCCCGGCAGAGAAGCGCCATTTGAAGGTATTTCACCAGATATGATTAATCCATATAGTATATTTATCCATCCATCCATATTCTTTCTATATGACAGTGTATCCGTATTATGCACAATGTTCTGTAGATTATATAAAGTAAAGTGTTTGTTTCTTGAAAAGGATTAATTACCAGAGCTCTCCATGGAGAAAAAGATCGACCCTTGATTTCCGGGTCCATCATGCAAGGTAGTCACATTGTTCTCGTATTTCTCAAATGTGCATCTTCTAATACTGATCATTACAGGAACACCTAGAACATCTGCTGAGGCGTATGAAGACACCATGAAGTATGGAAAACAGCTCAAAAGAGAGAGCCCACCCATACGGCCTTTTGAAGGTGGAATTGGAAAAGGCAAACCCTATGAGGGAGTCAATACAATAAAAGAAATGGGGCGGTCTATTCATGAAATTCCTCGCCCAGAGTCGAGTACAGATTGCTGCAAGACGCCTGAAATGTCAGAAAGAAGAAGCATGGAGGTAAAATATACTTTTAAAAGACTTTAAAAAGGTTGCTTTGGTGTTTTTTTTCTGACAAGAGATCATTTATTCCAGCATCATCTAAACCAGCCTACCATTAAGCACAACGTCAAGTCACTTATTACTAGTCCAAGTAAGCTTCAGCATGGCATGCCTCCAATAGATCCAATAGAACGGGCAAAGTATGAAGAGAGTAAGGCTATAAGGCACAGTGTGGTCAACTCTACATCAGTCCTGCGCTCCACCAACCAAGAGGCCAACAAATCACAGCTCAGCCCTGGCCTGTATGAAGACGCCAATGCTCGGAGAACTCCTGTGAACTACAGCACCAGTTCCATGTCCAGAGGCTCGCCTATGCTTGGCCGAGATGGTAATACTGCTTTTTAAATTGCCAACATGTAGAGCACTATAACTACAACAATTCCTTTCTTTTCTATGCCTTAAAGGTATGACCTCTTCAAAAACTGGGCAACACGAAAGAAAGCGTTCTATGACACCAACACAGAGGGAAAGCATCCCAGCCAAGTCTCCAGTGTCCAGTAGTGATCCAGTTGCTTCTCATAGTCCCTTTGACCCCCATCACAGGCCTGTCCCAGGGGAAGTGTATCGTGCACATCTGCCCCCACATCTGGACCCTTCCATGGGTTTTCATAGAGTTCTTGACCCTGGTACATTAATACACTCAAAAACAACTAAATAAGAAGCTAAACTGTTCATTGATCAAATGTTGTGTCTTTCTGTACTCCACAGCAGCCTTCATGTTCCAGAGGCAGCCATCCCCATCAGGTTTCCACAACTACCAGCTCTACACCATGGAAAACACCCGACAGACTATTCTCAATGACTACATCACATCGCAGCAGATGCAAGTTATCCCTCGGCCGGACTTGGCCCGTGGCATGTCTCCACGGGAGCCGCCAGTTATGCCTTATCCATCTGGAGCGAGAGGTATGGCCCTCCATCAGCTCCGACCTGCACATGCAGGACCAGTCAAAGGTGGGGAGGGTGTAGAATGCAGGCTGTGTGATCGTGAAGTAGTGGCTACCTTTTCCAGACGCCCAGAAGCAAATGACCAGACACATTTCAAGATTTGCTCTATTTATTGGGCTGCAACCTATTGGCTACTACTCAATTTATGGATTGGGTATGGTCCTTTTGTGGTTGCCCTGTTACAAGTTGACCACTATTCTACACTGCAGCCCTGTTGCTTTTATATGTTTGGGAGTACAATTAGAGGAAGGTGATGGGTTAAGTGTATACGGTGTGCATACATTCAGACATTTATGGATTGGTTCATGCTGTTCACCGTTGGCCCTTTGCTTCTGTCTGTAAAAGGGATTATTGATCTAGCCCAGATGTCTCCAACTATCCTGTTGCCTCACCCTGGGGGGGCAGGTACTCCCACTTTGGAACGCTTCGCCTTCCTCCCTGGACCTCAGCCCCCTTTCCCTCCTAGGGCTTTCCACCAATCCTCCATACCGCCAGGTGAGGACCCCTACCTCTCCAACCCTACCCTCTTGTGCTTCCCTTTCTCCATGATCTATAAGAGCACAAGCCTGAACTGGCCTCCGGTTTGTGAGGTTGGTCTAAGGGCTGTCAGAGGCTGTGGCAAAGTTGGATTTATTTGGTGTCAAACTGTTTTTTGTAATGCTTTCCTTTATATACATTGAAACACATATTTTTCTATGTACCTTCTGAAATGTAAGAAATGTCTTTGTATTTTTCATGCATAAAAACATTGAATTGTTTAAGATTATCCTACTTCAGCAATGTTTTATTGTAGACTTCATTACTATATTTTCCAGGGCATCCTGTACACCTGGCAGCAGCTGTCAACGCTGAGAGAGAGCGAGAACGAGAGCGTGAGAGGGAGCGTGACCGTGAGCAGCAGGAGAAAGAGCGGGAACGAGAACAGAGAGAGAGGGAACGAGAGCGCGTTGTCGAATACATGCGTACAGGTTAGATTTTGATGGATTTGATTTTGATTTTTGTGTACTTTCCCTGTGTAATAATTTTTCATTGCTTTGGTATATATTCTTCTCATTATGTTGCGATGCACTTTGGGTTTCTTTGTGCTAATTTTGCAATACAAACACATTTTGATTGATTTAATGATTGATCATAAGAATAGAACTTTGTGTTTATAATACATATTGTACTTTTATGACCGCAGAGAAACACTTCAATTTAGTATGCTTATATACTATTGAGTTACTGTTACATTTTACTCACCATTTGCTTCCAGGTGGAGAACAGCCAGGCCGACCAGGGAGTCGTGGATATTTGCACTCACCTTCCCCTTCACATAGAACACAAGATGTCGTGGTTCAACAGAGACCTAGCATTTTCCCAGGCAAGAGTGTCATCACGTCCCTGATGTAAGTTCACCTTTTACACTTCACACTTCAAACATCTGGAGCTCACATCACTGCTCTTTGTTTCTTTAGGCCGCATTCTACTGCAGTGACAGCGTCGGCTCAGAGCAGCTCTCGTTACAGCACCGCAGCTGATGCTTTAGCAGCGCTTGTAGATGCTGCTGCTTCCGCTCCACAGATGGAGGTGTCTAAAGTCAAGGAAAGCAAACATGACCAGGAGAGTGACATGTCCACTCGACGGGGAGCAAATCTCTCTGAGCAGCAAACTCAACAGGAAGTAGAGAGGCGGCCTATTCATTCGCCTTACCCTATGTCTCTCCCTGGGGGGAAGCCTCACTCTGCCTACCCCGATGCTCCGGGTATCCCAGGAAAAGAGAAGTGCTCCCAGAACTCCAAGTCTCGCATTGAAGAAGAACTCCGAACACGAGGGAAGACTACAATCACAGCCGCCAACTTCATTGATGTCATCATCACTCGCCAGATCGCCTCAGACAACAAAGACAACAGAGAGCGAGGGTCCCAAAGCTCAGACTCGTCTACTGCTAGTAAGTCTAAAAATAATAAAGGATTGAAAACCACAGTGTCCTAAACTATGTTTGTTACTGGAAGTAGCGTAATCAATGTCAAGAAAATATAAAAAAACGTTTGCCATTAAGCCATATATACAATATAACAAAGCAAGATTAGTGCCCAAGAGGTGTTGGTCATACCCAATGGAAATTATTTGTTTAACCACACGTACTTCTATTTTTATGGAGTTTTCAGTTCATAATATTGAAAAAAGAACATGAATTCAACATGCGGCCAACGGATGCAGCTGAATAATTAGATGTTTACTATGAAGAAAAGTAATAGAGCTGGGTGATAAAATGATAACAATATATATCGCCATAGACGCGTGTTCGATATCAATAGAAAACAGGGTTGATAGAATCTCCGATAGTTCAACTTCACTCCGTAAGTAAAAACAGGAAGAAAACACTGGAAGTGAAGCCGATTTAGAAGCGCGTAGCGTCCATGGATCTATAGATCGTTTTTCAATGCCGTGTCAATGGTTATGCACGTCCGTGCGCGGAACAGCATGTGCGGAACGTTAAAGGCAGTGGACACAGAGACCCGATGCATTCGACAAAAGCAAGAACTTTTTCTTCGGGAAGCACGTGCGGCTATCAGAGAGCGGCCGCACGTAGCCGTCACAGGGCCACAAGACACTCGAAAACAGCCAAAACACGGCAAATGTATTTATTTAGGTTTAAAAAAAAAAAAATCAAACCGTATATATCGTTATTGACTGATATGAATTTACAGTATATTGTGATATAGTTTTTAGCCATATTGCCCAGCCCTAAAAAGTGAAAGGAATGGAGTCAGTATCCAGATTTTGTTTTACTTCAAATGATCAATGTTGTGCTCGAAACTGCACCTAATTTACAAAGAGTAGCTTTGTAATAGACCTCACCATGAAAAGGTTCAGGCTTTCAAAGCTCACTAGCACTAGCCCTTCTCTAAGATAGCTCACACCCTATTAAAATATACAATATTTAACTTGTCTATATTCCTACAGTGTCGTCTAATCGCTATGACAATCCAAGTGGAGGTGCAATTGAGGTCATAAGTCCTGCCAGTTCTCCAGTCCACACCCAGCCAGACAAATCAGAAGATGGCCAACAACAGGCTGCAGGTATAAACATTGTTCATTCTTGGAAGGAGTCATGTTTTATAAGTTTTATAAGACGTAAAAACAGTGAAAAAAATCCGCACAGCTATGTAGCTCCCAATCAGTGTATTTTATTTACACACCAAAACACAAAAATAATAAATAAATAATAAATAAAATACACTGATTGGGAGCTACATAGCTGTGCGGATTTTTTTCACTGTTTTTACTTCCTAAATTTTTTTAATCCAGCACGCTAGCTCAAACTACAGGGATGTGCGGCCTTATAAGTTTTATAAGTCATCTGATCTGATGCTAAGTTTAGCTGCTTGTTGAGTAAACATACCATATCTTATAAGTCTTGACCCACTGACCTTGCCATTTGAGTATGCCTGACTACATTCCCTGCACCAGTGTTGTCACCAGACACTACTAGCTCTTGTTTAAGGACTGATGAGACACCAGACAGCAGTACAAGACATTTTATGCCTTATTGAGACCGTTTAATTTAGCTTTTTTAAAGTAGAAAATATATGGTGAAACATAAAAGGCTTTTCGTGTAACTTTCACCATCAGAGTTTAATCTGTTCTGTTTTTTCCCAAATTTAAAAAAATTAAATTTCCAAAACAATGTTATGGGCACTACTTTTGTTTGAATAGGCAGACAACTGATCCAAGTATGATGTCATAGTGGTACGATTACATTACCATTACCATTACAATACCATTTCAGGACAGTTACCGCTTTCATGCGATCTCGGAGCTGGTGACAGTGGTCTCAAGTCACATGTGCTGCAGAAGTGTTCTGAAATGTTCATTAGTAATACACAAAAACATTCACAGTTGTGATATAAGAAACTCATGACAATTATGTATCTTATTACTATGTGCTTACACATATGCAATCTTCGATTCAACATTTTTGAATTTTTTTGTAAAGTTGAGGCCCCTGGGCAGGGCTGGACTGGCCATCGGGCGTACTTGGGAAATGCCCGAAGAGCGGATTCCCATATTTGGGCCGGCCTGTCGGCCTCAAACAAAAATATTTTTGTGAAATGTGTAAATCTGTTAAAGAAATGTTCGAGGGGTGCGTGCTTGACCGCTGGGCACTTGCTGTTTGCTGTATGAACTCGAACACATGGATTTTGTATCCGCCGCGGCCGCAGTGTTCTGGGGCAGCTGCACCTGCTTTGGACAGCGGTTCCCGCTTTGACAACAACACGTGACGCGGCCATGTACCCCAGACCATATACACACACGATCAACGATTCCGTCCAAATTTCTCAGTTGAATATCCAACTTCAGCAGCATTTTCTGACTGCAAAGTTGGAACTTCAGAGTTTCCAATCTTTTAGATTAGATGTGCCAGGAGTTCCTGATATTTGCATGGATGGATCTAAAAATAATTACAGGCCTGTTTTAGATGAGAGAACAATGTTGTAACATGGTTAAAAGTCAATTTTGCATGATGTGTCTCACCTCGACACACTCTTGAATCTGTCCCCCTCAGCTGGTATGCGTGGCTATGACATGAGCCGTTACCGGCAGCAAGGGGAACCGACTGCTCAGCTGCCTCCATCCTCTCAAGCTGACAGCTACACAGTCTCCCAGATACCTAAAACTCAGACGCGCATGATGACATTAGCTGATCATATCTCAGTAAGACTTAAAATTATTTTAACCCCACTTGTAATAAGAATTCAGCTTTTTCTGTAGAGTGTAATATAATTAATAATCTTGTGTCATAGCATATAATAACCCAAGACTTTGCACGGAATCAAGACTTGCCCCCTTCCTCCTCCGCATCATCTGCTACATTCCAGAGCGGAGTCTCTGCCATGTCTTCTGGTCGGACTAAGATGCCCAGTCGCTACAGTCCAGAGAATCAGCCTTTTCACCAGAGACCTTCCAGCCATATTTCTTCTGAGAACGCCCCAGAAAAACCTAGATCCAGGTGAGCAACATGGTAATCACAAAGCAGGCCCTCGAAATTCTTATTCATTTGTTTATTATTGTTTGTACCTCGCTGACTTTCCTTTAGACTTGGCAAGTCCCCAGATCGAGGGGGTAGGCAAATGGACAACTATGAACCCATTTCCCCACCGCAGAGCTACCAAGGCATGGATAAACAAGAGAGTGGTGTGCCCCTGGCTCAAAGGAGAGAAGCTGACAACCCTGACATTCGGTACATTTTGTTAGAATGCCTCAAACATTTCAGGAATCCTTCCACAAGCATCTTACATTGATTGTAACTGAGTCAGGTTTATTCACAGAAGTATTTTGAAATCTGGGCAAAAATCTTCCATGGAATTGATCAGATCTTTGTGATGTTTTTTTTTAGAACATATTCTTTGTTGTTCTTAAGCCACATCTCAAAGTATCACGTCCATATGCTTCGGGGAATAATGCACTATTCTAACGTCTTGATCTTGCTGTAATATATTACTGATCCTGAGCTAAAATCCTTTTTAAAAACAGACTTAGTGCTTTTTGCTTTTACTTAATGATATATTCCGAAATAGTCTATATGCATGGAAAAGTTTATATGAGCCTCCATGTTCCACTTTAAAATTAGACAATACTTCAGACTTCAGATGGTTACATGTGTTAGCCTGAAAATGTGCACATAAATTATTAGTCTTGATCATTTTTACAGGAACGATTCAAGGTCACCAGGGAGTGTTGGCTATTTACCTTCTTTTTTCACCAAGCTGGAAAACACTTCTCCTATGGTGAATGCCAAAAAGCAGGAGATCTTTCGTAAGTTGAACTCCACTTCTGGTGTCGGTGATTCTGATGTTGGTAAGTGGGGCCTTGTTCTTTTTCTTTCCTACTAATGTTGTGTTGAACAAATTTCCATGTCCATTTCTTCCACTTAATTTAATTGTTATTGTGCATTTACTGTATGAATATTGCACTGTTTTCATTTTACTCCATAGGAAACTCACAACCAGGAACTGAAATATTTAATTTGCCAGCTGTTACCACTTCTAGTGAGTAAATACAATTATAGATCAATTGTTGGATAGGTCATAAGATCTTTTTAAGATTTGTGCTAAATATTGTTTGTAGGTAGTATTAACCCGAGGAATCAGTCGTTCAATGATCCAGCCAGTAACCTTGGTTTGGAGGACATTATCCGTAAGGCTTTAATGGGTAACCTGGAGGAGCGGCAGGAGGAGCATCAAGGAGGAGTGGTGTCTCAGTCTGGGATTGGTGTGCAGGGGTCAAACGACAACCGCCAAGAGGCCGCCCCATCACCAGGCATAGGTAAGTCAAACAATACTCTACTCCCATATGGCTGCAGGAAAAGTACTTTAATACTTATTCTTTATGCAGCTAAGCAAAAGCTTCAAGGCAAAGCTGGCAGTAGAAAATCCAAGTCGCCAAGCTTAGGTATGGCCTATGGGGGCGGGGAACGTCCCTCATCTGTGTCCTCCGTCCACTCTGAAGGGGACTACCACAGACAGGCCCAAGCCCAACCACAGTGGAACTGGGAGGAACGACCCTCCTCTACAGGTAACACCTCAAGGTTTAATCCTAAAAATACTTTGGTCATATACAAAGCTTTGTACTACCAAGCTGATAAGAGGGTTTAAAATAATTTACGGACTTAGTGCTGGTTGTAACTGCAAGTCACTTTGAAACTACATTTTCTGTTGCGGTAGATCTTTTATGGTAACATCGTCTTTTACCTTTTAAAGCATGATCAGTGGTAACCAGGTAAATTTGGTTTCACAAACAGATCTTTGGGCTTTGCTTTTTTTTGTGCTTAATTTAAAGCTACCCTGTATATTTTTTACAGCTGCTCCATATGAAAAAACATGTTAACTAATATCAGTGCAACCTTTTTAAGAATATTTACCTCCGACATGTTTTTTAGGCTTAGAATTTAACTTGTAAATGTCCATGAGAGTGGCGTGCTCTCCATGTCAATGCACCATCTTGAAAAACAGTGGTGGATAAGGGTTCTGCCGTGGCTGTGTATCTGTCCTGCTTCACTGGTCATCGTAGTTTTAAGCTCCCGATCCTGTTTACATGTTGCCTCCACACAATTGTGTCAAGTGCCCGAGATGTATAGAGAGATCTGGTCATTTATCAAACTAAAGTATTCTTGCCTTGGCAGTCTGGGTTGAGGAGCACTGTCACAGTGTCAACTCAAAGGTTTCCGTAGTACCTGGGACTGCAATATAATATCTCATTGCTAGATGGCACTAAAAATTACAGTGTACCTTTAATTCTATAATTATCAAGATTCAAAACTTAATCAGGTAATTGCTGAATTGGTCTTGTCTCCATCTCTGTCAGGCTCTATGCAGTTTCCCTACAATCCCCTGACTATGCGCATCTTGAGCAACACACCTCCGAGCTCCATAGCAACTCCTTCTATTCAGAGTCAGCAGCAGCAGCAGCAACATCAGCAGCAGCAGCATCAACAGCAACAACATCAACAGCAGCAACAGCAACAACATCAACAGCAGCAGCAGCAACATCAACAGCAGCAGCAGCAACATCAACAGCAGCAGCAGCAACAACAGCAACAACAGCAGCAGCAACACCACCAACAACAACAACAGCAGCAGCAGCAGCAACAACAGCAGCAGGAGTCTTCCTCTGGGGCTTCTGTGGCCCAGCAGCGTGCCTGGCCCTCTCTGCTGTCTGAGCAGTACGAGACATTGTCAGACAGTGATGACTGAACTCCACTTCAGAAGGTTCTTGCTTAAAACAAAGGTCTAAGCTGCTGCAGGTCACCCCCCCTCTGTCCCAGAATTAACCTGCACATTGGCAATTGTGGTCAGTTCAGGGGGCGGTGTCCTTTTTTTTTTTTTTTTTTTTTTTTTTGGTGCTATGGCGCAGGGGGGTTGTTGGCTCCTTTTACCAGCAGTAGCACGTGACAAGTGGAGTTCTCCTGGGTTGAGAATTTGGCCAGCTTGTCAGGAAAGAGAACTTGAGGGGAAAATGAAGAACTTAATTTGTACAAAACGGCATAAGAGACTATTTCTAAATTTTGTTTTCTGTGAAGATATTCCTTGACGATATAATTGTATGTAAATAGAAACCTTTTGCAGTGTTTCTCTTAACTTGATTATTTCTTATTTTAATGTTGCTTTTAAAATCCACTTAAATGGGAAGCATATGCTTGTAATGTCAAACTTGTCTCTCCCAGTCCAGCCACAGATGTCAGGTGAAGTGGACTGGACCACACAGACTGCTGGTCCTACGAGAAAAGAAGTGGGCAGAGGCCGTCCCATAAGAGTGGGACCTCTGTGGATGGGAGGTGGCAGACTGCCTTTTATACACAGACAAATTGTACTGAAAGGACTCGCACCATTTTAGAAAGAAAACATTTTGAACACTGGCGACATGACAGAAAGGTTTGAGTCTGGTATAGGCTTAACAACCTGATGAGTGCTTTCGGGCCCATACAAAATACATGTTGTTTCTTGTCACATGCTGAGGTCTTTGATGTCCAAATTATCATAAATAAAGAACCTGACTTTCTAGGTATGAACGACCTGTAAAGATTTTGCAAAGCATTTTTACCATGCCTTGTCACTTGAGAATGACGGCAGCTTTAATTTTCGCTAGATATTTTTTGGTAATTTGTGTTCTTTTGTTTTGTAATCCCTTTTTATACAATTCAGAAAAAAACGGAACTAGATTTCAATTGTCTATTAGTCAAAAGACAAAAAATAACCAAACATTTAGAATGGTCTGCACCATTGTTGCACTTTTTTGCTTTGTAGCTTTTGACAACAAAAAGCATACTACCTGCTGTGTAACTTATTCAACGTCCAGGACAGGAGTATATTAAGATGTGCTTTAATGCCTCACAACACACACAAACAACCTGTTCGTTTTACTTCAGTCTTTTCTTGTTAGTCCATCATTTTAATAGTGTGCACTCACATCAGTTCCTGTTTTGTGTGTATGGTACCGTTATAACTCGTCAGAATAAACTGTCATTGTGTGTCATTCCTGTGACCACACTACTTTTGTCAATAAAGCTTTTGCTAAAATTATAACGTAAACTAGGTCACTGTGATCCAGAGCACTGAATGTAGGATATACATTTGGTTGAGTTTTAAACTTGCACTTAATTCACTTGCGTTTGTTACAGCTTGCAGAAGTCCTACCTTAAATGGATCATCTCAATTGCATTTGATGATTTGTCATAGCACATTATTTTCCTGTGATCCTCAACATCTTGTCAAACATCCTATTTATAGATGTTTGTAGACTGCTTACTAAATCAAGGACAAAACCAATCTTGATTCTAAAGGAAAACCGAAATGGAGCTAAAATGTTTCTCTCTTGTCTGAGGTTGCAAGCGTGACTTTTTTTGTCTGTTGAGACTTGAATACATCTGGCTGTATGCCTATCTTATAATGTTGAACAGCTGTTTGGATGGATGGATCCTTATGCGCGCGTTCATAACAGTTAAGACCAATCATCAAAAATAAAGTGGATCAGTTCACCACAAGTGTTTGTCTTTTCTAACTTCACCTTGTGTCGCCCCTGCACCTGATTCACCAAACGACACTGTATTTAAAATGATAATAGCCTCCAGTCCGAGGTGTGTGCCATATTGAACTACATTCTGGCTTTGTAATGTCCTGGACACGGTCCTGGACACGGTCCTGGACACGGTCCTGGACACGGTCCTGGACACGGTCCGGATGGAAGTTGGCTGACCAGCCAGGTTCTACCTACATTGAAAGAATCTATATTCGTATCGTAAATTCACATGTAACTAAATTATTAAGTATATTAAATGTGTCAGTATGTGTAAGCTTCATCGCTATCATAGAACTATGATAAAAATAATGTACTTATTAATGATGCCGGTAGCAGCAATGTTTTGATCCAGAGCCACTTCCGGAACGCGCGTACAGCCAGAAACCATGCTACAAATGCACTCTTTATTTTTACCGACTGTCGCAGAACAACTTTTCAAAGACATTCAGAAAATATTCCGGGAAACTTCTCAACGTAAGTAGTCCTCACTGTAACATGCCATGTTTTGTAATCAGTATTGAACAGAAACTAATTACGGCTTTAGGGATGTTTTTGTGAGCTACATTCTTACAATAATCAATGGTCATTACCACTGTGTGGTGTTATCCTAAAGGTATGCGTTGTAGTCTTGCTCCTAAATAAATTAAATCCATCCCTGAAATATTAAAGAAAATATGTTTAAGTTGTCAAGTAGTTGTAGTACACCGTGGTTACTGTAGATGGAGCTATTGTTGTAAAGTCAGTACACCACACTTCAAAGTTAGTAACCATTGATCATTTTTTACAGTTCCTGATGACATCCTCATTGCGTAAGTAATATTTTACCTCTCCATTCTTTGCTAAAACTGCCAAAGCATTTATTGTAATAATATATTTATCTAATCAATAATTGAAAACATTATAGGGTACATTAAAGGAGCAGTATGTAAAAATCTGGCCAAAAGTGGTACTGCAGTCAGTCAATATTTTGTAGTCCTCTCCCACTCTCCCTGACTCAGGTTGCCAGATACACACAAAATCCAGCAGCAAACACAAGGAATTATTTTTATCAGTTTGTCTGTCTCCATTCACATTGCCATGATAGCCATGCTAATGTTGAATTAATGTGTTTTCTTATTGTTTTTTTATTTGGACATTTCAGATGAGAAAAACAAAATAAAAGCAATGTAATTATACATTGAATATACAAAATAAATAAGCAATTGATGTCCAAAATAGGAATGGGAAGAATGGATGTTGGAACGTATTTCTTCAGCGTATCAACATCAGGGTTTCCTCCAGAGGATATCACCCTTACATTTTTTGTATTCCCTATTTTTTAGACAAACATGTATAAGTCCCACATCAATAAGAGACTAACATTATTTTAATAACGGCTTGTTTTTACCTTGTACCTTTTTTGAGCAATCTGTCATAGAATATGTCATATATAGTTTAATCCAAAACACTTCACGCCGGACTCGAATCCAGGTCGCTGCGGTGTAAGCGCAATGATTTAACCATTAGACCACCGTTGCACACAACAAACAACAGACTCCAAGCAGGTACCTCAACTCAACTGTTAATGAAAGACGCACTCTATGCAGCAAGTTTTGCATCACACAAAAAGTTTTTATCCGCCTTAAATTGTCTCAATTTTTCAACGGCGTCCCGATATAAATCCTCGTTTTACATACTTAAAAATATAGAAACCGTCATGGCCCATTTTATAGTTTATAGTTATTGAGTAACTGCAAACGCATGTATACAACATGATTGTTCAACCCTGTTCTCTGTCCCAGGCTGAAGTTTGTGTTTGGCCCATGTGCACTCCAGGCCTTGGATTTGGTGGATCAGCGCTCTGTGACTTGTCTCTCCTCCTCAAGTGGTCGTAGAACGTTTCAGGTTTGTCAAACCTTTTATGATTTAAACAAGGTGTCTAAGAGAGGTGCTTAAATATTGTTTTAGTTTGTCACATAGAGTGAGTAAAAAAAGGAATTTGGTCAGCCAGCAATTGTGCAAGTTCAGAATCAGAATAATTTTTATTGCCACGTAAGTAACAGGAAGTCACAGACTTGGAAATTGCTTTGGCTCAGTGCAACAGTCAGAAAGAGATTTCTCCCACTTAAAAAGATTAGGGAGGCCTGTAATTTTTATCATAGGTGTGTACCTCAACTATGAAAGAAAGAATGAGAAAAAAAAATCCAGAAAATCTCTTTCATTTTTAAAGATTTTATTAGCAAATTATGGTGGAAAATAAGTATTTGGTCAATAACAAAAGTTCATCTCAATACTTTGTTATATACCCTTTGTTTGCAATGACAGAGCTCAAACGTTTTCTGTAAAGTCATCACAAAGTTTTCACATACTGTTGCTGGTGTTTTGGCCCATTCCTCCATGCAGATCTCCTCTAGAGCAGTGATGTTTTGGGGCTGTCGCTGGGTAATAAGGACTTTCAACTTCCACCAAAGATTTTCTATGGGGTTGAGATCTGGAGACTGGCTTGGCCACTCCAGGACCTTGAAATGTTTCTTACAAAGCCACTCCTTCGTTGCCCGGGCGATGTGTTTGGGATCCTTGTCATGTTGAAGACCCAGCCATGTTTCATAATCAATGCCCTTGCTGTTGGAAGGAGGTTTTCATTCAGAATCTCACAATACATGGCCCCATTCATTCTTTCCTTTACACGGATCAGTCGTCCTTGTCCCTTGCAGAAAAACAGCCCCAAAGCATGATGTTTCCACCCCCATACTTCACAGTAGGAATGGTGTTCTTTGGATGCAACTCTGCATTCTTTCTCCTCCAAACACGATGAGTTGAGTTTTTACCAAAAAGTTTTATTTTGGTTTCATCGGACCATATGATTTTCTCCAAATCCTCTTCTGGATCACCCAAATGCTCTCTAGCAAACTTCAGACGGGCCGGGACATGTACTGGCTTAAGCAGGCGACACGTCTGGCACTGCGGGATATGAGTCCCTGGCGGCGTAGTGTGTTACTGATTGTAGCCTTTGTTACTCTTGTCCCAGCTCTCTAGGATTGGTTCTAGGATTTTTCTTCACTGTTCTTGACCATTTTTTTGCTGTCTTGTATGTGTTCCATTTTCTAATAATTGCTCCTACAGTTGATTTCTTCACACCAAGCTGCTTACCTATTGCAGAGTCAGTCTTCCCAGCCTGGTGCAGGTCTACAATGTTGTTTCTGTTGCCCTTTGACAGCTCTTTGGTCTTGGCCATAGTGGAGGTTGGAGTGAGACTGTTTGAGGTTGTGCTGTAGGTGTCTTTCATACTGATGAGTTCAAACAGATGCCATTAATACAGATAACGAGTGGAGGACAGAGGAGCCTCTTAAAGTAGATTTTCTGGATTTTTTCTTTTCTCATTCTGTCTCTCATAGTTGAGGTATACCTATGATGAAAATACAGACCTCCTTTATCATTTTAAGTAGGAGAATTTGCAAAATTGGTGGCTGACTAAATACTTTTTTCCCCACTGTAGAATACTGTTTAATTCACTGATTAGCAACCTTTCGATTGTTGTCACCGATCTGCAGAGGACTACAGGTGTAAATTAGCTCTCCTGCTACAATGCACCTCTCCTTTTGGCTGATGTTTATTGTATACTATCCCTGTAAAAACAATACAATTCAAATCATTTCTTATTTTTAAACCTTCCAGGATTTGATGATTTTTATGTATAACTGATTCGATTCTGGAGATTTGTCTTCACTGAATTATCCCAGGTCTACGGTATGAGCTTTTATCCATTCATCCATCCATTTTCGGGGAGTTGACTATCAGAGCTGCGACCAATTCACAGAGCGCCAGACCCTCACAGGTCCTCCTGCAGGTGGAGGGTCCACAGGAGCACGGCTGCTCTGTCAGTGATGTCACAGCCTTCATCTTTCAGTGGGGGTTACAGACAAAGTGGGGTTAAGTGTCTTTACCAGGGACACAACAACAGCAGACATGAGTCTGAGTCAGAAGAAGAAGGTTTTGTGGGGTGACAGTGGCTCAGTTGGTAGAGCATCAGCCTTTGAGCCCGAAGGTTGTGGGTTCGATTTCACCATGAGACCAACAGCTCTTATAATTTTATAATTTTATAAATGGGCCTTACAAGTGATAAAAATATTCTTTTGACCATCAAGCCTCTCTTGGGGAGGACAAACAAACCAGTCCCACAACACAGATTTCCTGTAAGCTCTTTCAGGTCTATGTGAAACTGCATTAAAGGAACTGTACAACACAATGAGGCTAAAATAGCCTTTTTACTGGGACTCTGTTTTTATTGGTCTCTCTTTGAAACCTCACATCCTGTTTATTTCATTATTAATAGAAAAGAGAAACAAATCAAATCATTTAAGTTTATATTAAATGGCCTCTAAAGGATTATTCCTGTATGCATCCTAAACCACATAAACGTTTCATGTTTTCAATTACAGCAAAGTCATTGATTTTTACAATGGTGAAAAATGAAATGAACAAACTTGTATGATAATAATAATATAACCACCTGAGTGCTCACCCCAGTTCATCGCTACAAATCGGTGTGAGAAGAAACAAGAATATAAAATAACAAATAAATACGTTACATACATGGAATGGATAATGCTGTTTATGTATTTAAATTGGTTAATCTGGACATTCAGGTGAGTTGATATTCTTTGTTTCATGCTAGCGGCATGTCTAAAAGCAAACATGTTTTCTATAGAGAGGTGTGAGCTATTGTTTAGAAGTGGTGGAAGCTTTGAATGAACGCTAACTTTGCCTTTGGCCAAAGACTCCCAATTTGATGGTGTATATTTGAATGAATGTGTCAAACTCTTGACATCTAACTGCAGAGAGACAGCCTCATAATTACAAGCATTTACAGAGTTCATGATAAGTGCAGCTGGAGTCTTGTGACGTAGGACCTGCGGAGGTGAAGGGCTAGAACTCTTAGCTATTTAAAGAATAAATAAAAAAAAATAATAATAATAAGGATATAATTGCATTTTTGTGCTCACTCTTTGTGAATTGAAGTGACAATGGTAATAATGATAATATTAAAAGGTTACTCAGGATGTGGTGGAACGATGGCTCAGTTAAAGACTTGACCGAAGTAATATTATACCTTATTGTCCGCTGCATTTGAGCCATCCTGTGATACCATGGGGGCCTCTGTCAGGAGCAGTGGTGGTTTTTGTTCAGCGCCCGGGACCCAGCTCCAGATGTTGATGCTTGGCTTGATCAGGACCAGAGCTGGAGGATTTTACCTCTTGTACATGTTTTTAGTGGTTGGGTAAACCATACCAACAGACATGCATGCTCTTCTGGCTGAGAAGTGAGAATGCTATCAACTTATGGTGGCTGAGTGGTTAGCACTCAGTTATATATGACACAATTATTTTATATCATCCTGGTATATTCCCTTTAATTATTTAAACGAGGAAATTCCTTTTCCTCGGCAGTCCTCAGCTGCAGAGATGATGTACGTGTCCTGCCTGGTGTATATTTCTTTAATTAGCAGTGGCTGCAGAGAAACCCATGGACGTCCTGGCTGTATCCTGAGAAGTCCTCCTCCGTGAATAAGCTTTTCTTGAGACAAACAACAGTGACTGTTTTGAAGTCTTGCTGAGGAAAGTCCTTGAGCTGCAGCAAAGCCAAAGTGTGATCAGTTTTTCAACAAACCTGCCTCTGTATAAAGTTGGCCCCAAGTTCCAGCACCTTCTATCAGCATCTTGGCCCGGTGTATTCCTGCGCACAGTCCCTGTCAACGTGGCATGTGCAGTGTTTCAAATGTTGTGACAGTTCCAACAGATGAATGGTTGTTGCTTCTATAGGCCACAGCAGAGCTGATTTATAGGCAGTGTGCAGAATAATGGAGCCAGGGCTGCCATTGTGGGAGGCATTAGTTATTACCACTGTCAAACTAATCCTCACCGCTAATGTCCTCATGTGTTGGGGGCATGAGGACGACAGTTACATCAAGGTCTACTAAAAAGCCACACACAGAAAAAGAAGTGTTTCATATGTAAATCTTCACTGGATTATATTTAGTATATGATCCAGTGAAAGGAAGGACTTACATCTGCTTCCTTGCCTCTGGTGTATTTTGAAAATGCGAGAGAAAAATTATTTGTCCATTATACATTGAAAAGTATAAACTGTATTGCACAATAGTGGAAGGGATGTTTACTAAAACCCAAACTAGTTCTTATGATGAGCTCTCTTGATCCAGAATACTTGGATGACAAAGTATTATAACTGTTTAATTTACAATTAGATTTTGTTGTGGTTAAATGTTTGAATTCTATTGAAATGTAGGCTGGATTTCAGTGTGCCCTGTATCTGTTTACCAGGAATCTCCCCGCATGCTTCCAGAACATTCCCTCCTACTCTGCAATAGAGCCTTGTTGGCAAAGTCTAAAACTGGGGACTTGATGTTAAAATGGCCATTTTCCCGTTGTCATAGTGTGAGATTTCATAACACTTTTAAGCAACTTTTGTTAAAGTTAAACTCCTCATTCTTACATGTGCAGAAGCCAGTACTTTTCCCTTGTTTTGTCTATCTGAAGGCCAAGCTACATGGCACCGTGGCAGCTGCTGATTGGAGGTCTCCATGCCTCCGCTCTGTATAATACACTTGCATTCTGTTGTTCGTGTTGTTTGTGCTGTCTCTACCATCGACAATAAAACATGTCTTCTGTCTGAATTTAAGACGCGATCCCAGACATGTCATCTTCTTCAATAGTTTCAATGTAATGTACCATGAAGGAACTTATGCAATACAATCGGCCTGATGAACATATTAAGGGTTGCACATTTAATGGAATCTCTTTCACTGTGTTTTTCAGTTACAGATAGAGGAATCTGTATAAGTATATAAGTAACTCACTGCCTGATCTGGGACTAAATATATTTTTACTAATTCAATTCAAAATTGAATTCAAATTTGAAGTCTGTTAATGGCTGTACACCTGTCAAAAAATCTCTGCCATACGGGGATGGGCTAAATATGTGAGCCTTAATGTGTGTTTTGTAGACATGCACAGGTTAAGTGTATCATCACAATAAGATAAATTGCTGAAATTTAGAATACACATGGTGAAAGTAGTTGGTTTTAGATTCAATGCAAATTGTGAACATTTAGAAACATCTTATTAGTTCAAACTGGTGCACTTACTGTAGTCTGTTCTAGCGTCCATTACACTTTCTTACACATGTCGCTTTAATGTGTTTGCAGGTGACTGGAGCCTCTGGTCGGATGTACATTTGCTTCGTGACTTGTCACTTCTGCCCTTGTCCAGCCTTTGCGTACACTGTTCTCCGCAGAAATGAAGGACTGCTGGTGAGATTGGCAAGCTTGAAAAGACTATATTCAAAAGTTCCACTTTCTGACACAGAGTAGGAGTGGGGTGCTATGCGTCAATCACTTGTGTCTGCGTAGGTTTCCTCTGGGTGCTCCTGCTTCCCCAACCACAAAAATGTTTTACAATAGGTCTGAATGTAGCCTGGTCGTACCACACCATAGTACAAATGACATTTTGTACTAAGGTCTCCATTGAGCTCCATTGAGCTCCGTTTACATATACGAGGGGTTAACTCCTTTTGCAGATTGAAACGATTGGATCTGAGTTCACCGTGACGTATGTAGCGCGCCCGAGTCTGTTGTTAGCATTTAGCATTTAGCCTAGCCATCTCCTTTGCCGCTAACGGAGCCTGTGGGGAGTAGTGCCACAATTTTTTCCAGCGATTACATTTGCTAAACATTACCCTTGCTCCGGCTTCAATTTCTTGATAGAACCAGACCGGATTACTTTACTATCGCATTTTTCGCCATTACCAAACTAAAACCTGCCCGTTCGACGCAAGCTCTTGACATCACCCACAACTAACTACAACACCTGCCTTCCGCGCTCTCTGATTGGTCGGTCGCAATTCAATCGATTGTAATCGCTAACACAAGGACCAGATCCAGACGTTACATGCAAATGATAATTGAACGGCGTGTACGGATGGTTAAGGCCCGGCTAGTCTGAATGTAATGAGTGAGTCAATGGATGGGGTTGATCTCGCTTCTGTCATCACTGTGTGTGGAGAGAATGGAAAAATATCTGAACTCTGAACATCGTAAAGAGCTTTGAGTGACCTTGGTCTGTAAAATCCAATATTATATTACACATAAAATATATATAATAGTTAATGAAAAAGGTGTATTGTGGTATAAAGCATTATCCTAACAAGCATAGAGTAAGATAATTTGCCACTTACAGAAACAAAATCAAATGTTTCCAAATATATTATATATATTTATATTATATTATATTTTAATTTAGTCGCCCATCGTGTCTTTATTTCCAAGTCTGTGACTTCCTGTTACTTACGTGGCAATTAAAATGATTCTGATTCTGATTCTGGATTATTGTGTGTATTCCAAATGCCCACATTGCTTATAGTCAGTTTTTATTACAGGAGCCTTTATAAATAAGAGATAAAAATAGCATAAACTATTTGCGTTGTGACATTGGGAGGTTTCTGGCAGGGGTTTTGTCTGGTTTCAGTGATCTGTGCTTCCGTGGGGCGCCACCGCTGCAGTCTGTGTCCCATGTGTGGCGTACGGACAGGTCCACTTCTATTCCATCCTCCGAGGGGCGTCTCTGCTCTGACTGGCTGTTTTTTGCAAACTCCAAATATTTTTCAGCAGATGACCCGTGTTTTCCATTCAAACATCTGAAAGTCCGATTTCCCCCGAGGATGTGGCTAAAAACAGTGTGAGAAACATAGTTTCTCTAAAACGGGAGAGAGAGGTCCAGTGTTTATTCTCGAATAGAAATCATTGCTTTGCGAACAGCTGGCTCATCAGATCTAACTGCACTGGTTTTTCTCTTTGTGACTCAAAGTAGCGCACTGCTCTTTTCTCTACGGCTTTTCCAATAACACCGCAGGAAGTAATGCTGTCCCTTGAGTTTCAATCAGCCAGGGCCTTGCAGCTGGGAAGGGAAGCTTGTGTGGATATCATTGTGTGATTAAACATTATTGCCTGTCTATTATTACCCAGAATGAGTCTGGTGTGTGTGTGAATGGTTGGTGGTGGTCGGAGGGGCCGATGGCACATACTGGTTGCCTCGCTTCTGTCAGTGTGCCCCAGGGAAGCTGTGGCTAGTAGTTTATCACCACCGTGTATGGAGTCAAAGAATAATGACATGTGAAGAATCTTTGAGTGTCCAAAAAAGCGCTATATAAAACCGATGCATTATTATTTTTATTATTATATCATATCACTGCAAAAAGTGATGGAAAATAAGTTTTGTGAAATATATCTTGATTTGAGCACATTCTGACTGCCTTGTAACAATATATGCCAATAGGACAAGCAAAATTGACTTGTTTTAAAAAGATACAAGAAATGTCTCCCTTGGAATGAGAAAATAAAGCAACAGTTCTTGAAATAAAACTGAATGGCTTTGTCCCATTGGCTAATCCTGTTTTAAGACAGTCAGAAAGTCCTCAAATTAAGGTAAAAACACCACTTGATTTAAGCTATTGCCTCATATTTTATAGTTTTTCTGCAGTGTGGGCATGGATAAAACACAGTTGTAGTGTGCTATTATTTTTTCAACTTCACTGAGCAGTTATGATATTTATGTAAATGATTAAGAATAGAAGTTTATGTCGTGTGGAAAGAGCAGGAGACTACACAAGTTTGTTTAAATGTGTCTGATGGTCCATTTTCTTTTTGTTCTTTCTGCCTCAGTGCAAACACCTCCTGGCTGTGTACTTGTCTCAGGCCATGAACGTGACGCAGCAGGAGGCCGTGTCTGACCAGGAGATGACCGCTCTACTCAGCGGCACGGCCTGATGGGATGTCACGACGGAGACGAGACATAACGCAGGCGTGTCCAACCTTTTTCACCTCAGAGAGACTACTCTTTAACGACAAAAAAGGCAGAGAGCTACTCCTTTTAGGTTCAAAAGAAATTGAGTAAATACTGTAGGATAATATGGAATTGGATTGTTTTATGGGTATTTAAAATTCTAAATTAAAGATGAATAACAAGTGTAGGCATAGCAAACTTATTTCAATATTTGAGGATACTTTGACTTGTTAAATCCTTTCAAGACCACTGACCTAATGTATGTCTCTTGGAAAGACGACAGATGTTGCTTCATTTATTCACCTGACTTATGTTTACATTCATTTAACTATTAGCCGAGCAGCTGCTGGCCTATGCTTCTTTAAAAAGATTTGCTGTATGTGTAATTGCAATTGTAAATAATAAAGAGCTGTTTGTAACAGTATAAACATTGGCTTTATTACCAAAATATTTCCATTTACATAAAGATTACATCATGTTGAACAGCAATGGAAATCTGTGGTTGATAGTTCTGATTATAGAAACAACACTGACAGGGTGGAAGAAAGGCAGGACAGTTGATTGGATCAACTTGGCTCACTCATGATGAAAGTTCACTGAAGGCAGTTTGACAGTTTGGTCCATAGCTCCAAAAGCGACTACAGTACTTAATACTTTTAACATCAAACACAGACACAATGGCCTACAGTGCATTTACAGTTTACATGTCTCCATTGGAATGTACTCGAAGGTTATTGGCACACTCCTCTCCAGCCCTTGTTTCAGAAGTGGGATGACACAGATGACGCCAAAGCAGCGACTGAAATGAACACTAACACCAAGCTAATGTTGGTATTAACAAAAGGTTAGATTAACTCAAATGCTTCATAGATCCAAACCATCAGAATTTAAAACTGAATGTTCCATACTAGTGTGCAGCAAGCTCAAGCAGAAGATTTATTTTTATAAACCAAATGAATCATGATCAACAGGGTAATTGATCACAAAAGGGCCATTATGGTTTAATAGGCTCTTTTATTCTACTCAAGTTTTAAACTGTTCTAGGTCTGCCAAACTATTGATAAATGGAATGGATTGTAAGCTGTGGGCACATGAGGACCGTGGCCTGTCCTCGCTGAGACTGTTGGAACATATAAACCTCGGCTGCACTGATGATCAGAGCGGTGTGGAGAGGTTTCCATAAGCAACAACCTGAGTGTTTGGACAAACATAGTGTATGACCTGTTCATCAACAGCCAGTCCAGCTGCTTACGCAGGTTTGGAATAAGATGTAGTGCTGTGGGGATTGTTGGCACTCAGTTAAAGGCAACAAAACCACCCCCAACAGGACGCACAGTAATGACTCTTATTCAATCTGCTAAAAAGACTAGTTTGTTCTTTAGTATCTGTATTGTCCCGTATTCATGCTTTAAGACGTTAACACCTCACAACATTATCTGATTGTTGTTTTGAACTTCTGAATGGAAAGGGATTCACATAATAAGCAGCTGGTCACTTGTAGAAACTCGGTGGAAAAGGTCTACTGCAAAATGAAGTCAAGTACAAATAAGGACACATGTGGTAGATTATTTGATCAATACATTCGCAGCATAATAAATAAGTTAACACAGCAACAACTTGACTGTATAAAACTGCGGTAACAACATGGACTTTCTTTGATAATAGTGTTTATCAAAGTCTGGATCCTATCGCGGGATACAAATCCAGTTGGGCTTAAAAAACCTATGACACTGTATTAGTGAGACTTGCAACATCCGAGCCCTGATACTAATAAATAAAACATCCAAGGCGTCTTTTAACTTCACATATCAAACCCTTTTTGTAAACATTTTCCACAATAATCTGAAGACGCATGTTCTCTTACAGCAGAGGGTCTATGGTCATGTGGATCTGGTCTTTGTTGCGCTTGCTGCCGTTTGAACTCAGATACATCTCTTCTTTACGGCACAGGAAATTCTGAGCCAGGATTTTCCGAAACGTGTTCCTAAAATCCTGGATCCGGTATGCGTATATAATGGGATTAACCACAGAGTTTGCATGGGACAGAATGATTGCAACATACATGACCACATCTGGTTTCTTGAGATCACGGTAGAACAACGTTAAGCAGTTTAAAATGTGCACAGGCAGCCAGCACAAAGCGAAGAGTCCTACGATTATCGAAAGGGACTTTGCTGCACGGATTTCTTTTTGCAGCAGTCCATGATGCTGGCTCTCTCCGTTCCCAACACATTTTAACTCGATCTGCCTCAGCTGCTTTCGGGCGACAGTGAAAATCTTCAGGTAGATCCCCAACATGATCAAGAGGGGGAGCAGTACACAGACAAAGAAATTAAAGTAGACCATGTAATGCATGTCCACCACACTTTCAAAGAAGCACTCCAGGTTGCAGCTGTAGAGCAAACGTGTTCCTCCGCCGCCTGTACCTTCCGCACTTGTGGCGTTGGTGAGTTCGGAGCTGGCGTTGGCACAGCCTATGTGTTTTCGATTCCAGCCGAAGAAGGGAATAAGACCGATGACAAACGATAAGATCCATAAAATAGCAATGATTTCCCGGGCTGCCTTTCCCGTCATCAGCTCCTTATACCTGGAAAACAACAACAATTTCAATGTTATTTTTGCTAAATGTTTGCTAAAAGCTCCAGACATGGGTCAATATATTGAAAAATAAAACATATTGATTTTTAGAATAAATGCATTCTAACTCTAGTATGTATCCATGGCACAGTTATAGTTCTTGTACCATGGATGCACTTTTGAGTTATTATATTATTAGGTTTTTTTTGCAAGGAAGACAAATAGATGGTTTTCCATTGACATCACGCACTACCCACAATTCCGCAGTTCGCCATATTGTCTGTCTAGCTCCCGATAGTTGTAGGTAAACAAAGCATAGCACATCACTTTTTTGCGCTAAAACATGCCGACTACCTGCGTCGTTTGGTGGTGCAGTAACCGTGCAGATTGTGGGGACATTCCGAAGGTTATCACGAGCCAGGGGAGCAACTCTCGACGGAGAAAAGAACCCTTTCGTTGGCGAGAGGGATTCAACCCTAACCCCCTGGAAAACGGCAATATAAGGTCTGTTCTGGCCATTTAATAACAAGTAAGAGCTAGCTAAATATGTGCATGTGTGGTTTATATTCAGAGCTGCGATTTGACTGTGTGGACTCTCACTCCATACACGGTGGTGATAAACCACTACTATATAGCCACAGCTGCCCTGGGGCACATTGACAAACAGTATGTACCATCAGCCCCTCTGACCACCACCCATCATTCAAGCACACACCGGACTCATACTAGCTAATGTGGGTGAAGTGTCTTGCCTAAGGACATATCAACAGTCTGGCACTTTACAGCCGCGGCCGCCCCACTGTCCCAGAGGTCTCCCACCATATAAACCAGGCCCTGCCCTGCTTGGCTTCAAATAGCTGACGGGACCTGGCTTTCACATGCAGATAGCAACAATTGTGCATAAATTATATATATCCATGTAATTGTTCTTATTCCTATAAAAATCTTATCATTCTATCAGATGCAAAATAACGCCAACGAACTTACCAATACCATTAATATCTAATCGCTAAAAAACTGTGAGAAAACCTTATCTAAATGATTTACACTGCTCCCTGTTATCTGCTCATAAATTCCCACTGCTCGGAGTTTTAAATGGACCCTGGGCTTTTCTCTGGGGTCAGAGCTGACTCATGTCTGACTCTTCCTTTAAAGAAGAACGGAGTGGACGTCTCTGCTGCTGTGTGACTTTGATCAAGGCAACAGACCTCCTTCTGCAGTGTCCCATGTTGCGCACACACTAACCACTCTGCAAAAACGGATAAAATATGAAGTAGTAATTGCTTGAATAAAGTGTTTTTTTTATCTTAATTTAAGTACATTCTGATTTAAAACAAGATTGGGACAAAGCCATTTAGTATTACTTTACAACTGTTGCTTTATTTTCTCATTTTCACTGAGACAATTCTAGTATCTTTTTAAAACAAGATCATTTTGTTTGTCCTATAGGCAAATATTGTTTTAAGGCAGTCAAAATGTACTGAAATCAAGATACATTTTGCCAAATTTGAGCAATTTCATCACTTTTTGTGGCAGTGGCAGCAAGTCTAAACTACGTCTCAGATTATCTCTTTTGGGATCAATAAAGTATCTGTCTTTCTATCTGACTTTGGACCCGATGTCTAAAACAAAAGGAAGACTTGTGTGGCAGTAATTTAGGTGTGCTGGATGTCGCTTTTGTCATCACTGTGTGCGGAGTGAATGGAAATGACTGGTACGTTGTGAGACATGTGCGCTAGCTAAATAAATAATACTAACTGACTAATTTATCACAGATATGTTTCTTGTATGCACACGAGCCTACAATATGACAAGCTTAACCTTCACAGTGTAGGTTATGTACAGTGTGGCCATAATTGTGTTCAAAGCCCCATCTTGGCAAATATTTGAAGCTAAGAACATAGGGCTATGTTAGTACTGTGATGGGAGACCACTGTAATACTTCTTACCACTGGGAGCAGCATAGTTCTAGAGAAAAGTTTTGTTTTGTTTTTAGGCAAGACACCTCTCCCAATTTGCCTTTTATGAATGAGTTGAGAGATTGGCAGCCTCATACAGAGCGGTCTGCCCCAAGGTAGCTGTGGCTACAGTAGTAGTTTACCACCATCAGATGTGGAGGGGAATGAACAATGCCACGTTTGTGAATGTCTGAAAAGAAGACCTTCTCTGGCTGATCTTACACAGATTCAAACGTCATTTACTGCAACAAGTTATAGGCTTCTTAATCATTAGCCAGGCCCTCTACGCACGATCGCAGTGAGCTAATACTGCAAGTGTCTGGACTGCACAGTTTCTAATCTCAATGACTTACAGTAGGTGCTTATCAAAGGTTCCCTACAGGTAACATGATTTTGAGGGATTTAGGAGGGAAGTGGGGAGAGTGGATTAGTCCTGTCGGAATCTTATTGTGTGTCATACAAAGTTCTTGATGTAATTTACTTCTTTGTATTCATCAGACTTGTGGGGTGGGGGGACCCAGCCTGTCTGTGAGTCTGTATGTAACCAGCTTTCTATAGAATATGACGTCAGTTAACTCAATAAGTCAATTAAGCCAATAACAAAGTCTCAAAAGAACACACCACTCAATAATTCAATATAACAGCAATGTATAAATCTCCACTCACAAAAAGTCCTGTTCCAACTGAGATTCAAACCCAAAACTTTCTTGCAGAGAAGCGATGTCGATTTTCTAATATTTTGTTGACAAACCGATACTTCCGCATCTCCCTTTGAGACGACTGCTGTTGTGATTATGGGCACTACAAAATAAATGATAATCTATCGACATTTATGTGATAACCCATTATGGCTGAAGTAGTAAAGACATGAGATTTCAGCATGTACAGTATATTGAGACTAGAGGGGTCTGACCGGTCGGGGGGCAACATCAACTGTCTGAGTCCCCCTGGAACGCAGGCCTCCCACAGAACCCTGGATTTTTTATGCATAACATAGGTCACGCTCAACACACATATACAATGCACACAACATACACAAGAAACTTTACCAAACAAGAAGGTGGTTCTGCTATTGTTGGAGGAGACCCCAACAGTGGCAGGACTACAACAAAAAAACCTTGTATGTTTTAATGCACTATTTAAGACACGCACCAAACACTAAAAAATAAAAAAATAAAAAAATAAATATAATAATAACAATGAAAACAAGCAAATAAACATCTGATCAGATTCAGATTCATTTATTAAGTTGTCTCCCAAAGGAGAAATGTGTCTTGGAGCAGGGGGGGGGTCAGTAGCACCCACAGATACAGACATTAAAAAAAAAACAGACAATACACACAAAACTGACGATAGACATCAGGTGACTGACACTAATGCACAATCACCTGATGTTATTCAACAGCCGTATGGACTGAGGTACAAAAGAGTTCTTAAACCTATTGCTTTTGCACAGTGGGATCCTGTACCTCCTCCCAGAATACAGCAGTTCGTATTGTGAGTAGAGAACATGAGTGGAGTCTCTGATGATGTTCTCGGCCTGTCTGATCACTGACTGCTCAAAAATAGTCTGAGGTGAGATCATAGTGGACAGCGACACTTCCATGATCTTCCCAGGTAGTTTTTGCAGCCTCTGGATCTGTGATTTGTATTTCACTGTGAGGTTACCAAACCAGCTCACGATTCTGTATCTCAGTATAGATTCAATACTCGCTCTATAGAAGGTCAACAAAACATTTTGGCTCACTCCAAATACTCTAAGCCTACGAAGGAAGTACAGCCGCTGATGGATCTTTGCACAGATATTCGACACATGATTGTACCAACACAGTTCATTGTCCATTTCCACCCCAAGGTACCTATATGATGAAACCTGCTCAATTATTTGTCCATGAATGAAGACAAATTATGGTTACATAAACACAGCCAAAACACTGCGCTGGGATCTGTGGAGACAGCAGGTGGCAGCATTTATTATTTTCGTTCTATTTATTATTATTGGTTATTATTCAATTTTCTATTCTTAACTCACATAATCACACACTCATACATACATATACACAAACATACAAATACATGAACACCCTCACTTACACATTAACACCTACATATTTCCATGACAGTACTTGCTGTTTTTTTGTTTTGCTCTTTTTTTGCTTGTCCTTAAAGTACGTTATTTTATTTTTATTAAGTATTTTCTTTCTTTGTTCATTGCTCTAGATGCCTTAAAATGCTCCCCTTCCCTCCCCCAACAATATGTTCTGCACTACTATGTTGTACATAGTAATTTATGTTTTTTTGGAATCTGTATCACATGGTGTTAAATACATTTTTTTTTTAAATAACTGTCTGAGTCCATATTCTCTTCCTTGTAAAAGCACTGACTGAGTCAGTGCATGTGACGAGCAGTGTGTTAGGGTTAGCTGTGGGCAGGACTGGGTGAAACAGGGTTGACAGAAATGGTACGTCAAAGACTGCAAGCGCCGGAGGGACAGGCCACAGTTTTCTAAGAAACTCAAGAGTCGGGAGAAATGGGATGAGCTGCTAGCATGAGTATCAGAGTAGGGGTCTCCTGGGCTTACAAACATCTGCTTTTGGCGGTTCACTTGCACAAGACCCATCTGTGAAAACACTATCAGCTCCTCTACACATCTCTAAAGTCAAGTTAAGCACACACAAGGATGGTTTTCCTTGGAACTGTCTGTGAAAACTAAATAATGTGTATTTATGAGAATAGTGGCATTTTCCATTAAAAAACGCTGGAGGAGGAGGGACTTCCACAAATATACACTTAAGTTGCGGTCTATTTACAGGCCTTTACACACTACAGGCCTGTGTTTATTGACTTGGGATGAAATGTTGTGACGACCAGGGACAACACTGGGAAACAGAGGTGAGTTGTTTTAACCCGTGTAGGCCTAAGGGGGAAGACAGACAAAAGCTTTCAATAACAGTCACGGTGCGGTGTACCCCAGGAAATCACATTAAAAAGGACTACCGCAGGACAAACATGATAATATCCCAGACTTCAATCTAGTTACACGCTTGTTACGCTGTTGTTATATTGTCCCTCGTGTGACTAATGTGTAGTTTCTTCCCCTTAAAGTGATAGTCTGGAACTCTAAATGAATTACATTTTTCATTTTATGAATTCTAATATTACGGGTAAGTCCCGCCTTCCCTTCTCTTAGCTATAGCTCAGAATCCACGATGCCAATCAAGTGATGCCAAGGGCTGTCAATCATCGCGCTGATGCTCGTAGCTGCTCAGTTGTTTGTTTTCACGGAGCCTCCGAATCAAGCCTCCACTAAGCTCTGGAACTTCATGAAAACTGAAGAAAGAATTCTGAACATCCGCGCTGAGTTACCCATTTATAAACTGAACCTATATCCATAATCATTTATATACTGAACCTATATCCATAATCATTTATAAACTGAACCTATATCCATAATCAGATCCTCTGCAGATGTGTCCTATAATGTTCAATCAATGTTAATAGCTACCTCCGGGTTTACCGTGATCGCTTTTTTTGTGCATTAAAACATTATTTTTGTCATGAAAACGTTTTTCTGAAAACCTCTGTGCATGTGTATTAATAATGTATATGTATAATGTATTTTCCGGATAACATAAAAATGTGTTGATTGATTGGTTACGGAAACGTAGGTGTAGACCAATCAGAAAGGAAGGGGGAGGAGCTTGTGCATGGATCTATAATAATAACTGGATAGGGTATTACTAGCTTGTAGCTGAATAACCCATGTGCTCAGGGGATTCTCGCGGTACTACAGACTAAACCAGACTAAATTCACGTGGGCTACCCAGAAATTTTCCCCATAGAACTCAATGTAAACTAAAACAGCTCGACCTCAGCTGACAGAGAACCTACAGCTTTCATAAAGGTCGGATTTTGTGGGGATTTTAGTGTCCCTTGTCATCCTGAACTTTTTTTCTTCTTAAATCCTTCGGTTTTGTTTAAATCCACACTTTAGTGCCACAAACTCTACTCCTCTGGCTCTCGCTCCAACTCCCGCTCTGATGAACTGCTCTGATTGGTCAGAGCGCGCCCGAGCCCCTCTGTGCACGTGCGTGAGACCTGGTGTGAGACCCACACACGCGTGTTTGGCGCAACGCATTATGGGAGATCATCCACTGCGCAGAACCGGGAGGACCAGACGATGCCCAAATACAGGCGAGTTTCCCATGGATCTTTGCGAGTTTCCCATAGATCTTTGCGAGTTTCAGACGACTTCCGCTAATCTTTTCGGCCCCCATGCCGGCATAAAGCACCACTGAGCACATTTAAATACGGCGCCATCTTGGATTGCCGGGGCTTGAGCTTGTGTCGTTTTTTTCAAATCAAGGACCTCTCTCTCTTTTTTCTGACAAACTCGAGACAATCACTTTAAGCCGCTTTACCTGACCTTGACCCACAACGATATGTCAAACAGTTTGACCATTTTTCTGTCTAGACTTTTTTTTGGTCGCAGTATTCCTCGGCATAAAGATGAAAAAGTGCGTTAAGTCGTTATGCCAATGCAGCTCGCTCGGTGTGAAAGGAAAAGGAAAGGGTTTTTGGTCTAGTGGAATCTACCTTAAGAAAGTTCACTTTGTAAGCATAAATAAGACATACAATAGAAGTGAAAGAAACAGGTATACATGTATTTGTATTTGTATATGTATGTGCGTGTGTGTGTGCGTGTGCGTGTGTGCGTGTATATGTCTCTTTTTCTCTTTTTGCATCTTTTTCTCTTTTTGTTTAATGCATTTATTGTTTTGATCATTTTACAGAAGGAATAAAGAAAGCATAGTGTAAAGATGAAACATTGCAATAGAGTATTTGTTTTTAAACACCAGTTCAGTGGAGACAGAAAAAATTGTGTAATCCAGTGATTTATGCTCCATCACTTTTCTAGCGGCCAAATGCCCCCTGTCTGTTCCATATTGTGAGTTGCACATGTATCTTCACGGATCCACGGAGAGACCCTACAGTGCCATTCTGCTTTTACAGAGTTTACAGTCGCTTCCCACTCGGACCACTTTTTGTGGCGAATAAGAAAAGCGCTGATGGATATTTTACAGGCTTCCACGGCCACGCACCACTTTAATCTGCCGCTATGTCCTTTGTGTTTTTGTGTTTGATGATGAGGGAATGTCAGGAGAAGTCGCTCACACCGGCCTGAAACAGTCGGATATCTGCAATGTCAACTCTACCTGCAGGATACATTTAAATGATATAACACATTTGAATGGCCACCACTTGCAAATCGCAAAGGCTGCACATGTTCAAGCCCTTTGCAAATGAAAAAAATGCTCTGTTTGTTATGTTCCTCAACGCAGGGAGCTCGTTTTACTGTTTTCATTTCTGTCTTCATTTAAAGCTGGTGTGCTCAACTTCGAAGCAACAAAAAGGTTAAGAAAATCCATTCAAAGATGCAGTCAGTGATTCTTTCCAGACGCATTTTTTAAATAAATATTGTGGGAAAACGTTCCTAAACCCTACAAGTAGTCAAGTTATCATGTGTTTTCAAATAGTAATGGAATTGACCAGATGCCTATAGTCTACAAAAATAAATAACAAATATTTTGGAGCGGACTGATGAAAAAAACCCAATGGGATACTTTTATCCCCTTCTCCCTCTTCCTGTTTCTTGCGAGTGCGCGCATCTGAGATATCGGATTATTTTTTAAAACCTCAAATGGCTGAACAGAAAATGCCAATTTCAAGTTTGCCACTCACTCTCCCTGTTGTGACAAAGAAAGTAAAATACTGGATGTTTGGTTTCGTGGAGAGGCGAGGGGGGGTGCACCTTTAACTAGTTCCTTGTTCAGAAACTGGTTCTATCACTAGTCTCCACATGTATGCATGTGTTTGGCCTCGGTCACATCTTTAGATCAGCTTTGTCAGCTGTTGGCTGATTGGTCCTCAGAGAGAACCATAGTGAGTCACAAGGTTCTCTCTATTCTATGTATCCAAAAGATGAATTATGATTTGTTTGAAAAAGATTTCCTTCACAAGAGTTGAACTTTCTGTTGGGATAAACAATGTACTTTAGAAAAATACATGTTACATCCCTCTCTAAGCATTGAATAATAGAAAAAATGCCACTGCAATTGCTAAAAGGAAATTCTGATTGTAGCTATCTTTTGACTGTGTTTACTGGTCTAGAATATTTGATTAGATCAGAGAATCCATCTAAAGTGTCTAACTGGACATTTCTGACGATGTACTGTAGACACAATACATATGCCAAAACATTTTTTTTTTTTTAATCTAACCAAATTGGAAACAAAAATAAATATTATGTTGAAAATGTGAGTTCAATAATCGACGCTCATAAAATAAATGAAAGTAACCAGCCTAAAGTCAGGCTGTTGCAGACGTGACATTGGGAGGAGGATGCTGCTTGTGTTGCCTTCAGGCGCCTCTCTTCCTCTTGTTTTTCGTGGCTTTAACTGCAGTAGACCTGCTATCGATCCGCTCACATCGTCACTAAACAAACAAGACGTTATTTATGAGCTTCCTCTTTTCCCAATGAGACTTCTGAAAACTGCCTTAATTAGATGGAGACGGGATCAGTAGAAATCATCAGCTAAGAGTGTAAGTAATTCAGTTTTAAATCATGTGCTAAACTCATTGCAGATATTAAGGAAAGATAAGATGAAGCTTTTTGTGCCACAGTGGTGAGATTTCAATAAAACAGCAGCTTAATAAACGGCTACAATCAAACTTCATCTTAGAGGGCGATTGGAAAGTCATGAATTAAAACCTCCAACAGATTCCATTAGGACTTTCTCGATAACACAATATAGTTTGAGGTCCGCCACCAGCTTTTGTCTTTCAGCCAGTTTTATCACCAACAGTTTTTGAAATAAATCTTTCCTGCGTCTTGTCTGGTGTTGATTTCATTAGCTGCAGGTTCCTGTTCACCAACCAACAAAGAAAGTTTAATTCTGGAATGTGGATTATCCCTGATCTATCTTTAGTGCGGCTTTATTGACTTAAGAACAGTTTTAAGCCCATTAGCTCCAATTTACCCGTTGCTTTTTATCCAGTGAACGCACAACCAAATACACGTGATTGTGACACATAAACCAGGGCTGTTTCCATCCCAACAAAATAACACCAGGTTTTCTGTCTCCACTTTTGTATGGGGCATAATGATAACTGACTATGACCCACTCACTACTGTATTATATTACCTTGGTTGAAGAATATTTAGTCATGTCTAGTATTCCAAAGAATGAGTGAATAACACATTAGTTATCGACAACTTGTGCAACTAAAGAATTTCCTATTTCCAAAACAGTCACTTGACACAACATTTTCTCAATGACGTACTGTACGCCTTTTATTACAGTCACTCAAAGTAGTGTAACTGAATACTTTATCATGTGATACAATTTAGTTAGTTTAGTAGTTGCTTTTCAAACATTGGTTTGATCCATGAAAAACATTTAGAGATAGATAGAATATGATAGATAGATATTTAGATTGCTAGAAAGAAATGAATAGATAAGATAGAAATTAGTAGATTGATAGATTTAAAGAAAGAAACAGATAGATAGATAGATATGAAAAGACAGCTCCTGGTCATGTTGACAGCTGAGTGAACCTAAAGGCTTCTGCAACAGCTTCACACAGTTTGTCTTATGAGTGGACAGTATATCAAACAGTCTGTATCAGAAAGTCTATACATCACAGTCTGTCAGAGTGTGCACCAAAGATAATATTTATGATCAGACAGTGTGAATGCAACAGTGTGTCTCACCTGAGCGGGATCTTCACGGCCAGGTACCGGTCTATAGCCACCGCCAAGAGGCTGAAGATGGAGCTCTGCGTCAGCACCAGCACGAAGCAGGCGAGGAACAGGCAGCCGTAGAAGTCCAGGTGGATGCCCACACTGATGATGACGGCGAAGGGGATCGCCAGGCAGCCCACCAGGATGTCTGCCACCGCCAGCGACACCAGAAAGTAGTTAGTGGCGTTCTTGAGAGTGCTGTTGATGGACACGGCCCAGCACACCAGCACGTTCCCGGCGATGGACAGCACCGCAATGGCCACTTCAATCACGATGTAAGTCGTATTCATGTCCGTCAGTGCACGGGACTGGAGCCGCAGAGATTCACGTTTACAGACCCGCACAAGTCAAGTGACAGAAAAGTGTGAAAGTCTGTTTACAATAAAACCAGAGAAGTCCACGCGTGCGCACCACGACCGCCATCTACCACAACATTGCACTTTTAGAGCAGAATACAGTGCGGTGAAGTGTTAATACATGTGTGGCAATGTGAGGAACCGACGCAAAAGTCCTCAAAAGTCGCTCGTATCCACATCCCGCCTCAGTCGGAGTCATGGTTGTGGGCTCGTCTCTGCAGCGGCGGCTGGAGAGACGCGCTCCTGCGTCTCTGGAGCAGAGCGCGTCAGAACTTCACACTGCTGCAGATTTCAACAGGGCGGAACATGGCGAGAGAAAAAAACCTGTCTCAGGACTGTGCAAAGTAAAGCCCCGCCCAGCAGCGCACACGCATGATCCATGATGTTTACAGTGTATGGGTCCCATGGGTCCTCTGTAGCTTTGGCCGCTACTGAACTGTCAATCAAAGCAGCGCCCCACGTGGTCCCGGGCAGACGTGAAGGATGTGAGACGCGTGGAAGATGCACTCCAAACGAAATCATTAGTCCAACATCAGAAACTGATATCCCGGAGCACGTACTGCTCTGATAACCCGTCTTTAGTCGTGTGTGTCCTGCTTATGTTGTAGTTTTGCCTGGAATGTTCCACAGTATGGTACAAGTCAGTTCTGTAGAGGAGCAAGACCCCAGTTCAATGTTTTGAGCAGTAAAACGTATGTGATCATGTTAAGATTTATACCCGGTGTTGATCTTTTTTAATTCAATCAATCAACGTTTATTTAAGCGCCTTTCCTACACAAGGCAACGCAAAGCGCCTCACAACCATATCACATCATGCATAAATCATCAAACATTAGAATCTACGTAAACATAAAAAACACATTAAGAGCACAAGATATATTAAAAAGATAAAAGTAGTTAAAAACCTTACAATCACACATGGGATTAAAATGATAAATAACCATAGCCATTAAAAAGATTAAAGATAAAAACAAAGATAAAATCATTCAGTTGTATGCACAGCTTAAAAGAACTGTTTTTCAGCCTAGATTTGAAAACTGCCAGAGTAGACGCCTGTCTCACATTCTCAGGAAGAAGGTTCCAGACTCTAGCGGCATGAATCTGAAACGCAGCCTCCCCATGTTTAGTTCTGACTCTGGGCACTAACAGGAGTCCAGTCCCTGTGCTCCTCAGAGTCCGGGCTGGTTCATATGAGACTAACATGTCACTAATATATTTTGGTGCGAGGCCATGGAGAGACTTATACACAAGCAGAGCTGTTTTAAAGTATATTCTTTGGGCCACAGGAAGCCAGTGCAGAGACCTGAGAACTGGACTAACGTGGTCGTACTTCCTGGTTCTAGTCAGGACTCGAGCTGCTGCATTTTGAATACTGTTTTACAGCCTGTTTGGAGAGACCTGTGAACAAGCCATTGCAGTAGTGTAGTCTAACCGACTGGAGACAAATGCATGGATAAAAGTCTCCAAGTCTGCTTTAGACACCATTTTTTAAGTTTTAGCAATGTTTTTTTAGGTGATAATAAGCTGCTGATGCAATAGATTTTATGTGGCTATTGAAATTTCAGTCTGAGTCCATTATTACTCCTAGATTTCCTAATTCAATTCCATTTATTCTAGCCTGGCCTTAGCCATCTGTAAACTCCGGTCAATTATCATTTCCTGCATGAATGTAGTTTGTTCGATGATGTGGTACGACCAGGCTACATTCATTCTTGTATCGCCCTGAATCACAACAGAAGTTATCTCAGAGGACTTTACGCAACCGTTGAATTCTCCAACAAAGAACAGAGAATCAGTTAAAACGCAAGAAATAGAACAGGCTGGTAATAGTCCATGACATTTTATACTATTTGATTTTGTAATATTGGTTGCCTTGTGTCTTTTTGAGTTTCTTTCCTGTTCCTGCGTTGATTGCCTGCCCCTCCCTATTGTATTTCACCCATGTCTCTGTGTATTTATACCTTGGGCCTCTCTCCTCTTCTTGTCCATTACCTTAACCATGTTTAGTTTGGATTTTTATGTGCATTATCCTGGATTTGGTTTTATTTATTTCATTCATTTAATTACTTATATTTGCAGTCCAGCATTCTGGTTATCACACAGCTATGAAAGTGCATCTGCCTGGCACAGACAGACCCACTCAGCTCAAAACACATGAAGATCCATGGTTCCAGACAAAAGCATCCCAGATAGTGATGATTCCACTCCACTGAGCCAGGTAGAGAACATAAAGTGGGATCAACTTTACTATTGAAAGGCATCAGGACCACAAAGGTGAAACAAAATACAGTAGAATACATATTAATTTCTGATTTAAGCAAGCTCTTTTGCAAAGTCCAAACAGGAAATGTTGTAGTGCTGATTAAGAGGAGGCAATTAAAGAGTGTTGTTCTTGTAAATGGAACACTCTGTCCAGTGATATTAAATGTTCATTCTAAGCCAAAGACTCTCTGGTTCACACTTTCTACCCAGTGTTACCCCTCGCTGTCTTTTTTATAGTTTTATGCTGTTTCCTCTATGATGCCATGCTCTAAATACAATATCTTCTTCTTTCTTTCTTCTTCTTAAACGGCACATTTCCTCTTTTTGATGATGCAGTTTTTCAAGTTGCTGCAAACAAGGTATCATGCCCGGGCAGAGACCTTGTTGTTTATTCACATCTCAAGTTCAGGAATGTGAAATAGTCACTCATGTTTTGCTTTAAGAGCTGTGTCTTTCAACATAGTACATGGTAGGTATATGAATAAAGAGGAGACAATATACGGTTATTACCACACATTCCATTTGAACCACCACAGTCACTTATACTGTATATATTATCTGTATTGAAGGAGTGAGGGGCTGGAGTCAAATGAGCGTCCACTTCATCCAACCCCTTTTCACACTGTACCACTGTTTATGTCTTTATTTTATGTTTTATTAAATGTGCACATTTAAAATAAATACATTGAAAGTTGTTTTTTTCTTCAAAAATATTCTTATTACATATAAATAAAAATTATGAACCACAATAACAATTTTAACGTGATGTAATTCAAAGAAACCGGTCTCTTTTTTGTAAAGAAAAAAACAAACAAAAGTTTCATAAAAGAGTGCAAATTTCTTTCAACATTTAAAACTCAAAGACTTCAGAACAACTCAAACTTGTGAAAATACTCTCCGTACTGTACAATCAGAAAAATCATATTTACAATAATAATGTAGGTCAATGTTGGCTGTACACAGGCGTGGACATGGACCAGCGCAGTGGGACAGGGTTACATGTTAACCATGCAGAGATAGTTATGTTTGAACAACACATGGCACACGGACCAAACTTTGACACAAAAACTAGATGTAAATTGATGAAATGTGGCAGAACACAGACACAAAGTCCTGCTAAGTAATACCATAGTCTATTGCTGTTAGGGGTCACACAAAAACATTCATTATTCATTATTTCCTTTGACGGTTTCTGGAGTATAGAAAATATTCATATTTGTTCAGTTTTGGACGCAGCGTTCGGTCAGAGGTTCTCATGGATCAAACAGGACGTGTGGCTGTGTCCAGGCCGGAGCTCAGGGGTCACATTGACACATGAGACATGACGAGGAGGTGTTTTTGCACAAGGTCAAGTCTCAAAGTATTTGTAGATCTGTGAGACATACTGCATGACGCTTTGCCAGTCAGGTCGGTCCGTCCTCATCAGCTCCTCTATGTCCTGGGATCAAACACAAGGAAAGCAGGTTCTTGAGGAAATCAGGCAGAATCTCAGCTCAAACAAATCAGAAAACCAGTTGCCTTTGTCTACGGAGTCCGGCCTCTGGTCCCCTGAACCGGAGGCCGGACTCTTGGCACTTCTTCATTAAGTTTGCATTAGCATTATGACCCGCAGAGAGCCACTTGAAGGCAAATCCACTCTGACAGTGATGGGTGACTGAGGAAGCCAAAGCAAACAGCTTATTTTGGCTTGGCCTCAACAACGAGAGAAAGATGAGCAGCTCAAAATTCATCTAAGCCCTGTATTTAAACTATGATAGAGAGAAAAACAAACTATAATTATAAATACTGTATCCGTACATAAAAATAATATACAAATATTTTAGCACCACGTATTATTAAGATAGTGACATGGGAACTAATTTAGCCCAATCCAAGTCCGACAAAAAAATGTGAACTTAAAGCCTAATCGTTTGAGAGATCCAGGTCTGTAATGATGAAGTGATGGACATTTGTGTGGAATAAAAATGTAATAATTCTTAGTCTATAGTGAAGTCTAAATCAATCTCAACCAGTTGCTGGCTTCCAACATTTGTGGTTAGACAAAGACTCTTGTTTACTCCTCAGCTGGAGGAGGATCCATCGAGACGCAGAGAACAATGGATTTCAGCCTGAGCACACTGTCAACAGGTGATTGATGGAGAGGGAAGTGGCAGAAAAAGACTACAGTTCAAGGACATGGACTCGGGTCACCCAGGTCACAATCACGTTCACTTTCTGAAGGTTTGAATATAGGATTTTAAATATGCTTTGTTTTTATTGTAGCTTGAATTATTTTGAATGTACTTGACCAGTGGCATGGCATAAAGAACTATTAGTCCTTATTCCATTCAATTTAATTCAATTCAACGTCAAATAGAAGTTTTTTTTAACTTCTTCCCACTCCTACAGTATATTCAACATCAATTATTTATTTCGCTTAATCAATGTATAATTACATTGCTTTTGTTTTGTTTTTCTCATTTCAAATGTCCAAATAAAAACCTTAATTCATTCAACGTATTCTTGTATAGCCCTAAATCACAATCATAGTTATCAAACCGTTCAAACGCAAGACATTTCCAAATAATTTTTTATCATGTTTGCAAGACAACTAAACCCACATTGCCCAGTACACGTCTGGTGTGTGAGTAACTGCTTATGGTAACTTACAACACCAGCGTAAAGACTGAATGAACAACGCCATGTGGGCCATCTTTGAGTGTCCAAAAAGGCTTTACATAAGAATCTCTTTTCCAGTAAAGTCCTGGCCCCACAGGGGAGGAGCCTAATGCACATTTTTGTTTTTAGTGGTAGGAGAAACCGGAGCAGACATGGGAGATTACAGTGTGTGGGGAGAACATGCAAATTCCAGAAAGGCCCCATACTACTGCAGGGTCTGCTGTGATGTGAGAGTGATGGCATACAACACAAATGTAATGTAATGTAATCACAATAGACCTAGTTATGAATCCATCACTTCATTGTTATTTGATGCAGTGCACTTGTCTATGAAAGAATAAATAAATGAAAGATTTGAATATGTTAAACCACTGTTTCTCATTAGTCTTCTGCGTGGGAGGTCTGTGGCACTCACCAGGGATGGTTTGATGCCAATGCTCTCTGCCGCCTGGAACGCAAGAGTCAGGTTGCGGATCTGAAAAAACAACAAAACAAAACAAACGCGGCTGACTTCCAAACTTTCTGTACAAACCACACACGAAGCTGCAATAAGCAAGACACCAAAACACGTTCCCAGGAGGCGGCTGAGGCATGTGCTGTTTGAGTGAGCGCTCCGGCGTGTTACAACGACACGGTTTGTTTGACGAGTGTCAAAATATACAAACCAAACGTCCGTGCGGCTGACCTGGAAGTCCTGTTCCCATCACATACACTGTTGTGACATCGCAGACATGTTTTCACATCACCTCTCATTGGATTCAGATGGGGAATTTTAGTTTAGTTCAGCGTATTTCAACAAACATTTCATAAACAGACAGCGATAATGGTAATATATAACAAAAACAAATAATTGCAATTTAAAAAGTAGTAGTAATCTTTATCTTTATTTATTTATATACCGCCTTTTCACTGCAGATCTGAGTCTCAAAGCGGTTTACAATTGTTAATTTTGGGCATTTGTCTCTCACTCTAACTATTGGACATATTTTTAGTGGTAGGGGAAACCGGAGTACCCGGAGGAAACCTACGCAGACACGGGGAGAACATGCAAACTCCACTCAGAAAGGACCTGGTCCGGCCGGGATTCGAACCCAGGACCTACTTGCTGAGTAGCAATACAATAGAAAACTATCTACAGAGACGTATCCTCATAAGGCTCTCTTATAGTGAGGAGAGGGCCTCATTTCTTTTTTTTTTTTTTATCTTATCGTATTTTAAATAATACAACCTGCCCAAATCTATTCCTGTCCCTCCTACCTTTAATATAAATGCCCTTTCCCTTGTTGCAAACGGGAGCTGTTAAGGGATTAGGACGGATTATAGCCGTAAACCCTTGGGGTCTCCATTCAGCCACAGCAGTTATTAAAAACACGTCTATTCAATTATTGAGATATGAGCGGTGTAATGGAGCATTCAAACAGGAAAATCTCCCTTCGTTACTAGTGCACTCTACTACACACCTGCGCCTGAGCTCATCTTCAATCAGCCACAACTGGTCACATTTACACACCTGTCCTCATCTGCATGAAGCTGCTGTTCGTGCAGCAACCTGCCTCCTTCCCATCATCACCTCATCAGTGGAAGCAAGTAAGTAAGTAAAGTTTATTTGTATAGCACCTTTCACAGACCAGGGTCACAAAGCGCTTCACACATTAAAATACAAAATACACATACAAGTCAGATAAAACAAACACAGAAAACACAATTTACATTCACAGAGGCCTATGAACAATGGTGCGAGAAAGCCTGTCCAAACAAATGTGTCTTTAGTTGGGACATAGTCTCTACGATACGCAGAGACTGAGGAAGCTCATTCCAGAGGCGAGGAGCAACTGCCTGGAAGGATGTCTCCTCTGGTTTTGAAACGAGTCCGGGGGACCATCAACAGGTTCTGAGTAGAGGACCTCAGACTCCTGTTGGAGACATAAGGGTGGATCAGGCCCTGGATGTATTCAGGCGCCTGACAATGAAGGGCCCTAAAAGTCAACACCAGAATTTTAAAATGTATTCTGTGTGAGACAGGGGTAATGTGGGCTCTCCTATGGGTGCGGGTCAAAAGCCTTGCAGCAGAATTTTGGACGACCTGTAAACGAGCCAGGTCTTTTTTACTAAGACATGTAAGCAGGCTGTTACAGTAGTCCAATTGCGAGGAAACAAAAGCGTGGACAATCATCTCCAGCTCCGGACCCGAGACCATTTGTCTGAGCTTAGAGATGTTGCGTAAGTGGAAATTGCAGTTTCGGGTCAGCTGTTTGGTGTGTCGTTCTAGGGACATCCCTCCATCAAAAGTGACTCCCAGGTTCCTCACACTCTTTTTTACTGAGCTACTTAGGTCACCAAGGTGCTGAGCAATAACAGAAACAATACTGTCCGGGGCTAACACTAAGGTTTCCGTTTTACTGGAGTTCAGCTGGAGGCTATTTTCACTAAGCCATATCTTTATTTTGTCCAGACAGTTAGTGAGAGCAACCAGTCTCTGGGGCTCAGAGGGCTTAAAAGAGCAGTACAGCTGGAGATTGTCAGCATACAGGTGGTAGGAGACCTCACTGAACTGCTGGATCAGCTTTCCTAGCGGGAGCAGGTACAACATAAATAAAATAGGAACATAAATAAAAACACAGATAACAAAGGAAGAATCACTTCCTTTGTTATCTGCTCCGCTCCACCACCCCCAGGGTCTAGAACAGGGCTGTCAGACCGGTCCTCAAAGTGTAGTAGCAGGTTTTCATTCCAACCAAGCAGGAGCACATCAGACTCCACCCATTTCAAAGGTGAGCCCAGTCTTGAGACCTGAGGAAATGGGTGGAGTCGGCTCTGCTCCTGCTTGGCTCTAATTAAAACCTGCAGCCACACTGGCCTTTTCTGGAACCAGTTTGACACCTCTGGTCTGGACCCCATGAGGATACTTGCTGTCTTAAACTTTCAAAATATTTTAAATTCTCTCCTGCAATATTTCTGCTGGGCTCTAAACACCAAACCCTATCTGACATTTCTTGTCCCAAAATGCAATAAAACACTTAGTCCCATATCAAATATATAATAGACCGTATATCCATAGTGGGCGATTTCAACATAACCTAAATTTAAGGGCATTTGTTCTAGCTGCGTTAAATTTGTGTTGAAACCGTGGCAGATGTAAACTAATGTGTTGCTAACATGGTTGCTAAGGCAAGTTGGAGTTTCCCCTGTCAATGAAGAATCTGATTCTGATACAATCCTTATGGCTCACATCTGGATTAACAATAAGACAATATCAACATATAAACCCCAGGATTCAGTGAGCACTAAATCCCGGGTCATTAAAGCACTAAACAGTGAGTGTTATAAACGATTACTGAGCTTTTCAATCTAAGTCAATAGAAGCCAGAGTGAGTTTGGGCTTCATTGAGTGACTAAGAGTAGTGTCCATTTATATACAGTCTATGTCATGTCTGTCGGGTCTAAAGCGTCACATCATGCAGTGACAATACACTTCACACAAACATAAACATCATTCTAATCCATCTTTTTGACTTGAACGTCTTTGTATTCCCTGCTGTGGTCTCCGCTCCCTCCTGGACCGGACACTCAAAGGAGCAGACTTCCAGGTAGGATGCATAATGTTTTGATGGTGTCTCTCCCAGTGCTGCAGCTGCTGACTGATGTGATTACACAAACCAAACATTCATAATTCATGGTTAGAGTGTGGGCACGTGTACTCCAGCAGACAGGAAGTCCACTTAATGACCGTTAATTGTGGTATGACAAAGTGGAATCGATGTAATCAAGTATTTATCCTTCAGCTGTATGCGTCTTTTACAACCTTTCCACTTCCCACTAAGAGCAGGCTGTAAAGACAACTGCCAAACAACGTCCAATTCAAATTAAACATGCAACGGAAAAAGCGGGTTATCTTTTTCAAGGTCTGGCAACTGAAATCCAAGAATATTTAAAAAATCTGTCACAATCTTTGAAAATATAGAAAGAAGAGTACTGCGACTGTGAGAAAGGATCTGCCTCAAAGCAAACCCGCAAATTGGACGCTTTGACCAAAATAGACTAGTTTCAAGATAAGAAGTCTCTCCCAGAATCCTGTTGGGGCAGAGCAGATTCCATTAAAACAGAAAAACACAAAGTAATAAGTAATTTGTGTCAACCCTGAAAACGTCTGGACTGCACTCCTATTTGTAAGTTGATTTCAAAAAGTATTGTTAAAGTATTGAAAAAGTATTGTTAAAGTATTGAAAAAGTATTGTTGAAAGGCTTGTAAATATCATCGTTATCGTAGCTTCCTCCAACTGGTGCAGACTTATTTTTATATCAACAATGTAAAATTAACTTCAATAGTCAATGGATCACAATGAAAGCATTCCAACTTTGCCCAACAATGGCCCTATTCTACTCCCATAAACATGAGCACAAAAACAGTTAGACCGGTGTTTTTCAACTAGTGGGCCGTGGCACGCGAGTGGGCCTTGGGAAGGTATGGTATAATTGTAAACCGCTTTGTGACTCTGGTCTGTGAAAGGCGGTATATAAATAAACATTACTTACTTACTTATTTGGTGTGCCTTGGGAAAGTCAATTCAATACAATTTATTCTAGTATAGTCCTAAATCACAACAGAAGTTATCTCGGAGGACTGAATTTGCCAACACAGATCAGAGAATCATTTCAATTGCAAGAAATAAAACAGAAAACACATTGGTGTTGGTCTATAAATGTTGTTGAATGTTATTGAAATGAATCCAATATCACCTACTTGTTCACAATAATGTGAACTAAAAAAGAATTAGAAGATTAGAAATACTTCTATCTATCTACAGTATCTACAGTAGCTATCTATCTACAGAATCCATCCATCTATCTATCTACAGTATCTATCTATCTATCTATCTACAGTATCTACAGTATCTATCTACAGTATCTATCTATCTACAGTATCTACAGAATCCATCTATCTATCTGCAGTATCTATCTATCTACAGTATCTATCTATCTACAGATTCTACAGAATCCATCTATCTATCTACAGTATCTACAGTATCTATCTATCTATAGTATCTATCTATCTACAGTATCTACAGTAGCTATCTATCTACAGAATCCATCTATCTATCTATCTACAGTATCTATCTATCTACAGTATCTACATAATCCATCCATCTATCTATCTACAGTATCTATCTATCTATCTATCTACAGTATCTACAGTATCTATCTACAGTATCTATCTATCTACAGTATCTACAGAATCCATCTATCTATCTGCAGTATCTATCTATCTACAGTATCTATCTATCTACAGATTCTACAGAATCCATCTATCTATCTACAGTATCTACAGTATCTATCTATCTATAGTATCTATCTATCTACAGTATCTACAGTAGCTATCTATCTACAGAATCCATCTATCTATCTATCTACAGTATCTATCTATCTATCTATCTATCTACAGTATCTACACAATCCATCTATCTATCTATCTACAGTATCTATCTATCTATCTACAGTATCTACATAATCCATCTATCTATCTATCTACAGTATCTATCTATCTATCTACAGTATCTACAGTATCTATCTATCTACAGTATCTACAGAATCCATCTATCTATCTACAGTATCTATCTATCTACAGTATCTGCAGAATCCATCTATCTATCTATCTACAGTATCTATCCATCTACAGTATCTACAGTATCTATCTATCTACAGTATCTATCTATCTACAGTATCTACAGAATCCATCTATCTATCTACAGTATCTATCTATCTACAGTATCTATCTATCTATAGTATATATCTATCTACAGTATCTACAGTATCTATCTATCTGCAGTATCTATCTATCTATAGTATCTATCTATCTACAGTATCTATCTATCTAAAGTATCTATAGTATCTATCTATCTATTCATCTATGCTTCTCTCATGCTTCCTACCTCTGGCTAAATGTTCAGTGCGTCTCTGACCTTGTCCTGGCTCAGCAGTTCCTGGTAGGGGATGTGCGCCGGGAGGTACGTGTGGAGCAGTGCACAGAAGGCCAGACCATCGCTCCAACTGCTGCTGAAGTTTGTCACGTCTATATTCTGTAATCCAACAGAGACAGAAGTGAGTGATAAACATATTCACAAACTCAATATGATCAACATTTGTGAGGTTGAGATCTGAGCTTCTGCAATTTAAGCAAAGACAAAAACATAAATTCGTAAGCATCAACTCAATAATATTTCCAAAGCTATAGCTGAGTGGTTTACAATGCTCTTTAGGTGGGTAAAGGGACAAAGATGTATAATTACAGAATAATTATTAACAATTAAAAATATACTTGCTGTATTAATAACCACACCTGTAGATAAACTGCACTAACTACATTTTTGGTCCAAATAAAAGTCCAAATGAAGATGTGTTTTTTATGCTCTGTTGACTTGTGAAGCTCTCGGGTAATGCTTAAAATGCTTCCTGTCCCTACTGAAATGTGGGTTAAAATAGAAAGTCTACAAATAAACAATGGCCCTCTGCTGTTAAACAGAACGGGAAGAAGGCTCAGAAGATAGTTGTGTCCAAATCTTTTCTTAACAAAATTAAAATACAGACATTGGCCGCATTACTGCAAACAGGCCACAGAGTTCATTGAAATAGAAAAAAGTAGCAATTTATATTCTGGCAATTACAAAATATGAGCTTGCTTCGTTTCAATCCACTCGGGTTACATTAGTATTCTGGAAAGACTCCTGAAGCCTAATGCTGAATAAAGTGAAAGAAGTATTAATTTGAAGTAAAAAACATGGTGTTGATTTTTCATAATTTGTTGTATTATATTACCTAAATTCGTGTCAGTGATAGTGTTTTACAGTCATACAGATAAAACAATTTACTTTTTAATCTTGAAACCAGTTCCTCACATTTTAAAAGGAGATTATTCTGATCCTGGATGTGATTTGATTCCTCAAGTGACTGGACGTGCACAATGACACGTCCAGTCTTCTTCAGCCGAGAGCATTGTCACCTGACATAAAGATAAGTCTGAACGGGGAGACTTCCTCTGAACCATTGTGTCCAGGGACAGCCTCCACATTTAGACAGAAACCCATTTCCAGGATCTTCCTTTGGTTTCTAAAATAAGAATCTGTGATCGTTGGAATGTTGAACTGTCTGGACTAAAGGTCTATAATGGATTCCTATACTTCAGGTCATAGTACAAGTTGATAAGTTAAATGCCAAATGTTAAAGCAGATGTGCGGCTGATTAAGAGGCCGTTTACTGACTGTCTGGAATCCATTTAAAAATAAAAACGTTGATGGGAGATGGTTGAATCATAAGGTTGAAGGATGGTTAATCTATACCAGGTGTCTCCAACCTTTGTCACCCAGAGAGCTACTTTCCCGGGACGATAAATGCAGAGAGCTACTCCTTTAAGTGTCCCTAGGAAAAATGTGGTGATATATTGGTGTGAACAAGCCTAATAGTGGGTACAGTCATTATTTCCATCCATCCATCCATTTTCTTCCGCTTTATCCGTTGCCGGGTCGCGGGGGCAGCAGTCTAAGCAGAGACGCCCAGACTTCCCTATCCACACACACTTCCTCCAGCTCGTCCGGGGGGACCCCAAGGCGTTCCCAGGCCAGCTGAGAGACATAGTCCCTCCAGCGTGTCCTGGGTCTTCCGCGGGGCCTCCTCCCGGTGGGGCGTGCCCGGAACACCTCCCCAGGGAGGCGTCCAGGAAGCATCCGGAACAGATGCCCGAGCCACCTCAACTGGTTCCTCTCGACGTGGAGAAGCAGCGGTTCTACTCCGAGCTCCTCCCGTGTGACTGAGCTCCTCACCCTATCTCTAAGGGAGCGCCCAGCCACTCTGCGGAGGAAGCTCATTTCGACCGCTTGTATCCGCGATCTCGTTCTTTCGGTCATTACCCAAAGCTCATGACCATAGGTGAGGGAGGGAACGAAGATTGACCGGTAAATCGAGAGCTTTGCCTTTCGGCTCAGCTCCCTCTTCACCACAACGGTCCGATACAGCGACCGCATAACTGCGCACGCTGCACCGATCCGCCTGTCAATCTCACGCTCCATTCTTCCCTCACTCGTGAACAAGACCCCGAGATACTTGAACTCCTCCACTTGAGGAAGGACCTCTCCACCCACCTGCAGAGGGCAAGGCACCTTTTTCCGGTCGAGCACCATGGCCTCGGATTTGGAGGTTCTGATTCTCATCCCAGCCGCTTCACACTCGGCTGCAAACCGTCCCAGTGCATGCTGCAGGTCCTGGTTCGTTGGAGCCAACAGGACAACATTGTCCGCAAACAGCAGAGATGAAATCCTGTGGTCTCCGAACCGGACCCCCTCCGACCCCTGGCTGCGCCTAGATATTCTGTCCATAAATACAGTGAACAGAACCGGTGACAAAGGGCAGCCCTGTCGGAGGCCAACATTCACCGGGAACAGGTCTGACTTATTGCCGGCAATGCGAACACAGCTCTGGCTCCGGTCATACAGGGATCGGATGGCCCTCAGCAGAGGACCTCCGACCCCGTACTCCCGGAGAACCCCCCAAAGGACACCCCGGGGAACACAGTCGAACGCCTTCTCCAAATCCACAAAGCACATGTGGACAGGTTGGGCGAACTCCCTTGAACCCTCGAGTATCCGATGGAGAGTATAGAGCTGGTCCAGTGTTCCGCGACCGGGACGAAAACCACACTGCTCCTCCTGGATCCGAGATTCGACCATCGGCCGTAACCTCCTCTCCAGTACCTTGGAGTAGACCTTACCGGGGAGGCTGAGGAGTGTGATCCCACGATAATTGGAACACACCCTCCGGTCCCCCTTCTTGTAGAGAGGGACCACCACCCCGGTCTGCCACTCCATTGGCACTGCCCCCGATCGCCACGCGATGTTGCAGAGACGTGTCAGCCAAGACAGTCCTACAACATCCAGAGACTTTAGATAATCAGGGCGGATCTCATCCACACCCGGAGCCTTGCCACCATGGAGGCTACCAACCACCTTGGTGACCTCAGCCAGGGAGATGGATGTACCCGCCCCAACATCCTCAGCCTCTGCCTCTGTAACAGAGGACGTGACGGGGGGATTGAGGAGAACCTCAAAGTCCACCGCCCGACAATATCCCCAGTCGAGGTCAGCAGCTCTCCACCCGCACCGTACATGGTGTTGGCAAAGAACTGCTTCCCCCTCCTGAGGCGCCGGATGGTTTGCCAGAATCTCTTCGAGGCCGACCGATAGTCATGCTCCATGGACTCTCCGAACTCCTCCCAGTCCCGGGTTTTTGCCTCTGCAACAGCCCGGGCCGCGGCACGCTTGGCCTGCCGGTACTGGACAGCTGCCTCAGGAGTCCCCCGAACCATCATGGCTCGATAGGACTCCTTCTTCAGCCTGACAGCATCCCTTACTGCCGGTGTCCACCACCGGGTTCGGGGGTTGCCGCCGGGACCAGCACCAGAGACCTTGCAACCACAGCTACGAGCCGCCGCATCGGCGATTGAGGCAGAGAACATGGTCCACTCGGACTCCATGTCCCCCTCCTCCGCCGGGACCTGGGAGAAGCTCTCCCGGAGGTGTGAGTTGAAAGTCCGTCTGACAGGGGGCTCAGCGAGACGTTCCCAGCAGACCCTCACTATACGCTTGGGTCTGCCAGGTCTGACCGGCTTCTTCCCCTGCCAGCGGATCCAACACACGACCAGGTGATGATCGGTTGACAGCTCCGCCCCTCTCTTTACCCGAGTGTCCGAGACACGCGGTCGAAGGTCAGATGATACGACAACAAAGTCGATCATCGACCTCCGGCCTAGGGTGTCCTGGTGCCACGTGCACTGGTGGACACCCTTGTGCTCGAACATGGTGTTCGTGATGGACAAACCGCGACTGGCACAGAAGTCCAACAACTGAGCACCGCTCGGGTTCAGATCAGGGGGGCCGCTCTTCCCGATCACCCCTCTCCAAGTGTCACTGGCGTTTCCCACATGGGCGTTGAAGTCCCCCAGGAGAATAACGGAGTCCCCGGGCGGTGCACCGTCCAGTACCCCTCCCAAGGGCTCCAAGAAGGCCGGGTACTCTACACTGCTGTTAGGCCCGTAGGCCGTCACAACAATGAGTGACTTGTCCCCCACCCGGAGGCGGAGGGACGCGACCCTCTCATTCACCGGGGAGAACGCCAACACGTGGCGGCTGAGATGGGGGGCAATGAGAATGCCCACCCCAGCTCGCCGCCTCTCCCCGCGGGAAACTCCAGAAAAGTGGAGCGTCCAACCCCTCTCAAGGAGTTGGGTTCCAGAGCCCAAGCTGTGTGTGGAGGTGAGGCCGACTATCTCTAGTCGGTATCGCTCAACCTCCCCCACGAGCTCGGGCTCCTTCCCCCCCAGTGAGGTGACGTTCCACGTCCCAAGAGCCAGATGTTGTGTGTGCGGACTGGGTCGCCGAGGTCTCCGCCTTCGACTGCCGCCCAGTCCTCTCTGCACCGCTTCACCACGGACCCCTCTGCAGGTGGTGGGCCCACAGGAGGGACTGCCCACGTCATCCCTTCGGGCTGAGCCCGGCCGGGCCCCGTGGGCTAAGGCCCGGCCACCAGGCGCTCGCATACGGGCCCCGACCCCAGGCCTGGCTCCAGGGTGGGGCCCCGGCTGCGCCATGCCGGGCGACGTCACTGTTTTCGTGTTAGTGCTGTCCATGGTGTCTTCTGGACTGCTCTTTGTCTGACTCGTCACCTGAGACCTGTCTGCCATGGGAGGCCCTACCAGGGGCATGAAGCCCCAGACAGCATAGCTCCCAGGATCATCCGAGTACTCAAACTCCCCCACCACGTTAAGGTGGCAGTCCAGGGGGGAGTCATTATTTATCATTGCATATTTGTTACTAGTAACAAAGTAAGTGCATTTACAATAATAAATCATGATAATGAATAATACAATCTGAAATATTAAGTATTTTATTATATTTGTTTATTTCTAAATCCTTTGGTGAGCTACCTGGAAGGGGGTGGCGAGCTACTGGTGGCTTCCGAGCAACAGGTTGGAGACTCCTGATCTATACTATCAGTACAAGAAAAGGTTATTACAACTGAATTCAAATGGTAT